GAACAAGTGCCACGCTAGTAGTAACAAGCGCCTTACTAGTAGTAACAAGAAGCTAGTAGGAACAAGATGCTAGGCTGGAAGCTATCGCTACGAACGGAGCGTTCGGACGCTCCGATCGCTGAGGGCAATGTCCTGGCGCTGGGCTTAGGCCTTTTGGAGCGAACAGAGGCGAACGGGGCGCGGTCGAGTCGTGGCCAACGACATGAACGACATGAAACTTCTAAGCTATGCAGTATATAATAAGGATGATATGATGAGTTGATAGATTTGAACCTGAAGTGTTCTCCCAGCCTGAGGCTCCAAATGATGAGGTTTGGATCGGGTATCACCCTTTGATGCTGATGACTTGCCCAAATACATCTCAACATACATATCTCAACTACTGACCGTTGGGGGAGCAACACCCCCCGCAAACTAACGAACCTGAACATGGAAAAAATGGAAGACCATTTTCCGAATACCAACCCAGTGGTTTTGGGGGTCCATGTTAACCTGCAGGGGAGTATGCTCGCCAGAGATTTTGTATGATGTTGTTTTCCACGCTCGGCCCAGCACCTCGGCGGTGTTTTTACCGTCTATCTTTCAACGTCGAGGTCGAGGCGACAACCGGGAACCCTGGTCGGTTTTTTTGGGGAGATCTGATCTGGAGATCAACTGATTCTGAAGGATGAAACATGATGAAACAGTCTATACGATACCCACAGACTGAAATACTATCCGATAATGGCCTTCGAAGTCCTCTCATTTTTCGGGGAACATGTACCAGCATTCTATGTTTCAGTCCGTCCGCATAGCTGGTCACAAGCAGGGACTGTTTTTGTTGAAAGGAACCGTTTTGCTCGAGCCAGGCAGTTTTAGACTTGCTGCTGCAACTGGCTGAGAGTCAAGAGCATAGCGAGGCGGTGGGTCTCGCTTGATCGCAACTGATTGGGACCCAGCTTCGCAGCACCACTCACTTATTCGCCCTTGGGGACCATCTCTGAGATACGCTGACCATTCTCATTTGACCGGGCGGGGCGGGCTGCTGAAAACAGCTCAGTCGAACACTGAGCCGAGACAACCCTGGAAGTCGATGAAGAGCTGAATGTTTAGGTCTTGTGACACGGGAGGTTTTGCATGGTGCCGAGTGTTGGGTGGCGTGTTACAGAGTGAAGGAGCCTCTACAAGGAAAAATGAACGAAACACCATGGCTTTCAAGTTCTTCAGGGTTCCGGGTTCGGTTCTTCTAAGTGACCGATATTTTACCAGGCTTCTTGAGATTTGCTTCATTTTGCCTCCAGCCGGGCCACCAGCGCCTTCTGTTTCAGGTGACCTCAGTCAAAGATGCAGAGGCCGACGGTCGAGGGCCTCAGCGCGTAATGATAACAGGGGAAGAGCGTTTCCAGGCCCTGGCCAGAATTCACATAGCACCAGGAGTCACAAGGCGGGGTGCCTATTGGAGGAAGTCGGGGTGCCCAGCTACTCCACTCACTGGATGGGACTAAACACCACCCCGACTTGTGACTCCTGGCAGGTGTGTTTATGAAGTGAATCGTGTTGAAGGTCGGATCCGGCGATAAATGCGAGACGCCCCAAAACTGCCCGTGTCACACCACTTGCTTTTGGTGCTCGACAGCACACGGGCGGGAGATCTTGGAATGATCCAAAACGCCTGTGCCATGCTCCATTAATACTATAGTTCCATTACTATTATATATACTGTATCATATCCAGCAAATTGAACCGAAAAGAGAATTTCTCAGAAATTGGACCTTCCCCTTCTTCACCCCCCCGCGGTGTGGCAAAGGTGCACCACACGAACAACATCTCCAACGCCCCACGGAACTTCCGCCGAACGCAGTCCCCACCTATATCCCAGACACTCCATTGCCATGTATTACATACATTGACCATTGACCCCTGAAACCACCATATAATGTAGGTATATACGCCCTACATGGAGTGTTTGGGTGTGAAAACTCGCAGCGGTGCTCGTCGCTGAGATGGTCCACGTCCGATCAGCTTCCTACAAGTGCCTCGCGTCATTTCCACGCAGGCCCGTCCCGACGGTCGGTTTTGGCCGCTGCTGCGTGGTCGATGGACGGGGGTGAGGGGACTTTAGAAGCACGGGGATGGAACGGGTTTGTGGAGGAAGGCAGAAACTGCAAGGCATCCAAACCTGCCACAGACATTGTTGGCTCGCAGAAGGACGGACATATGACGGAAATAAGGAACAGATACGATCAGATACGATCAACGCCTACATGTCGGGAGTACTGTATGTGCTAGTCCTACCTTTGAAGGAAGAATTCCACACATAGAACCCCCTTCAACGACCCAAAGCACCATAAAGGCTTGCGAGACCGTCGTTTTCTCATGTTTTCTCCATGTAGCTTGATGCCGGACTTCTTAGATCCACACGAGTTGCTTTTCAGGTTTGTGCTGGGTTTGCATGAGGAAGGGCCGTGCCCCAGCTGGATCCCGACCAGTCCACCAGTCGCAGATCGGTCAGTCGCGCCCGGTCGATCTGGTGCAGCGACGTGGCGGACCGGGCGACGTGGCGTCTGGTGGTGAGACACGCGCAGAGCCCGACGCGGTGCCGCCCAGGTGCTACAAACCTTTGTGATGCCACTGTCACAATCCCACACGGTGAGAGTGACCTACGTGGGAGTGCAGGCGTCCGAGGGGGGGACGTGGGGGCGGGGAAAAACCCCTTTGCCGATGGCCACAAAAAGGAGACCCCTATGGCCGGCCCTATGGCCATCCATGGCCCACGTTGTTTCTTCTTGGTCATCCAGGGTTCATGTGTTTCCTGTGAGTCGGAAAGTTCGCCCGCACTCACCAGCACTCCGTTGGCCTGACACAGAAGGTGGTCCACTTTGGGGAACCACGCGTCACACGCCAGGACACATGCTCATCCTTAATGCAGCTCCTGCGCGTCCAAGAGCTTTGGCAACTTCTGCGAGGTTTACATAGCTGGGCCCAGGCGGAGCAGCCAGACATGATCAGAAGTCGTTCTCAGAATAGGACGAAGATGTTGCCAATCAACCGAAACATTTTTGCTGACTCTTATGCATTCTTATTCCATGTTGTCTTCCTGGGACGATGGAAACCCTTGAACGCTTCGTCCATCCCGCGCAGGAGAAACAGAAGGAACTCACGGACGACCCGTCCAGTGACGCTCCTGTTACAGTTCGTGCTGCCACCCTGGCGCCGGGAGCTCTGAAACCACGAGACCTGCGAAACTGGATGTGAGAAATCGAGTCTCGATTAGCCATTCATAGATCGACATGATCATATATAATATTTTATAATACATATAATGTATTTATATATATTTTGTTACTATATATATATATAAGATAGATAGCAGACATTAGCCAACAAAAGTTGGAACATAACCAAAGAAGAGTTCCTTGATCCTAGCTAGGATTATTATCGTGGATGGTCACTACACATCCACTAAAACATACTAAAACCAGCTAAAACCCGTTTCTGATCTTTTCTGCAATCATACTTCTCTCGGCTGCCTTCTGAGGCGCAGAGGATGCGAGAGGCTCCTGGGTGAAGCCCGCTTCGAGCGCCTTTTGAATAGCAGGAGGTCTCAGAGGTGACACAGGGGTGACAGGGGTGACACGGTGACATCAGACACTCCACTCGATGGGACTCGAATATCTACTTGGATTTACACCCCGACTTCAACCGCCCCAATGTAGGTCAATATGCCGGTCTCATGGAGTGTCTGGGATAGGACATGGGGAAGTGGCAGCAGATGAGCAAAGGTCGTGACATTCATGGTGACCGAAAGGGAACGACGAAAGGAGGAGGAGTTGAAAATCATCCGGATCTATGCTACTGTAGCTTGCGTGGGATCGATGTACTATCATCATCTATCATCACTATTGCAACCCTTCCACACAAGTTGTTCATGATTTCAATGTTTTGACTATGGACAGGCACACTAGGCAGGTGAGCGACCTCCAGCATGCCCCACAGTAATTAGGTTTCTTGAACGCTTCTCTTTGCAGAACATCCGTCCAGGGTCGTGGAGGGGTCGTCGCTTGGACGACGTCCAGTCGCTCGAGGCCACATTCTCGTCCGTATTCTTGGAGAGAGATCTGCAACTTCTGCAGAGGCCAGCACGTGAACAAAGCGCAAGAAGGAAGAGGACACGTACTAGTGCATGACGGGCGACAGGGATTTGGACACTTGATGCTTTCGGCTAAGCATTCCTGCCTCCCCATATGTGCTTGATGGGGGCCAATTCTATCTGGATCGGAGCAGAAACGGCTTCGAGCCGAAAGAGGAGCCAACTGTTGGGCCGAGCACATAATGTTCTCGGCGAACTAGAAGGCATCCAAGCGCCATCACCTCCATTACTTTCCGCCTGCATTTTTTGACACAGCAAAAGAGTGCAGTCCCCCCTGGTGTAGTTCTCGAGGTCGTGCCAAATTCGTCTGAATAAATTTGGGAGGCGGACTTTCATCATGATGAGAATGTTGAGACAGTGCTGCTCGAAGAAGCCCAACACCACGACTTGACCAGGCGGGGTTGGCTCAAAAAAATGAGATGCCTGAGTTTCAGCTACAGATGGAAGAACCACATGTGCCATCAGTATCCATCAGTAAGAAATCCATAAGTAAGTACCAGGACCATCCAAGGGGTGCTCGATGGACTTAGGAATCTCTATTGGACACCCCTTGGATGGTCCAGGTAGCCTTGTATTAGATGTGATATGGCTCTATTGGAGACAGCGGCCGTCCGCCCCACACGTTTACAAGCATGGACATGGAGCATTGAACAAAAACAGACAACCCATTCCTTCCAGCCATGGGAGACTCCAGCTCCCTTAAGCTTCAGCTTCCTTCCTCCTTGACCTCTGCTTTCGGGGTACAAAAAACCGGAAACGGAGAGGCTTCGTTCGGTCCACGGAGCGTGGGGACAGTGGAGTCGGTGGCATCGGTTTGGATGGTGCTTTTGGACTCGAACGACGTTCGAAACGACACGACGACACGACTCCCCGATGTGACCGCGAAGCCGGGCGCTGGTGTTGGTTCACCGGAAAGAAGGCTCAAACCGTAGAGTGTGTCAACTGGTGGTGAGATGCGAGTCGCGGTGGTTGTTTTGGAGACGATGATCGCATCCATCTACGTTTTGCGCTCAACTTGAGCTTGTAACCGGTTCCTACACTAGTTTGATACATGTGCCAATAAGCAAATTGCTGGTGTTGCAACCAGACATATTCTCGCCGTCTTCACGCTTCCGCCCGACCCGACCCGGCTGCGCCATCGCGCAGGTTGGATGACGTGGGGGAGTTGCAGAGCGGACGGGGGCGGTGCATTCATTTAGTGGTGAAGAATTCCTTCTTTGAGCTCGTTGAGGACTGGGTGCCGGGAAGAGCGGGAGGCAGACGTGACCGGGCGACTGCCGGGCGAGGCTGAAGTGAGAGAAGTCGCGTGCATCCATTCGCGTGCGAGGGAGGATGTTCTCCATGTTTGATGCTGAAATCCACACCAAAAAGACCTGATGGGTGCAGCATGCAGGATGACTCTCATCTCCTTTCCTATCCTCCCCAGGATGACAGCCCGCGAGAAATGCGCCGTGCACAATCCTGCGATGCAGTCTTTGCAGCTGTCGAGACGGCGCAGGCCGCGCATGTCTTCGTTGTTCGTGAGAGGATGGGATTGGACGGAAACGGAGCGATACCTACCCCGGAAAAGTGGCGGACCTGAACATGAACCATGAACAACCTGCAGAATGGGGATTGGTTGGCACCGGAAGATGCGATTTCCATGGAGTTCGTTCGGTTCACCTTTGTTTTTGTTGAAGGGAAACGGCTCGGGAGTCAACCCTCGAAAGTTCTGGGAGAGAAGGATGAGAAGGTTGCGACAAGAGAGGATGGTGGGCTCAACATCGATGCGTGGCCTAGCTCAACTCGTTGGGACAAAAGAGTGACTTGATTTGGTTTTGGAGGTTTCAAACGTAAAGAAGCCCTAGGTCTGAGCCGAAGCAAAGATCCCTGGTTTTGTCTAAAGTCCCGTGTAAAGCGTTGTTTGGTAAAGACCAAAGCAACGGAGTTGGCATCTGTTTCACGGTTCACGGACTGCTCGATGCATCCGCCCTGCCTTCTCTCCGAGCATCGGCCCGACCCGGCTAGGCGTCCACGCAGGGGGAGTCAGCGCTTCCAGGCTGGGATACTCTAAGGATTTAAAGAGGCTCTTTCCAGGAGTCACGTTCGACGGGGTGGTGTGGCTCGTCCCATCGAGCCAGGGGCCGTGGAGTAGCTGGGCACCCCGACGAACGCTCCATGGATCGCACCCCGTCGAACGGGTGTCGTGCGCTCCGCGTGCGCTCCGCGTGCGCTCCGCGTGCGCTTTGCGTGCGCTCATGGCCCAACGCCCTTCGCCAGTTTCGTCTCACCGTTTCGATCGTTCCCGCGCCGAAACCTCGATCGTTTCTCTGAAAACCTGGCCGCTTCGAGTCAAACCGAGCCAGGTAGCCCTGCGAGCCGAGAAGCAACACCTTTAGCTAGGGACCGAATAGAAGATACAGATCTACCGCATCCCTCAGGCGCGGGAGAGATCGACCGGGGGGCCGCGGCGGCGGCCGCGGGGACCGGGGTTCCGCGTGGAGCACGCGGTGTTCCGACCAACCGGCAACTTGGTTGCCACAGAATATGCGCCGGCAAGTTAGGCGCGTCTGCGGAGTAAAGGTATTTCAAACAATTAAAAACATACGGTTACAATTTGGTTGAACATGAATTCAATGATACATATTTTGTCAGATAAAGATACTTTTCCCGCCCTTGTACAGCAAGGTCTTCCCCCGAGGTCTCTAAACAGTATTGGACACGGATTGCCACTGGCGGCGGCTAAGTCTTCTTACATCAGACGTGTTCGATGTTTTACTTCAGGTCGTTTGAAACATCTTAGGAAACATCGCGCTTTCGCCGGGATTCTCTGTAGGTGTTCAACTATCCCTTGGGAGTCAAAGACTATAAAAAGAATGGTCTGACTAGGGGACCTGAAAGGGAACTTCCTTTACTTCAGCCGGTCAAAATATAGTCTTTGGACTTCTAGGGTATCTCTGCCTTGAATGTCCGAACTCCAGGCTCTTCAGACCCGGTGACGGGTTCAGAACCTGCGCGCATCGCGAGCTCCAGCGCGGCACACCCCACCGAAGTTGTGGGCAATGCGCCCGCGGAAGCGACCGCATCTGGAGGCGTCCTGAACGAAGAGGATCGAGTGAAAATGGTGGGTTGGGCGTTCGTGAAGCAGACAAAAACACGTTGGCACTGGGCCAAGCTTTCCCGAAACATACCGCTACCCCTTCTGAAGAGGGGATGAAGTTTGATGTTGAAATGGTGGCTCCTTCGCCCACCCAGAACCTAGCGGCAGGCACCGTAGTTCAATCATGTTCAATCATTGAAGATGGATGATTATTGATTTAGAGCTGCGGCCCCTACCTAGTCCTAACTCCTACCCCCTAGAAAAAAGATACACCATTCCAGATCATGTTCATCAGGCACTTGCCACTATGTTCGCTGAGTGGACGATGGGTCCCTGTTTTCAGCGTTTGTGACCCATCGTCCACTCAGCGACCGGGACCGGGACCCGAGGTTCTGAACCCCACGGTGCGAAGGACAAGAATCTATTTTTGGACATGTTGTTCCAAAGGATTGATCACTCAACTTCCGGTGAGTCTTAGGGAAGACTTGTGGTCTGGAGTAATTAGGTGAAGCAGGTCAGGTGTGGAGGCTTGGAAGGAGGTTGCCTGGGAGAAGGTTCCTGCAGAACATCTGCAGAACAGAGGAGGTTCAGGAGCATGTTACAATCGATTGCATGATCATGATAATCTTGGGATCTTCTGGCCATAAAGAGTTTCTGCCTGAAAAGCACTGGTCTAGTTTGGCCAAAATTCTGGCTTCCCAATGGGGAACACGTGAGGCGATGAACTCGTGGAAGACCATGAGCGGATGACAGTGTGGTGCCCCAAACGAAGCGGCTTCTTCTTCCGTTCCCTTTCTGCGATGCGATGCGTTTTGTCCGACCATGGAGAACAGTTCCCTTTGGCGCCGGAATGCGTTCGACACGCACAGCGCGACGCACAAGCACGACGGGAAACGGAACGGGCCGAAGGTTCTGTGCGGCGAGGTGGTTTTTTCCCCTCACCGAAATTCGGAGGTGCCAAGGTGTTTTGTCAACCCGAAGAGACAGGTGGCTTTTGTTTGCTACACCTGGACACGTCATGATCGTCGGGTAGGATCACGTCCTGACTCCACGCATCTGTGGTTTGAACACAGTGTTGCAATGGAAGCTGTGACTAACTGCACAGGAGACCTGTGTTGCAATGGTGCTTGGACAGATGCGGAAGGGGTTTGCTGAATACTATAGGCTGTGGAACTATCAAGGATCATCGAGTAGTGGTATCATTTTTTAAGTTGATTGTCAAAGACTAGAGAATACTGTATATATATGTATACTTTCGAGGTCGGGCAACAAAGGCGCCTAAAACGTCGGCGTGATGTCCACAAAGGGCAGAGCTCAGATGATGAGATGAATTGATTTTGTTTGGGGAAAACAAGAGCTAAGGTGATGCTTCGCAACATACCACAAGAGCCAGGGCCCAAGAATCAGCGGTGTGCAAAAACACCGTGCTACACTGCTACACGTTCTGGATGTCTTGCGGTTGATTTCGCAGTGCTGCCCAAAGAACCGTCTTTCTTTGTTATTGCAATCGCGGCCATGGGCTATTGCAGGACCTCCTGTCTTTTTTTGTGGCCATAATTTGATCAGCAATCTATTCAACCCTGTAGTCGATTAAACCCAAAGGTATCATTTGGGCGTTCGTTCACTGTCACGAAGGGTGCACGTTTTTGTTGCCTTTTCCACGATGCAGGCAGTGGATAACTGCGGAAAACAGCCAGGGCCGAAACGCAGGGGCCGAAAACACACGAAAAACATGTGTCATGTGAAAAGCACGCGACAAACGTGCGAGGTATACCCGGGGCCACATTCTAGAGCTCCTTGACCGGGCGGGCTTTCATGGAAGGCGCGGTGACCGGATGGCGGAGCGACGTTTCAAGGGTCACCGGCATGATGGCAAGCCTGCGGATGATGCAACACTGTTTAATTGGTTTGTTCCTCCCTCTGGACTTTCCTTGGCTGATTGGCAAACTGGACCCTTGCGTTCGATGCGTTCGGGCTGTGGCGCCTGAAGATGGAGCCCCCTTTTGGGTCTTGGAGTAGACACCGTTGAGGGAGGTTTCATGACATCGAAGTCTGAAGGAACTCGTTGGAGTGGTAGAAAAAGAGAGCGGGGGACTGTGAGAGTGCAGTTGTTTTATTGTTGTTGTTTTTTTTTTAAGTGTTTGGTATCATTTGATGCTCAAGATATGCAAAGATGCTTGTTTTCACTCTAGGGCAGAAGATACCACTCTACTCTAACATGGGGCATGGGTTTTGGTTTTCCCAAAATTTTAGGTAAATGCTTCAGTGGTAGCCCCTCTCCATATAAACACATATATATATAATCTATTCCTGCTCTCTCTCTATATGAACAAATATATTATGTATTCCTGAATCAGGATCATTTTATTGTTTTGGAAGCAGCAAGCAGCCATTCAGATGGTTTTGAACAAACTAATTAGGATCTTTGCTTATAACTATGTTTAGATTTAGAAATATTTTATATAGACGCTAGATCTCTGCAGATAATCATTTTTAGATTTAAACAACTATATAGAAACCTTGTATGTTAAAAGCCTTATTCTAGATTTCTGCGGGTAAGAGCTTGCATTTTCAACGTTTTCCTCTGGATCTTTGGGACAGTAGATATCCCATATATGTGTGTTTTCATGAAATGAAAGATCTTGAAAGAAAAACATATTTATTGATACATAGCATTTTTAAATTGACATGACCATTTCCAGAGATCCAGAGGAAAGCTTTTGAAATGAACGCTTTTATATATTTTTTCTTGTAGAAATGATCATCCCCAGAGATCTAGAGGGAAGCTCTTGAATTAGAAGCTTGTACATAACACAATATTAATATGTCTATATTATTTCCAGTGATTACTGTAAATAAACAAAATCTAACTACTTACTTCAAAAAATAGTTTTAGTCTTGTTCCCAGCACTCCCAGGGCAAAAAACCACTGTAAAACACGGGGTTTTATAGCATGTGTTTTCTTAAACTAAATAGACTAGAGCTAGAATAGAATTGGGTAGAATTAAATTGGATTTGAGTTAGAGCCAAGATAGAACTGAATTAAAACCGAATTTCAACTAAACTTGTATTGAACTATAACTATAACCTATTTAAAATTAGATGAGAGTTGAATTAGAAAGGAATTGGAATTAAAATTAGAAGTTCGCAAGAATAAGATGTAAAACGTTTGAGCTACAAGATGCACAAGTCGAGGAGGCTTCGAAATTACAACGCCGAAGCAAAAGCAACAAGCATTGAATTAGAACTACAGCTTACACAGATTCACAACAATTTCATGTAAATTGGAAGGTATCATTACAGTTTCATGTCAAGCTGATTGGACATGCAATTGGCAACCACATTGATACCAATCAGAAGTTAATGCACAGACAGACTTGTACATGGAGATTTCGACAAGGACAAAGGGAGTGGTGGGCTCAGACGCTTTCATTGTAAGAGCAAAGAACACATGCCTTTAGGTGAGACTTAGGCTCACATACTTGAAGGTTGAACGAAATAGTAAGAACACAGATTGACCTAAATAGGAAAACAAAAAACACAAAAACTTGAGAAAGCCAATAACAACCTAGGAAAAGCCCCCCCAAAAAAAACTTGGGAAAGCCAAAAAAACAAAGCAACAATTCTGGGGAAGTCTTGAGGAAAGGGGGGGTCCAGCCAAGAGTCTCTGAGATTTTTTTTGTTTTCCCAAGTTTTTTGTGTAGCACTTTATGTAGCCAGGCTAAGCTCCTTGTGCAGGTTGTCCCCACCATTTCATACCTATAAAATGGCTAGCAAGACCCCCCCCCCACCCGATTCACCATCAGGATCATCCAAAACCATGATGATGTCAGGGTGACTAAGCATGAAAGGTGTGAAGTTCCTGATGTTCTCGAGTTTGGACTTCTACACTGACTTCATCGTATTTGGGGAAGATTATGATGATGATTATGACGATGACGACGAGGGTGATAAGGAAGACGATGATGATTATGATGGTGGCGACGATGAAGAAGATGATGATGATGTTCATGCGGACCCCGACCTGAACCTCTCCAATTCTCTTTCGCAGATGATTCAGCGCTTGTGATTGATAGACTGGCCTGGACACCCCACGACCAGAAACAAACTTAAACGTTGCTCCAATATGTTCTCACGTGAGCCAACGTGAGAAACGATCCTTTATATAACACGTGGTTGGTACTGTACCGCGGAAACATCCAATTCTCTTTCTTTGTTTGGATTTTCAGGGAGGTATTCCGCTTGCGTATGCGCCCTTCCTGGCGACAACAACCCCAATATAGGATCATAGCCTGTTTGGTTGTTTTGTTGGAACACGTTCGAACGTGGACTGCCCAAAACAACAAGCCAAGACTCTCATCAAACTACCGTATGTTAGCAGTATCTAAAATTCATCGGTCGGGGGGCCCCGAAAGCGGCTTTCGGTCCCAAGAATTCCCGAGACTGGCACAGAGCCCAGTCTCTCTCGAGTCCAATGCTTGAGGCGTACCCGAAAAGGATGCATCTTGTCGACTCGAGTGTTTGCGATCTATTATTGTATTTTTAGTGTGCTGTTATTCTTTTAGCTTAATTTCTTAAAATATACCATGTATAATGTTACTCGAAATGCACAACATATTTGAATGTCCATGTTAAATGCTGTTGACCTACCTGAGTCTAAGCAATCTAAGCAGCTTACCCGAGTCGAAACTTCTCATTCCTTCTCATTATAGGGACCTCATTCCTCGGGCTGCCTCTTTTCCACATGGGGGTGATTTCAGCACAACGGTCAAAGTCAAAGGGGATTCATTCAACATGCTCCCTTTGTGCCGCTTGGTGTTGCATGCTCAGTGGGGCACCCAATCGATGGAGAGGTACGACTTTGTGTACCTTCCAGTGGACTTTACCAGAGGCCGCAGCCTAGGGTAGCTTGGCTGCACCTACGCAAGATTATGCAGTTATTCTTTATTTTTTCCGATTCCCAGCCAGACTGGGTGGGAAGGACTTACTGGTATGGTTCCAAAATCAGAATCTGCTGGATCATTGCATACCACCATGCCAGCGATGCGGGTTTCGGTGCTTTCGCAACCGGGGAAGGTACATCAACAGTTGATTGCATTGAACAATTCACCAGATATTCTGCATGATCAGGACACGACGTGCGTATTTAGGGCACACGGAGAGGATGACAGCTACAAAGATTCTCATGTGGCCGTGGACTACGACCAAACATAGATCCTGCAGTTCTCTTGTTGTCAACACCTCTGAGAATTCCCACTTTTGGGCCCGGAGGACTGCGGAGTTCAGCACCGAATCTGAGCGTCGTTGGAAGCTTTGACTGCAGGAGACTCCCTAGCCGCTAAGGTATGCTTTAGTGGGACTTATAAGCCATGAAGCTGCCCGTGAACTTCTTGACAGTCTTGAGGCATGGCGGCATTGCAGAAGAGTTCTGCAAACAACTTCGGGGGTGGTCTGGAATCTGGAAGCTATTTTAAGATTCCGATCTGGAATCTGGACATGGTTATTCCACTTGACAAGCATTTTTGAGGATGGTTGACAACTAACTATGAGCAGAAATAGACTGATCTCCATAGCAGGCCTCATCCAGGTAATGTTTAACTTCCAGCTGGTCTTATTTTGGTCTGCTCACAACTGAGCACCAGTCAGTCGATGGACTCTGATCTCTTTCCATGGCTTTTCCTACGCCACGCTAAGCCATGCGGCCTCGCGTTCAGGGCTGTAGCTTCGGAGAAGACCCATCTGGGCTCCGCTGTCAAGCTTCATGGAGCCAGTCGAAACCCCAGAGTGATCAGTCAATGCTGAAATCGAAAGACATTTGTGGCATCGCATCATGCATTCAGCATCATGCATTCATGCATCTTGAAGGACATCTTACAGGCCCATATTCTGGCCGCAGCTGGATGCATGGTACTTCTGTCTTCTTCATATTGCTTTGATCTTTGAACTTAGCGATGTCTTCATGAACAACCACCAGCAAATGGAAAAGGACACACACATATATATATATAGTTATAGTATATATGAACTATGCACATGATAATGATTGTTGACCTTCACCATTAGTTGACACAAAAAAGCCACATGATGGTCCGACCTCGCATGCCCTTGCTCCCTTCAAAAGCGCCCACTCGCAGGCCCCGAGCCCCCCGCTGCCCCCCCCCCCGCTCGACCCCCGAACGAGGCCCCATCGAGGCCTTTCGGGTCACATCGAACGCTACCGCAACAGCCCGGGCAGCTCAGTGCCCGAAGGTAAGTGGAGTCAGAGCGAGTTGCCTTGGCCGGTGGGGTCACTCACCAGGGGCAACTCCCCGTGGCTCAGCTTGCTCTGGTCGCGAATGGACCTACTACCGATGACACAGACACACAAAAGCGTCACTTCGAAAAGAGTCCGACCTGTTTCCTGTGAATTATGGCCAGCAGCAGTCTCAAATACTATAGCTTTTATAATGGCTAGTTATATGCCATCGTCTAAATCCGGGTGGACCAGGTTCCAGTGCAACTGTCGATTTAGTACATCCTCAAACAACCAGTTGAAATCGGTCCAAAACAACAATTTATCCTTTGCAGAAGGTGGTCGTTTGGAAGTCAGTCCTTCGTCCGAGTCTTTCAAGGCCGATTTCGAGCAAGAAACGATGTTCCAAACAAAGGGTTGAAAGTGGATGGACGAAGTGTGTGAAGTTTGATGTTTCGAGATGTGAAGACCCTGGAGATTGAGAGTCCGAGTTGAGAGAGTGAGGTCAGTTGGGTTGAGGTGAGGTGAGTTGAGTGAGTGAGTGAGTGAGTCAGTGAACACTTGTCCCACAATAGGGGGACTTTTTGATCCTATTGGAGAGCCCCGTCCTCGTGTGTGTTCGACCCACCCAAGAGGGTGAATGGAAGAATGGAACAACAGACGTTCGCCGATGGCGGGTTTTGAAATCCTTGTTTTGCCGGTGTTTTTTCCTATATCAGCGATGGCCATGCACTGCGATTCGAATGCCATGTAGCCATGCCATACCCCATATCCAAGCAGCTGATCGTGCAGTACCTCAGTGGTTTGCATGTTTACAGGTCCTGTGATGCATCCAAGCATGCCGGATGAGTACAAGGTGTGATGCGGGATTTGTGCCTCAATTTCTTTGAATTTTGGGCGAGCTTGAAGATAAGTTTGCAAAACTACCCTCTGACATCCTCTGGCTCACTGCTATGGAAGTGGAAACTGAGGGCTGGGAAGACTCCATTCCTCTACAGACAGGGTGGTTTTCACTTCCATGTCTCTGAGTTAGAGGGTATTCTTACTTTCTCTCTTGGTCTTATATAGCAAGATGAAGCTTTGGAATCGCTCCATTGCCTCGGAGCTCATCGCCTCGGTTTTGGAGGGTAGGGTACTGTAACATTGAGACTTTCTAGTTCAATGGTACCATGTGCCATGTCCTTTGTTTTGAGACAAAACACACGTTCCACTTCTTCAGATGAAGACAGACCGATTCAGTGACACGATGTCCTCCCAACATGGCTTCATGGGTCCCATCATAACAGGTGGACCCAAACGCCCATCCCACCAGCCATTGCTGGATGAACATGGACTTTGCATGTTGGAGATGCTCAGAATGAAAGAACTACTACCAGGACTTATAAAAGCGGTGGTGAACCTGGGCACTGGGTGTCCAGGAGGGTCCAGGTGTATTTGATCGAAGCTGTACCGCTTGAAGCTGCACCGCTTGGTAACGACACGACATAGACCCCGATGTGTTCTTTCAACATCTTTCAACAGTGGGGACCCCAAGACAGACTTGATACGATGCACCAGATACGATGTGGACACCATACACCGGGCTGGTTGGTGCTCTTGAATGCTCTTGATACGATGTCACCGCATTGTGCACGATTGTTCGTAAACCGTAAACCCTTGACCACCTATCCACCTATGTGCATGGGCAGAAACTGGGAGACGGTATTCTAAATCCGCCTCAGACTCCTGAAATCGGCCCCAGACTTCGGGGGGGTCCATGTTCGTCGATGTGCCGAACTCCGTTTGGGTGGGATGTGTCGACCCCATGTCATCCATGTCCACACGAAAGCCTCAGCGCGTGTGCTTTGAGAACCCCATGTCACCCGTGTGGTTCGCTACTTGGACGATCGACATCGAAAACCTGGTAGACTAGGAACAAGTGCATCGCTACTAGTAACAAGTGCATTACTACTATAGGAACAAGAAACTATTAGTAACAAGGGCATCGCTACGAACGTAGTAGCTTCTTGTGACGTGTGGCCGCGATGCACAACTTGGGACACGTCACTCGTCACTCGTGTGGCCGCGATGCTCAGCCCGTGATCTTCCTGAACGGCGAGCGTGTGGACTTCCCTCCGCCGACCAAGACGATCCGGGCGCCGCGCATCCGACATCCCAAGCAACGCCGTCCGCAAGACAGGCGTGGTGTCTTGCGGGAGAGAGAGGATGCTTTCCGATGATTGGAATTTATAGAATACCTCTTTCGATTCGTTAGCAGAATTACAGGTGTTGAACTACAAGAAGAAGGTTGAATTGCCCGACATGCGGAAATTCTGCTGTATTGGTTGCAGCTGCTAATGATCATGAGATCGAGTAACTTGTTAGGACATGTTAGGACCATCCAAGCCATCCCTTTGCAACTGGGGCGACAAAATTGGCCAGAAAGAGAATTCGAAAGAGATACAAGTCATCCTGGAGTAGACAGAAGTGGGGAAAGCCAAACACCAACAAGTAGTTTGGGTCAAACAGCCTATCTACTCCGGGACCGGAGACCGGTCTCGAGCCACAGACAGTCTGAGTGCTTGTAGGAGTGGCGCAACCTGTCAGAGCAAGATGCTTGTGATTTGACGCGTTTTCACTGTTTTGGCTGACGTAATTACTTAGAATAGGGGAGACCTCCAATGACCCTAGCAAGAAGCTCGGATGGAACAAGACCATGGGCGGACTGCAAGACTCTCCCAGCGAGTGGATCAAAGGAAAGCAATGGGGGCTCCTGGTCCAGACCCGCCCCTTCACAAGCAACAGGGTCTCTTAGTGTCAGTTACATACAAGACATGCTGATGCCGTCAGCCAAGTTTTGTCTCAGGACATGAACAGCTGGGACTTGCCAGCCTGTTGAGGGCGACTGTAAACATGTACAAAAGACGAACTGCGAGCCGACTGGTGGATTGGAGTAGAGCAGGCGGACTTGTATCGTTGGTCTCCCCAATGCGATTCAGCAACACAAGCCCCTTCACTAGATCATTCCGTGCCTTGATATACGAGGGTGCGAGATCATATGGTGTTTTCATGGCCGAGTTCGCCTGAAGTGAAGACATAGTTCGCTTGAAACTGGCATGGACTTTGCTCCCAAGTGCCGCACATTTGAACGGCAGGCAGCAAGAAATCTTTTGCACCTCAAGCTGCAACTTCTACTAGAAGTGCAGCAAAGTAGAAAGCTACATGCAGTTACATGCAGGTCGTCGCTGCATTCGTGCAAGACACGTTGCCACTGTCCTCGCATGTGGCAACTGCCGCCATTTGTGGGGTGAGGAGATTGATGGAAGTGAAGAGGCTGATGAATCAGTTGAATGGTTCCGTCGTTCGCGACGTGGCGCTCCACTCGCCCCCTCCGGCGAAACATGCAGCGGTGAACACTTGGACACTTGGTCCAACCAGTCCGGCGTGCAGAATTTGAAACTGAACAAGCAGCGATTGGTTTTAGACGTTTACCGCAATAGATAACTAGTCTGATATAGTGGGTTTGGACACGGACGCTCTTCTAGGAAAGTGTCGTGGGTCAACACCAGAGTTCACCTGAGACCCCCCATTTTCCCAGAAGAAGCACAATACGGGGGACTCAGGTGTCTGGTACGACCCGCGGAAAAGAACATGGAAACTCGGTTGATTGCTCCTATCACGTTGATCAACCCAAATTCTGCATGCCAAGTATGGACGGGGGAAGAAAGAATCGAGTTGGACTGGGGTCGACGCACTGCACCAGGCAAAAGAGCGGTGCCGTTGTGGGCGCAGATGGTGGTTGGATGCGAACATGTTCGAACGCCCCAAAATTGCAGGGTCCAAATAGATTGAAGCTTTGGATCGAAAGAAACTGGTTGGGGAGCTCATCCTCCAACGCTTAGCAGAGCATGCTTGGCCTGAGAAACTTGGGAAAATAATATGCTGATTGTTTTTATTCACTTGTGCTGTCGATTTTCACAACTGCAGGCTGGTTCTCTTTGATTGATTGACCTGAAGTGTGCTTTTCCATACTTTTTTCCATCATGCCATTGGTGCCGTCCTAGATGATTTGTGTGGGGGTCAACTGACCGGCGTGGCGTTGCGACCACCTACTAGGTCTACCCAGGGCCTGAGGCTCTGAGTCTGCCTCTTCAAATGCTCACGAATCCGCACGACCAGTCTACCCCGGCACGTTCCACTCGGCACGTTCCACTCGGCCCGAAGCCTTCCCGTTTGGATCGGGATCGAAGCTGCACGAAGCTGCACGCAGCGGGGGCGATCAATATGGGGCTCAAAGTTGTGAAGATCGGGAAAGAAGAAGAAGAACGAGACGTGAAGCATCAGAAAGATAATTCCACCACAAAAAGCATCGACCAACATTCAACAACCATGTGAAAATTCATGTGAACATTCGTTTCATCGCGATTGAAGTACGGGTGGTACCAGACTCATTTGATGTGCACATGGAGGGGGCAGAGGGAACATCTTGGCCGCTGGAGTGCTAGACTTCCGGAGGGCCAAAGCGTGGATTTTGTGGCGAATCCTTTGGAATTGGCATCGATACCATGAAAGAACCCACATGCCCACATCTCACATCCCACGAACAAAAGAAAGGCATGACTGAGTAACAGCTTGCAACAACCGACAGAGTGGTCGGGTCTTGATTAGCTTGCCGCAATGGTTCTCGGAGGGTTTGATCTTCTGCCAGCAGCCCAGGAATTTCGTGCTCGTGCTGAGCACGGCTGGCGTTGGCGAAATGTTAGGTGACACCCCCGACCTCCTCTGACTATAGAAGGAAGGAACCACATCATGTCCATCCTAAGACAGCCTGAGAAACAGGCCAAAGCAGCTCAGCTCCTCGCGTGCAAAGGAGCATCAGAGCTGACCACCAGATTGGCACTGAGACATGGGGCGAACAAATCGATACGTCAAAAGACACTGACCGTTCGACCCAGCACGTTCGATGTTCTTTCTACGCTTCTTTTCAGCACGTTCGACTCAAACCGTCGACCCAGAGCCCAGAAGATCCCAGGATCGAACGGACGCAAAGCACAAAGGACGCCTCTTTACGTCGGGACCGTAGGGAGGGCTGTGAATGTTTGTGAAACAGTACCCTCCAAACCGCCTGTTTGAGGGTCGATGGATTGTTAGGGGAGAGACATCGAGATCTGGCCCTCACCTTGACCAGTTGCAGTAGAGCTGTCCAGGCGCTGGCGCAGAGGGAGCCCGAGCGAGCTCTCGGGGCTCCAGGCACAGAGAAGATGCTAGAAGATGCCAGAAGTTTTCCCGGAAAGCATGGTGTAATTTCAGGTAACATTCTGTGTACAGTTACTGTACATGATGGTTGAGAAAGATCATTCACATCTAGGTAGGAAGACCACAAAGAAGACTATGGAAAGCCGGCTTCAGGTTTGGCTTCCCCATGCTATGTACTTGAAAACGGATTTAAGGTATTGCCTTGTATGTGAGTGCAAGTCCAAGATAGCACGCCAAGCATGACTTGCTTATCAAGCTTATTGAGCCTTGCCTTCAATCAGCTGGGACAGCAAATCATGACACATCATATGCTTCACTCCACAGGGAACACAAGCAGCACCCGCCGAAGCTGAAGTGCCAGACCAGACGGATCCAGGTGCGCCTGCATTTTTTGGGACTGAGAGGCACTGTCAACACGACCAGAGTGGCAGGAAACATGACCTGGTTTTGCGGCAAGAGGATCTCTGAATCAAATCTGATCCTAGGAGCCCAACACTATGTTTTTCTTTTTTTTTTAATAATATGGTCTTTAAATGACCCAAGTTCAGGAATTTCCTTTACTCAACGCTGGTGCCGGATACCATCCTCCTTCAACCGGCCTGGAACGTTCAGGCCGGTTCCTCAGCTTATGCTCCGATGGATCGCTCTGCCGAGGCGCGGAGATGGCGAGGCCTTCGGGGCCCTTCGAGATGACCGCGATTGGCACCGACCCGCGTCCGGGGATCCCAAGCCGCACAGGGAGATCCCAGGCCGCCTCGTCCTCGGCGCACAAGGAGGGGGGGCGGTTCGGAAGGTGATTCGTACCACAAAGCACCGAGTGGTGGCACCGCTTTTTGGGTCTTCGGATGTCACATGATGTCACGCTCCACGGGTTTAGGATCTTTTTGGACTCTCTCGCGTGGCGGCCAGAGCCATGCAAAAGGAGGGAGTGGCTTCGTGGTCCCTATAGTTATGTGCAACCAGTGGGTTGCATTCAATCGCCCACATTTGATGAAGAGTGAAGAATTCAAAAAGAGTGGTTGCAGAGGTTCTTGCTTCGAAAATCACAGGGGAGAAGACGGATGAAACATGATGAAACCTGCTGCTTTCTACTTTCTTTTGACAAGGAGACAACGGGAACAAACTTAAGGATCATTAAAGCATAGAGAGATGCAACAGGACCAAAAACTCCCGTTCTCTCATCAACGCATGGAACCACGTACCCTGATCGTTCGTGCTCGGAACGAGTTCACGAGGCGTGGGGCTTTGGTGGTACATTCATGTCCCGCGCTCGGCGGACCTTGTCGTCGTCGATTCTTTGTTTTGGTCCCCGAGGAGGAATGTCGGAGCAAGGGGACTAGTGGGAAGCTTGAAAAATCAGTGTGGGTTTTCTTTTTGTGTTTTTTTTGTTTCCGTGTGTGTGTGTGTTTCTTTTCTTACTGTGTGTGTGTTGTTATTTTATGTTATTTTCAATGTATACCATGTGTCATCCTGCTCAGGGTCTTCGTTGGGGGATCATTTCGCATTGCTGAACCGATGTCGAATGTCCTTTCGATCTGAGAGATGAACCGCTCCGGCTACGTCTGCAGAGGCCCCTCCGCTGATCCACGTCGTTTGCGGGCTGAGGAGTCGAAGATTCTCCTCTTTCAGCTTCCCGGACAGCAGGAATCTCAACTGGCTGTGACAGCTGTTGGTTCCACGTCAGGTTGCAGTAAAATGGGTTTCGCTAGAAAGCCTGGTGGAGATGGTGCACCTGTATAGTCCCTGGAAGTCCGTTCGACCATGTTTAAAATGGTATTAAAATGGTTTTGTAGTGCGAACAACGATTGTTCGGTAACTATTTAGAACATGGATCAAAATGGTGGTTCGACTTGTAGGGCAGTCATAGTCAATCATAGTCATATGTGGTCTATTTTGGGCGGCTTCCAATTGGTAGTCACACCCATGCTTCAGACACCATTGGAGAGCCGAATTGTCTTTTGACCCGCTTCTTGTGCATCGTTTTGCTGCTGCACATGACAGAATCATGACGGAGCGTCTCTGTCGTTTTGGGATGTTTTGGGTGGGTTCTTGTTCGATGACACCCAAGGGTCAATACCTTTAATATCAGGCATCTAAGTCGACTATATAGATTTTACATGATTTTACTGTATATGGATGTAAGGGCAGGTGTTCACCCAAGAGGCATGCCCTTCCTCTCCAGGACTCCAAGGTCAGCATTTTCTGTCGGAAAAACCACCTGAGGCAATGGCCTCCGTGCAGCGTTGTGCCACTGCCGAGCACCGTGGCAGCGCAGTGTGTGGCTCCTCTCACCGGGGCGGTGCAGCAGGACCGGAAGGGATGGCCATGGTTCATCCGCTTGTTTCAGGATCAAGTCGAATGCGTTGAGACAGCAACGTCCAACATGATGTTTTATTTTTTTTTCGGCATGGCAAGACTATAACAAGATCCATTTGTCGGCCGTATGCTGCGGCTGGCAGGGGACCAGCCAGATTCGCACTCCTACGGTGGCCGTGCTTTGTGCGGAGCTCGGGGGTCGAAGAGTGTCGAAGCGCGAAGGCAGTGAACCAGGACCTTCGAAGTGACCTTGTACGGGCCTAAGTGACCTCATCCTCGGATATCAAGTTCGGTCACTTTGAAGGTCCTGGAAGATGATGTTTGTTGAAACTTCGGATTGAGATCAAGAGACTTTCCAAGAAAACACTGTGAATGTGAAGAACATAAAGCAGAAAACGTGGCAGGAGAAACTGGGTGGAGGAGTCTTGGTAGGATTGATGCTTCTCTTTCAGACAGCATTATGCAACATCAACAAAAAGAAGAACCTGCCAGCAGTTCCACGTCGCAGTACTTTTCAGCCCAATTCAGTAAGTGGATGTTGAAGGCATCGCAGGGCGCCCCTCCATCCGTTCAGCACCCAACGTATAGAACTGCTGGTGTGCTCATCTTCATCAACCTGGGAGTCCAAAACTGACTACAAAAAGAAGGGTCTGTGACCCGAGATAAGTGAATGTCCTGCAAACTTCAGTCGGTCAAAAAATCATCAAACTGGACTTCTAGGGTCAACCTCCATAATTATTTCGAACCTCGCATGAGCCCGTCCGAACGATTGCCGTTCGTCGTTTATACTGTCGTTTATTTCGTTTTTTCGCCTCAGATGACGATGCACAGCTCTCGGTCTTTCCCCACGGCCGTCGGGTGGATCTACCCAAAGCCACGAACTGGCCCTTTGGAGAGGCGCGGAAAGAGGGGGAAGGACAGGAAGGACATGGGTTTTCAAGGTGTTTGATGGTTTTCAAACATGGGTGAACACTGTTTTTTGTTTTAAGAAGGTTTTCAAGGTGTTTTCATGGGTGAAAACCTTCATTCTTACTCTCAGAAGGTTTTTGTTTTTGTTCAAGGTGTTTGTTTTTTACTCTCAACATGGTGTTTTAACCACCACATGCTGAGAGTAAGAATGAAGGTTGAAGAAGTGTCTTCCAGCCAAGCTCACGGTGACTTCCCCGACGGAGAATGTTCAGACCCTGTGGGCTCCACGAGCGTTTTCGAAGCAAACCGACCAGTGGGGCAGCCTGTCATGTCCCACACTTCAGAGTTCATGTCCCACCACTGTGGCGTGGCCGATCCTCCTGTGTCGTGCATCCACCATGTCTTCCATTGCGCGTCCAACGACGACGTGGGACGAGGGAAACCGAGGGTGTCCCCCTCGTCAGGTCCCGCTGTTGATACGGGCAGCAGCTCCACATCCCCATGCTGTGGGGGTAGCTTTGGTGGTCCAGGGCCAAAGAGGGCCAAAGAGCTGTCGCGCGGACGCGAAGCGACACCACAATGAGGCTCGCATCCTGCTCTCTTCAGCACTGAATTCTCGCATCCTGCGTGCAATGCAAGCCATGCAAGCCATTCTCGTTCTCTTTCTCGTTCCAGTCTTCACCGGTCCCCGTCTCTCCACCGAGGTCGTGACTCAGTCCGGTCGCCTGCTGTCACTCTTTTTGGCTCAAAGTGCCCATACCTTCGAGGCAGGGGCCGTTGTGGGCCGCGTGGCCGCGCGTGAAGCGTCGAGGGAACTCCGTCGACCGGACCATCCGAAAAAAGGGGGAAAGACGGAGCCAAGACGTGTGTTCCTTGGAAACGGTCGTTAGATTCGACGTTCGCAATTCGACGTCAGACCAATTTGTACAAGTAATTGAATAGTGAGCATATGAAATTCATATTCATTCCATGTACGATGCAAGGAGGAGGATGAGAAAATGGAGACCACAGCCATCTTGGGGGGAACTGTTCAACAATCGAACTAAAGCCTTTGGGGATCCCGTTTCTGATGTCTGCCTCTGAGCCGATGTGGGGCGGATTGGTCGCCACTCACCTGGGTAGGGCCAGAGTGCCAGCAAGCATGTTTGCCATGGCACATCTATAGTTTTGAATGCTCCAGGCCGGCAAAGAACCCTCCAGAACCCATGGCCGCCATGGCCAGGTAGAGGCCAGTAGATTGTGGCCAATGGTGTCGGAGCACTGCCTGAAGAACTTCTTCAAGAGGATCAGAAGGTTGTGGCCGAAGAAGAGAGAACTGCGAAAGCTGTTATAGTATAAATGGACCAGTTCACTTGCGACGACAACCATGCTTGCCTTTCACCGCTCACGCGAGCAGTTCCTGTCTCCTGTCTCTTCGCAGGTATGGCTTTGGTGATGTGTCTCAGGATCGGCATTCCCTGGAGGCGTGGTGATTCGCTCCGCCCGCTCCGCCCGCTCCGCCCGCGCCTTTATCGACCGAAGCCGCGGGAGTTGGGAAGGATCATGGATCTGCGAAGGATCATGGTAGCGAGGTGTGGGGGAGGATAGATCTGATCTGGAGACGACTGGAGATGGAATCCAGTGTATTGTGATTGGTGGAAGTGTGATTGGTGGCCTGTGACCAGCGGTTGCAGTGTCCTGATGAACCGGAAGTTTCGTTCGAAGTCACCAAGATGGCCCGAGCAAGCAGTGCTGAAGAGACGAAGTGGCGTGCCAAACTCAACAACCCAGGGACCGTAGGCCCCGCCATAGGCGTTGTGTACTTTTGGGGGGTGATGTTGGTCGCTCCTCTCCTGGGTAGTACCAACTCAAGGCCATTTCGGCAGCGTTCATCCTGGGTGGAACTGGAACTGTTCGGCTGAGCCGAACACGATGGGTTTTCCTCCCCAGAAACGAGCCTCGTAGACCCCACTGAGCCGCCATGATTCTTTGAGATTCTGGGTTGCTTTTTGGAAGCGTCACGTCTTCATTCCCTGCAGGATGCACAGTTCTTGGCACATCAGATAGAGATTCTGCCCGTCTGCACCTGAGACCTTCGACCATCTCCGCCCGACGTGAGGTCCCGCCCCTGCCCCGAACCTCCTCCCCTCCTCGAACCACATGCCCGCACACGGTTCTACGTGTGCGACACGTGGTCTACGCCGTATCAGCACCAAAGGTCGACCAAGAAAAGGGCATCTTCGCTAACATGGGAGATCGGTCACAGGTTTGCTGCTACATGGTGGACAAACATGGTGTGTTGCTCGGTATTGATGATCGAATTGTTCTTTTGGTGATAAAAGCACCAGCAACACAGACACGGAAGCGCAAAGCCCAAACCGCAAAACCGATTCATTCGCACGTTTCCATGTGTGTTTCGGGTGGAACATCTCTGAGGCCCAGAGGCGTGGTTCTCTCTTTGACGTGCTGGCCTGGGGCGAGGACGAGAACTCGATGTTTCAGTGAATCGTGAAGGGCAAAACCTGATAGCGGTGCCTTACTTGTAGCAACAAAAAAGCTATTAGAAACAAGTGCCACGCTAGTAGTAACAGGTGCCTTACTTGTAGTATCAATCATCCTTCAATCCCATTTCACCCATTTAACCCCTCCCAGACGCTTCAAAAAGCTCTTGGTCCCTCAAAACCCTAGGGATTGGTTCGGGTCCGGACCCCTCCATATGAGTCTACGGCCTACTTAGGAGGGTCCAGGGTCGCGTTTGGGCCGTCTGGGCTATAAAATGGCCTCCAAGTCCTGTGCAGCATAGGGATCAAGATGGTGATGTCACGTCCCCCTCCCTGAGAGATATTGGATAGTCATATTCGATTCTTAGATATTCTTAGTACATTATAATGGCACTGGCACCCCCAAGCTGTTATAGATAGATAGTAGATTCTTATAGTAGATTAATGGCACTGGCACCCCAAGGTGTCTTTGATATAGGGGCCAATATAAACCACCTTTAAGGATTGTGCCATCTACTCTGAAACCACTGTGTCGATGCTTTGACAAATCGTGTTTTTCCGCTACTCGGGTGCAGTAGGGTCCACCTGTCAAGTCGAATGCTCGAATTCAGAGGATCCCTAGGATCCGTATAGAGTCCCGTGCACTTGAAAGGCCCGTGCACTGGACTCATACGACGTCCGGCCACCGGCCGCTAGGAGCACTTGGCGCTGTACTCCCATCCACGCTCGATGCCAAGTTCTGTACCCAGACACGACCCATGGGACTGCCATATATGCCGCCCGACCCCCTTTCAACCACCCCAATGGGGCGGCATAGATGGCAGTCCCATGGGTCGTGTCTGGGGTACATCGTTGTACTTCTTGTGGGGAAAGCACTAACAGATGAACACGGAGATGCCAGGGTGGAGACCGGCTCCAAACTTTGCACTGGAAACTGATGTCTTTGTATACATATATAGTTCAATTAATTAACTCCATTATATATCATTCATGATCACAATTGTCCTAATGTCTTTCCTTGTGTTCGATTGACAGAGCCCAAACCCCGTGGTGTTCTGCACCAGCCTTGAACCGGCTCCATGGCAAAGCGCCGCGCGTGGACCGCCCAGTGCCGTGCAGTTCACTAAGGCAGCACCGCTCCAGCGGATTTGATGTGGGTCTCTTCACTGGCTCATCTCGCCCGGACGCCCCCGGGTGTTTGCGCGGAGGTCGGGAAGTTCTTCTCGATTCTGTGTTTCAGATGGGAGGTTGATGTGTGGTAGTTCTGACGATTTATGGGGTAGTTCTGAAGATCGATGGAATTCCGAAACATCTCGAACCTGACGTTGCTGGAAGGAAAAACCACCCCACCCCTTTCTGCTGCTGTATGGTTCCATGGTTGTTGAGCAAAGGGAAAACACATTGAGAAAACCCACTTTGAGATGGGCAAATGGTGGGAGCTCAAGGAGTTCGGGGAGCTCAAATGGTGGTCAACCAGCGATCGGGCTCCGCACAAGTGGGCTCAGCACGAGCTAAGTGGGGAGCACAGGCGTTCGTGAAGGAAGCAGCTTGGTCTGGAGGTCATTCATGCAAACCTGTAATATCTGTCCGAGTCTGTCCCATTCCCCATGTCGCTGAACCGTGATGCATGGACCTCGGGGACCGAGGCCCGTGGTGGTCGCCATCATGAGTTTGGGTGGGGAAGGGACCAACCCACAACTTGTCACTATGTCCATGACTTGTCAGATGAATCAAGCGACACAAAGCCTGAGGTCACGGGAGATGTCGTACCTGGCCGCTTCTTGTCTGTGTGTCCAGAGCTAAGGTGTGTCCAGACAAGTCCATTCAAGTGGAAAACCATTGAAGTTGACCTTGGGAGAAGCTGTTCTTTTTTGGCACCTCTGTTTCAGAAGTGGTTGATGGGCAGTAAGTGTTCTCAGGTGCAGGAATTTGCCAGCTCCCCTGTCAGACCACCTGTCGATTCTCATGGCATTGCACTCAAACCCTGTAGGAAGTTGCATTGACAATCAGAAGCCACTCTGGAAAAGCAACACAAGGACTGGTGTTGGCTGTTCACCTTTCCCTACCTTTCCAGTGAAGTTGATTTGTGAAGTGGAAACAGCCTATAGCCTTCAGATGCCTTCAGAATCTTCAGAACATGTCAGAACCTCTTTGTCCAATTTCTGCGGACCTCACCCGTCGTTCACGTGGACCTCACCGTCGATCCGAAGAACGCTCGCGAAATGCGCGGTTCTGCGAGAACGGCTTCCGCGGGGTTCAGCGAGAAGCGCGTGCACGGCTCTTGCCCTTCACGACCCGGCGTGAAAGCGCGTGCAGCGCAAGGTTGCAACTCTGAAGCTTCGAAGGAGAAGCTGTTGGTGTTCTTCACTGGTGAGGACAGGGAGCCCATCCCAAAGCTGGCCATCTGGAAACCGGAATCAATTCAAACCATCTTGAATCTTGAACATCTCTGAACCTATGACACATGTTCTGAACCACCCTCTTGAACGGAACGCGTGGTCATCTGGTTTGGAGTTGCTGGAACAATTCCATCGCCTACCTGGACCATCCAATGGGTGTCTAATGGAGATCCCGGATAGTAGGGTTTAGGATGGGTTTAATTAGCCAGGTGACCCAGGTCCTGGTCGGATGGTGGTAGGAATGAGTGTTGACCTCCGTTTTCAACCTTCCAGTTCGATGGACACGAAACCGAAACGTCACCAGTTCCGATTCGTGGGTCGTCCGGGGACCGTGGCGGTCGCGAGTCGCGATCGCGACTGGGTCAAACTAGTGGTCAACCCGATGGGGACGGTATCTGGCACTCTAGTTTTGTAAAGAAGTAGAGGAAATTCCTGAACTGGGGTCATCTAAAGACCTTGTTTCAAATCGTCGACTGGACTTGGAGGGTAGATGGAGATAGGGGGATCCAAATTGGAGGCCCCTTTTCAAGTGGCTTGTTCTCCGAACCAGTCCAGAGTGACCAGTCATCGAGCTATCAAGTTTCGGCACTTCATGAGCTTCATTGTTCGGCGCACGTGGTGGATGCCATGAAGTGGCGCAAGGAAAGCGAGAAGTGTGAAAAGCGAATAAACATTGTATGACAAATTGATGACATGTCGATCATTTGTACGTCGTTTTTGCCATTTGGAATATGCCATGTCTTGGGGCTGTGTTTGGTCCAAGACCTGCGTGCAGGTCTACCGGCCCGCAGTGTTTGTGATGGTGCGCACAGAGAGCGAAGACCCGGGAAGTCCAGTTTACCATCGTTGACCCGAGTTAAGGAATGTCCTGCAAACTTCGGTGGTGGAAAATATAGTCTTTGGATGTCTTTGGATAGTCTTTGGACTTGTAAGGGAATAGCTTAAGTGACTTCTCCAAATAGCAGGTGTGTGGCCGTCTGCGGTGGCCAGGACCCAACGAGAGGTCCATCAGCGATGCTCACTCGCCAGCCGCTGAGGGAAGACCTGTGTCGCATGTCATGCCACCATCGCTGGACACATCACCTAATCATTCCCCATGATCCCCTTCTGCACGTACGAGTACATCGGGCGATGGCACGAACGCAGTCACGAACGCATATTGGTTAGGACTATCACTATTAAGATTATATATCACATAGTGCACACCCCACCACATCATCGTTCCTCGTGCGAAACCGAGGGCTGTCGCTGCCCTCGCGCGCGGCGCCACCTGAGCCGAGCCTCGTCTGGGCCCCATGGGGACGAGCTGGGACCGGAGCTGGGCAGTGTCTCCGGGGCTTCCGAGTGGAAGGTTGCATTCCTATGCCAGCACCCTCCAACAGGTCTCCTTTGGAGGGTTGTTAGGCCCTAACAGGTTTCAATTGGTGACCTGTTGGAGGGTGCTGGTGCTGAGGCTGCATTCTTGCACGAGATCCTGTCTTTTAGTGGGTGTGAGCGGTTTGTTCTGGAGTTCGAGGTGCACATGATTCACTCACAATAGGGATCGGAACCTCATGTCACTGGGTCTGGTCAAAAAACACGATCAACAGTACGACCTCTCGGAGCGGCCAAAGTCAAGCGTCCTCCCGTCCTGGTGCCCTCCCATCCCGGCACAGACCGAGGCCGTGGCTTCCGTGGCCCCGAAGCCTTCGGATGGACGGGGCCTGATGACGGCCTTCGGAGATGTGGCGGTCACAGCCGTTCAGGTGCCGTCCGTGAGGAACTCATCAGGAAGACTTGCCCAGACCGGCATGAGGGATGTCAACATATGTCGTTCATGGAAGTGAACCTATACGTATATAAGCCTCATTGATACCTGATCGTACATGCACTCGCAAGTTCCGTCTCTTGCGCGTGCGTTTTGGGAGGAAAAGCGAGAGGTGTGTCGGGATGGGCGTGATTCAGGTGGATAGCGAGCGCTATTGCATTTGCCTGGTGAATATGCCGCCTTGGCCAGCTGCTCTTCAAGCTGGTGTCCCCTCCTCAATGTATGCAGTGCAGCTTTCTTTTCGTTTAGGTCGACTCTCTCAGGGACACCTAGTGGTACTGGGTACTTGACACTCGTGCCGCGACACGGGAAGTCGTGCCATGGCCGCTGTGCCATGAACTAGGTCTTTGGTGTAACCTGGTTCAACCTAAGCATGTATGACATCAACCTGTAAGTTCTTTTACCAATTGCATTGGCACGGCTCCATCATATGATCACATATGGCTATCTCATGAATCCCACTCAGCAGTCTCATGTCAGCTTTGTTTCCGCGACTGCACTCTCGTCGTGGTGCTGTGCAGGCGCGCGGGAAACCTCGTGCTTTGGTGGTCTCATATTTGTTCTTCTATGTGTGCTCTATGTGTGATCTCATACCTATCATACGTGTCTTGTTTACATTGGTGCTCTTGCGTTGTGCTGGCTTGGGAGCCGCTACGCGTGATGTGTTCTTGCAGCGGTCAGGGAACGGTTGCCCCGCCTTGAGCCTGGCTCATGGACGCCAGCCCAGCCTGTGAACAAAGGTGACCAGCTTTGCTCCACCAATGGCAAAAAGGGTGCACCCTTTTGTCTGCTTGGTTTGTTCATAAAGAGAAAAGGAAGTCCTGTATGTGCATTATGTGCGCTCTCATGTGTTTGCTCACATCTGTGTGCTCTCATATGTGCTCTTATATGGGTGCCCTTGTGAGTGCTACCATATGCATGTACTCACACATGTGCTCTTTTAAACGTGTGCTCTCAGATGTTTGCTCACCCACGCGTGCTCTCCTGTGGTGTGCTCACTTATGTGTGCTCATGCTGTGCTCTCACACGTGTGCTCTGATGCTCTGTTGTTTGCTGTCACACGTGTGTGGTCTCACGCGCGTGCTCTTGTTTGCGTGCTCATGTGTTTTGTTGGGAAGGCCTGGTGTCTGGTGTGGCTTCACCCAGGCATACTTGGCATGGCTTCACCCGCGTGGAATGAGTGGTTTTTTTCATGTTTTATTGAACTTCAACTTGCATGTTTGGTGAACAGATTCACCTAGGCATCCATGTCGTTCACTTTGGTTCATTTTTTCCGTGAATCAACTTCAATATTTAAGTTGCTCTTCTGTGCGCCTATGTGGTCCCAAGCCACCCTGGAAACATTCAGGACGCGCACTCCGCAGGTGGACGGAACCTAGCTGGGTGGCTGTGTTTGCGGTTCTGGGTGGATCTGAGTCACAGCGTCCGACTCTGTGCACGTCGACGCAGTCGAAGCTCTGCACGCGCTTGGCACAGATCGATTTCTGCGGCGCGTTTTTTTTTTTCGTTTCCCCTGTTTCCACTCCGATCGGTTCAATTTTGTTCACGTATGTGCTCATTCAGATGTTTCCTCCTTTTGCTCGCGCATGATGCTGTTTGCATTCCTGAGCGTCCTTGAGTCCTTGCGTGTTTAGGTTTTTTTAAGCCTTGACTTGGGATGATTGACCATGATCATTGAGCCCACCGACTAGTACATGTTGCAACGTGTCAAGTGATTTGAATCCGCCAACCAGCATGGACACTCGGCCAGACTGGGCCAGACTCCATCGGGCGTCGGTGCCTCCGATCCCCGCGGCCGGGAAGGTTCAACAGATCGTGGAGTTCGGCATCGCAGGCGCCGCAGATTTCGGGGAAAACACATGCACAAAACGAGTTGTGCTGTGAAAGCTTGGTCAAAGACGTGGGTCAAACCATGTCAAACTGAAGACACCTGTTGAGCCTTGCAAGAATCGCTCCACGAAATGGCTCCGCTCTTTCCGCGTGGCGATGCCCGGTTCCTTTCGTGGTCCATCGTGCCGCTGCTCCATCCGTCGTCGATTCCGAGACGGACGGAGCCTCGGTGTTCCGGACAGACGGAAGACGGGGCACATCCTCCACGGGTTTCAAGTTGGGACTTGGATGGACTTGGTATCCAGGCAGTTTACCCAAACACCTTGCCCCAAACGTCCAACCTCGTCCCAGATTTGGGGAGACCGGCGGATCGAGATGGATCGAGATGGATTGAGGACTTTCGCTGCTGCCAGAAGGCGTGAGTGTGGGTCATATCCAAGTGGCTGCCTGAGTTCTCGAGGGGTTTATGCTGGAATCCGAGGGATCATGTGAATTGCATGGGATAAACCATTCACTGGGTGGCTGAATCGAACACCCAGCAGAACGCCTGTCTAACTCCAAAAACCACCATGCCAAATAATTAGCTTAGCTCAACAAAAACCGCTGTCTGCGAGGTTTCATCGCTGTCAGCGGGTGTTTCTTCAGGCCTTCGAACTGCCATTTGGTCCGATGGAAGTGGGACTCTGAGGTTCTGACGCCTCATGGATTGCTGAGTTGCCCACAGGACGACTGGATGGCCCGGTCTCGGGGTTTGGGCGAAGCGGTTGGGATGCAGAACTACGGTTCTGTGACACCCCACGGATGAAACTCGAAGCTTGCCAGCTATAAGCGCCAATTTTGACGACATTGCAGTACTTCACCACACCTGCCTCAAAGTTCAAGAGACATCAAAAGACTAAATATGCTCACACCAAGATGCCCACGGAGTTGCACCCTTTCGTCAGCTTCGCACTCCACGTTGCGAGGACATGTTTGGCGGCGACAAGGTACCCCGGCCCGGTGCGAAAACAGATGGGCTGTTGTAATAACCCCGCGCTAAGCGGTTTAGTATTGGCATGCACCTTAACACTATACTAATGCATTCCTACCCCCGAAAACGATAAGAGTAAAAAAACGATAACAATGATTATACCTGCACATTCAGAACAAAAAGCTACTAGGGGCTCCTGGCCTTACTACCAGGAACACGAAGCTGCTAGGGACTCCTGGCCTTACTACTAGGAACAAGAAGCTACTAGGGACTCCTGGCCTTACTACTAAGAACAATGACCAAAAGCTACTAGGGACTCCTTGCCTTACTACAAAGCAACATCGCTACCAGGAACAAGAAGCTCTTAGGGGTTCCTGGCCTTACTACTAGGAACTGAATGGGCTGTTTGGTCCATATGCTGCAGCGGAAATGTAGCAAAAAGCAGCCCTGGTGGGCAAGTACCAATTTGACTGTTTTCGTTAGACCTTTTGAAGGGCAGAAGTGTGCAATGTGGTAGTCTTGTTTAGCTGTCTATATCTGATCTTTGCGGCTGCCATGTCTTTACCACCAAAGACGGTGTACGCCTTGGTACAGGCAGTGCTACGGGATCCTGAAGTAGGACCATGTAGGCCACCAAAGGACATCTTTTGGTTTGTGATCTTCCACCAAAGATGCTTTCACACGAGAAAACGATAAGAGTAGAAAAAGCGACAACATGGTTTCGAGGTATTGCAAAAGACACGGGGTTTTTACAACACCCCAGATGGCAATGCCAAGGAAAGTCGGAAAGTCCAAATCGTGCACATGCCCAAAGCTCAAGATACGCCTGACAACCAATACATGGAAACTGCCACAACTGGCCAGTTCAACTGGCTTGAAAGATCTTTCAAATGAATTTCCTCTAAATGGATGATCAAGACCATTGAAGACTCAGCTGAGTTGACATGAGGACACCGAAACAATATATGTGTTTGTGATAAATCATGATAAATCTCTCAAAGGTATGCTTATGTATGCTTGAGGCATACCCTTCAGCTGGTGATTTTCACCATTTCAATCTCCGTTATGATATCATCGCAAGAGGTTCACCTGAGCCGCATCGGCTTGACCGGCACGACCGGCCCGGCGGCCATCTGTGCCCACACGACCGGCCCGCCAGGAACTCGAAGGCAAAGCTCCGTCCACCGCGGACGCCTTTCTCCAGGTGGCCTCTGACTTCTTCGACGCGGGACAAGAGGCGGGAGGCGACGTGCACCTAAAAAGGGGCCGCAGCGGGTAAGAGGAGGTCAGCTACTATAGCTGAAGTAGCTATTATAGCGATAGGAGGCAGGTGGCTCAGGTTTCTTCAAGGAGGGCGGGAGGGAAATTATTTGAAAGAAAACCTCGCACAGGTATACCCAAAAGCAAATGGAGTCGGAGTAGTCAGATAAGAACCGTCCTAGAAAGTAAAGCAATGTCAACATCTGGTTGGTGCAGGTGGTGGGTGTCGGTGGTTGGTTTCATTGGCACCTTGGTTATCCTTCGTTCTGTGTACACCGTGAACTGACCGACCCACCATCGCGGGGGGACCGACCGGTGTTTGGTTCCCACGGGTCAAATGCGAATCGACGACGGAGGTCAACCCCTGGATGAAACGGGCAGGCGGTGCACATCCTTTCCACCAGACCTCATTACTGGGCGGCTCCGCGGCTCCGCGAGGATCAGGCCTCCTCGCTCTGTGGCCGGGCCTTCTCGCAGATGGGCGCGCAGGCCATGCTCGCAGCCGTGCCTCGTCGCACGTTAGGCCTCACGGAGCGAGCTGTGGAGCCGCGGAGCTGCGCACATTCGCAAAGCACATAGAATCAAATAGACTTCCAATCACCATTTAATAGGCTGAATCCCGAAGCAACTAAGGATTTTACACTACAAAACCAAGTCAACGATTTTTTGATGGTGGACGTCTAGGGAATAGATTGTATAATACTTGTATGATATTATATATATGTATATGATATTATATTTGTCTACACCCTCCAACCACCATTAATTGAATTGCCTTTTACCAAACAACATCAAACAACCATTTAGTTTTGGGCAACTAAGCGGTCTGTACAGGGTCCAAGGCGGAGCACTTCGCCCTGTCACAAAACGTACCAAAACCTTATCAGTTATCAGCAACAGCATTTATTCCGAAGTAAAAATCAAACCAGGTGTTCATCATATTCATCATTGCTCTCACATGGGTTTTGCTCCCATGCATAAGTTCCCCGTCGACCTGCGTTCCCGCATGCAGATTTGACATGATTTAACAATGAAGACTTTGAATGCACATATAGTCAACTTGGCTACGAATCCTCCGTTCCACCTTGACACACCTGTCAAGATTCCAAATCCTGCACCTCTTGTCGTATACCCGGTTTACCCGGATATCCCACAGCAAAAGATTGATTCATTCAACCGAGATCTACTACGTCTTGCCTTTATTCGTGGTCATGATCCATTCCGGGCTCATGACCCATGGCCAGATTTGATTAGTTCACGCAACACAGCCAATTCGTGTAATTCGTTGGAGCATCCTTTTGTTTCATAGCTAAGACCATCTTTCCTCAGTAGCCCTTTACACACACCATGTGGTCCTAGGAATGTACAGCATTACAATTCACAATTCCTCCAAATTGATCTCTGAAAACCCCCACAGCCCCACAACCATAGTGGAAGCGTCCATGAGAAGCGCGACAGCGTCCGCGAGAAGCGCGACCAGACCATTGTTTTACAAAAGGATTTGATGCTACAACACCAGGTCGACGATTTTGTTGATGGTCTTGGAAGCCTAGGGTACCAGGAGTCACAAAGGGGTGGAGTTTGGTCCCTAAGTGAGTGGATAATGGGCACCCCTAACCTCCAATAGGCACCCCGTCTTGTGACTCCTGGTATATGTTCTGTCTATTTCTTTTGAAAGTGATTTCCGGAAGAGTCTTGTTGTCCCTGGTTCCCATGCTTGAGAATTTTCAATTAGACGCCGAACCCGAAGAGTCTCGGTTGAACCGGGTCTTCCTCGCCGAACCACTGAGGTGGAGCGACGGACTCAGCATTTGCTGGATTCTGGAGGCAAGGGCGCGGCTCACGAGGATGCCCTTTTGGATGGAGCGGGGAGGGTAGGCAGAAACCGCTTTTCTTGGGTTTCTTTGAACAAAGTATTGTGATCAGGATCTTAACGTTATTGTTGCGATCTTGTTGAGGGAATCAATTATGTTGTTGTTTATCCTGCTATGAACTTGTTTTGTTCCTGATATATCTGATATGATATGTTGATACCCATGATGTCAGTTTCACCAGTGCAAGCTATGGTGGACACGACTGAGTTTATTGGGGATAAACTCTAACAACTTCTTCTATGGAGTTCACTCACAGCCAAGCCACAGCTAAGGTGGCAGAGTTCACGTCCTTTTCAGAAATCCACCTGAAAACCCCGAAAAGCCACCTCCGGTGGTTGAGGAAGAATCCTCCGGAGGTCCATTCTTAGGTTCCAGACGTGAGTCTCTTTTTTCGACGCGTGCGCCGCGCCGCTCGCGTTACTCGCCGCGCGGCGGTGAGCGACGAGGCGAGCGGCGAGTCGGTGGGAACATCATGTGTGTCGCATCCCACTGTCGCAGCCCTTTGGGGTGGTGGGTGGGTGGAAATAGAGGTCAATCGGGTTCTAGAGGCACTGGTTCTAGGCACTGGCTAAGTGGATACAACCCAAACTGAGGATTCCCTAACTGAAACTCCGCTTTTTGGGAGCTGAATCCATACAGTGGTTCAAGATACAAAGGAAAGGCTGGTGTATTTTGCAAATGCGTATGGACTGCCAGGAGGTCAAGCTACCAGGCATTTTGGAGGGCTGAGGTGTCGATAACCATGTAGACTGAATAACTCCACCCGGACTGGAGATGTAAAATCCGCTTCTGGACACTGGAGACGGGGTTTGTGATTCATTCTAGCCGTCTACGTGATTGTGACCACTGAAGCACTTGGCCTTCGCAAGTTGGCGACTTCTATCCTTCGCATGCCTTCGCAGATGAGACAAACGTGGCTGCCCAACTGTCCAAGAAGTCCAAGTCGCTGGCCGAGTGGCTCCGCTTCCTGCACCAGGCGAAGCATCTGTCACGGTCACAAGGAGGATTCACGGTCTGCGTGTGTCAAAGGATAAATTTATGGAGACTCCGGATTTAATACCCTCCCCACTTGGATTGACACACCTCTTTATATGCGGGGTTTATCAATCAAGAGTCTAATTAGTGGAGGGATGCCCGGGTCTCTTTTGATCGACGAGTTCTTTGAGCAAAGATGTTACTCGTACTGTATTTGGTGTTATCGGTTTCACTCGTTTGGAGACAGCACGTCCTCAGAAAAGTGCCAATGCCCAAACTGGGTATGTTGCTGGTGTTCTTCACTTCAAACAGACTCAGGCTGGTGTGTGGATCCGCATGGGCAATGCTCCCAACATCACTGCGGCACAACAGAAGATGGTGGAGGTGAACGTTGGGACCTTCGAACGTTGGGACCTTCGAACTGTTTGCGTTCACAGCTGGAGCAAAGACTTTCCAAAGCAGGGCATGCCGAGCGCTGCTAGTAGCTGCTACTGTAGCTGCTACTGTAGCTGCTGCAGCATGTCGTCTTTCATCCCTGGCTTTTTTCATGCTTTTTCCCACAGTCTGTGTGGGTGGTCTATCGCTCCGGACCCGAGATGAGCGTTCGAGCTGAGCGTTCGCTCGCAGCGAATCGATGGCTCCAGGCCTGCGAGCGAATCTCAGCTCTTCAGCAAATGCAGGAGTACCATGACTTGGAGCCGGACGTGTTTGCCCCTCGAAACTGCAAGAGCTTTGGGTGGGAAACGAGCGTCCATTCTTTTTGGGGTGGAAAACCTGACCCTCCCGCAGTTCCGGGGGATCTCCGCAGTGATTTGAGGGGGGAAGCCTTGTTGCATTTTACAGGTGAGGTGGCTCCAAGTGATCTTGGATGTGGGTCGAAGATGGAACGCAAGGGCCTGGATGTCTTTGGGTATCGCTGTATCAAGGTCTTGGGGGGGCTTCAACTGCTTTGTGGATGACCCAAGCTCGAGCCAACCCGAGAATCGAGGAATGCGAACCCGGGTGGCCCGTTTCGTCCGGGTTCCTCGTTCCTGGTCGTTTTCGGTGGTCAACACGAGTCCCTTTTTTGACCCACCTGTAGCGTACAGAGAGGAGACTGTAGGGCCTTTTCGTGAAGCCTTGCGAAACGCCCAACCCGGTTGGTCACCGGCACCAGCCCTAATATATATATATATAATACATATATCCAAATCCATGAAAGTTGCATCACTTTGCAGCTAGAAAAGGGGGACGACCGCAATCGGTTGAGATGCTGCTTGTCTGCCTCCTTTGGCACGGTCATGCTGGTCATCCACGCCAGTCTTAAGACGCCATCCACGCGCTCGTCTTACTGTATTGGATGCCGAACTGACGAACAGGTGACGAGAGAATACGAGAGAGGCGCGAGCCTGCGCTCGGCTCGCACGGGACACTCCCGAGTTCCCAAAAAGGATTATTATGTTGACGTGGATGGCATGGCCCCTTTCGTTCGAAGGACCATGTTCCGAAGACCAGACTTACCAAACAGGTGGTTTTCCAAGTTTTGATGATTCCAAAATTTGGAGCTCTTTGCCTTGGAACTCAGGCCAGCTCCATCCATCATGCTTTGGATACGAAAGGCCGCCAACGGGCGAGGGCCCAGCCGGGATTCGATGGGTGAGGTTGGTCGAACTCGAATGATCGCCAAAAAGCCTACCGACCGGAAACAGAATTTAAGAGGTGAGATGCTACTTGCAAAGCCACTTCAGGTTTGTGAGATACTCTTCAACCGAACGAGCTGCTCTTACTTTGAGCCTGTTAAAGGAGCGGGAGCACCTTTCACGGCCATCCAAGATCAGGTGTTCCTTTGCCGAATCGACCAGCGAATCAATCGAAGTGACTGAGAAATCACCATTCTTGGGGCCAGGCATTTGAGACGAGCATCGACGAGCATCCAAGAGTTTAGTAGTTTAGTAGATGAATTCGTGAATTCTCCCATTTTGGCACTGGGTCACGGTCATTGACCCACACCAAGTTCATGGCCCTTGCTTATCCTGGTGTTGCTAAATCCTCTTCTGGGGAAGATGCTTTTTTTGGCTTCCGAGACTCGGAGATTGAGAAGACTGTCTCGTGGAGACGACTCAGAAACTGAATGTGAATCATTATAAATCGATATACCAGGAGTCACAAAGGGGTGGATTTTTGTCCCTAAGTGCGTGGATAATGGGCACATATGAGCACCCCTAACCTCCATTAAGCATCCCTTTGTGACTGCTGGTACTTAGTTTTTTCCGGTTCCTGGACAGCAAATCCAAGTTATGGATCAATTTCCTTTTGGGCATCTTGTGTTGATTGCCACCATCGCACGAAGGAGGCAGCAAGTCTCCTGAAGAGGAAGCGTTGGAATTTTATGGCCGTGAGAGTCTTGGATGGGTTTGGTAGAAGATCTTCTTACTGTATCTACTATGCATGCATACATATATATATATATATGTATGCATGCAGGGATCACAAACGCTACTTCGAGCGGATTCAAAGACCCCTATATATGCCTTTATGCGGCCTTTGCATGAAGTGTTGGTCCAATCTCAACACGATCTTCAATCCACCACAACCAGTAGAGTCAGTAGAGCTCAGTAGAGCGATGTTCAGCGCACAATGTCACCATGTTCAGTGGGTCTTAACAAGCCTGCACTCCGAATTCTGGAGCTGCAGAGCCAACATAGAAGACTTTGAGTTCCACTTTATAGGACATATAGTTCCGCCATGAAGGTGTCCCAGTACCTGTTTAGTCGACAATCCTTTTGTCACGATGTTCGACAAAGGCCTTGACCAAAGCATCATCCAGTGGGCCCACTTGCATCCATTTTCCACCTGACCAGTCTAAGGTCCCAGTGAGTGTGAGCGCTTGCTCTCAAGCCTCGCAGAGTATCCGCGCACCTTGCCCTTCGGTGCCTGCCTCAGCGGGGTTTTTGGATGGGCCAGTTGCTTGCTGGGTGACTCTTGACGGGTCAGCAGTTGAGGGTCTGAGTGGTCCATGACTGAAATTAAGATTGAAGCTTGAAACCTATATGAAACCTATCTGTTCCTATCTATCCTATTTGTTTACTGTAATTCTGTTTATAAATGAAATTAGAGAGAGTGGACCCCTGAGTGGCAACAGGGACAGCATCCACAGCACCCGAGACAGAAAACAAGTGAGGATTTCTTGAAAGTAAACCCGTAAACCCAACAACATGCAGGAATTTGACCCTTTCCCCTGTCCTGAGGTGCAGAACACCCTGCTGCCTGGTCTGATCAACCTCGTTGAATATGAGCAAGGGTGTTCTTTTGTATGATAAAATCCAGAGAATAACCATGAGTGTACCACTCACAGAGGTTGCGAACGAAAAACGGAATATTTCATGACATGAGGTCCTTTGACCTGCTGGGCGGTGACACCGATTGAAGCAGGCTAATGTAGACTCTTGAGTAGTAACCCCCCAAATGAAGAGGTTCAATTCAAAAGGGGGATTATTAATCAAGAGTCTCCATTACGGCGTGGTCTACGAGGCTCTGGTGGTGCCTGGGATGCCGTGGTCTTCGTGCACGGTGTGGTCTGTGGCTTCATCGAAGCTGCCCTCGCCGCCCGACCTTGTTGAGACTCTCAAGAATTCAGGGGAACGCCGGGGTGACACACCTATGCTGGCGGTTTGAAGTATTTGTGTTCTGTAATTTCATCTCTTTCTCTCCAGGTACTGTATATGAGGGGCAGAGATCAAAACGGCCACCAGACTGGCTGTGGTCGGTGTTGAATCATGGAACCTAGACTGGTCAACTACGTACTGTACTTGCAAAACACTGCGGTTCATGTGTTTGTTCCCATGGCAAAAGGGAGTTTAGACCACCATCGTGTCTGACTCTTGTGCACACCGCTGCAGACTTATTTGTGCAGAAATGGTTGTGGTAGCCTGATAGGGGAGTGGAAAGAGAACTACATGTGGAAACCTGGCTGTTGGATGGTGGTTTCAGACATGTTTTTGTTCCAGCTTTACTTGGGATGATTGTGCGGATTGAACCCACAGATCCTCATATGTTGGGGTTCGTGACTGGTGGGTGACTGGAGGCGTCCAGACCCGTCGAACGAGATCGTGGCAAACACCGGACCGAATGTCTTGCATGGTCCACTAATTAGTGTACATATTATATATATGCATATATGTATATATCATATATACTGTATAATGCATTAATGTACAAATATATATATATATACATATACTGATATACTATGTATACTGTATACATATATGATATATTATATACTGTATAATCAAGTCACAAATCAGAAAGGACTTGCCGGGGGGCACAGCTAGTTTTGATTAATCTTCACATGGGATGATGTAGTGTCAGGAGAAGGGAAAAAACAAAACATGGCACGGGATAAGCCTGGCAGTCATTTTGTGTTCCTGAGATCGTCTGTGCCTACCCATGTTCCCACCCCTGCAAGATCATGCATACAAAGACGAAGAATTATGTTTTCCGGATATACGCCCATCGAGTAGACGGTACCTGTTCAACCAGCTCTGGCAGGAGCGGCGATCACACATTTTGAAGGCGCATCCAACGTCCTTGTCCCGGGACTCAGGAAATCTCGGGGTCATGGGTCATCGGTCCGGTGGATGCTGTCGCACTCGGCCTGGATCGATACCCTCTAAGAGGAGCATTTTTGATGATCAGTGTCTCACTAGGTCAAGATGTGAGACCATTCCCCCAGCGAATGCAACTGGACTGAGCGGCTGTTTACACCAACAGGCCCGGCCTGCGTCGACATAGTCGACCAACTGGACTGCAAGTGGAACATTTGCTGTGCCCGAAAAGGGCACATAAAGACTTATATACATCATTTCTCAGTCAATTTCACAATGACATGGGGATCTCCTGGTGATTTTGATAGCGAACTGGTCGAACAATGATGATCTGTAGGCGTAGTGGCTCAAACCATTATGGCTTGAACAATGGAGATTAAAAAACACTCTCAGGTGCCACTGTCACCCAGCTTCATGAAGAGGAATTGGGCTGAGAGTGGAAAATATGTTATATATGGATCTGAAGAAACTCCTGGTCGGGTTGGAGTCTTTGATAGATTGTGATAAAGGCTGTTGAGTGAAGGCATGGAAGAGCTCCAGGATGATTATGGGTGTGTAATTGAATAGGGAGACCCTCAACCGATGGGTAGACTGGTCTATGTCCCTTCTTCCAGGGGGTCGAACAGGGAGGTCTCCCTAGTAAAAAATGCACACCCATATTATCCCATATTCGCATGCAAGAGAACTACCAGGCGTGCAGTTGGTAATCCTGGACTTCTGTGCACCTGAGGAGACCGCTTCTTGGGCTCTACTTCTCACGGGTGAGACTGAGAACAATCAAATTGTTGAAGTTACACAGTTGCTTCAAAAATTACTGGATGGCACTTCAAAGGTGCAGACACCTACCCTCCAGCTATGTATTGTGCAGCAAAAGGGGCCATGTGCACATGGCACAGTTCTTGCTAGAGGCTGGGGCTGACAAGAATGCGGCATGTGGAGATGGGCAGCTGCTTTGATGGCTGCAGCTCAAGTAGCCATTTGGAAGTGGTGCGGTTGCTGCTGGAGGCTGAAGCTGACAAGAACGTGGCAACTCAAGATGGGGAAAGCGCCATAGCTGCAGCTTGCCTTCGGCCACTTGGTGCGACTGTTGCTCCTCTTCCTGGGGCGGTGAGCACCTCAACTGCCGAGCAGGGTGGCCATCCGGAGGTGGAGGACTTGTTGGCACATCGTCAGCATGATTGCCCAAATCAGAATCTTTGGAAGACAATCCAAAGACGGAATGAATACGCTCTCTATGCAAAGCATCCAAACTTCTGCTCAATCCTGAATGGGTATGCGTATGTCATGTCCGGATACAAGCTTAAAACGATGTCCTTGTCTTCACGGTGGAAAGGGGGAACCTTTTGAGAAGGTTTGCAAAGTGTTACCAAACTTGAGGATCTTGAAGTTTTATTGCCTTGGTAGGGACAAAGTGACCCGCACTCAAGGCCACCTCCTGACTCGCATCAGTTGCAGAGGCGGGCTCGAACTGGTGGGACCGGTGGCTCAAGTCGGACAGGTCTAGCTATGATTTGTTCCCTTTTTCTGTTACTTGGTCTCTTCCCTACACCATGACCTTGCAGCGTTTTCGGATTGCACGCCACATTTCAGGTATTGGCCCAGATCTGCACCAAGTGTCAAAGGAGTTGGAAGTGGCCCGAAGCCTCAAGTACCCCCAGAGCTCTGCAGCCAAAGGATTCTCCGCAAGATCTTTGCAGTTTGTACCTCTCTTTTTGATTGGGCAAAGGATGATACTTCTCGCAATATCTGAGAGATGCCTGCAAACCTCCCCTAAAATTCGATCATTAAAGAAACGACACCTCCTCGATAGACCCTTCCTATCATTTGGATGGTTGCTTGTCGGCTCTCTGGGCCTTTCTAGCTGTCGAACGGCTTTAGCAGGACAGTTCCGTGACCCAGGCTGGCTGATGGCCCCATCTGTGCAACGCGCACTGGAAGAGATCCGGAGCCTGAGTCCGGCGCCCTGGGGTCGGCTGTGTGGCGTCGCTTGGGCGGTAGTTCTGTAAGTAAAGGTGGTCATGTTTGTGAGAAGAAAGGGACAAAACACACCACAAAGCCACAGAAAACAGATGAAAACAGACATCTCACCCTTGTACACGATGTTTGGATTATGGGAAGGAAATAGTGAACCAGGGTGGAGTCGACACCAGTGAGAATGTGTGTGTCAAACTCAAGAAAGCCTGCAAGACAACACCCTACCCATTGGCAGCTGGCTCCTCAATTACGATTCAGTAAGGTTGGTGAAAGAAGCCCCTTTATTGGAGTTTGCTTCGCGACGAGCCATGTGAGGTTAAGCTAGAACACAGCATGATAGCTGCGATCGCTTGCTTGGTCACGGTGGGCGAGGCATATGCTGAATACGTGTGTGCCAATGTGTGCCACACATACAAGCGTGACATTTGCTGAACCCAGCAAATACCTGCAGAGACAGGACCGACCTGGCAGCATTGAAGTAAGTAAGGAACCTGGCAGCCAGGCAGCATTTGTTTCGTTGCGACCGCCAAAGCCTGTCAAAACCAAGCAAAACACCTGTTTCGCCATGAGGCTGCACGCCAGAGACCAGTCAGACCTTATGAAAGCTAGATTAGATGAGCCACTTTCAAAAGGAAATGCAGAGACCTTATGCCGATGAAGAGCCTCACAGGTTAAGTCTAGAATTCTAGAAGAGCATTTTATGGCGGCCTGTGGTGCACTTATGAATCTGATGAGAAGAGAGAGAGAGAGAGAGAGAGAGAACCTTCTATATTGTGTTATTACTTTTTGTATTTTCAAGAAGCAAAATGAAGGGCATTTTGTGTCGATGTGCGCTGCCACATGGCAAACGATAGGACATAGCTACCATACCCCTGACCAAGATTGTCCAAGAACACCTATTAGACGGGCCTCGTACAGTGGAAAACAAACACAATGCTCTAGACAGAGGGCGTTGATTGTCGGGCGTGAATCTGTGAAATGCGAAGCCGTGGCCATCCCCTTTTTTTGGACGGATAGTGCTTGGGCAATCTCAGAGTACACAATTAATATGAACAAGGAAAGTCGAGCTGCAGGAAATGTGCATTGGAGCAGAACCTGAATTCATGCGAGTGACATGTGCACGTGTCAGAATGGGTCGACTGGCCAGCTAAGAAGACTCCCCAATACACTCCCCACAAAACCCCTTAGTTCGACTCCCTGGAAGAAGGGAAATAGATCAGTCTACCCATTGAGCCAGGGGGTTCCGAATTAAAATACACCAGGTGAACAAAATGTGGGAGAGATCAGTTGGTCCCCTTTCGCTGATCATTTGCCCTTTCTCGAGGCTTAGAAGTGCTCCCGGTTCCGAAGCAACGACTTCCTTTGCTTGATGCGCAGGCGGGGAGGAACAAGTAGCAGAAGCATCAGACAGGATTCAGTTGAGGCTGAAAATATCTATATACAGTAGATAAATTTCTTTGCATTTGCATGTTCTAGAAAAAGCAGAGGAATGCAGCCAGCACATGGAATATGGTAATTTGCACACCTGGGCTTTCATCGACTTGTTTTCTGGTGAAAGCCAATGCACACTCCATAGGAACTACCCAGACGCTCCATTCACAGTCCGTCCGGTCTCTCGAAACCAGATTGGTTTGGGTCTGACTCCACGGAGGGTCCAGGTGAACGGCGTCTAATTCGCCAGGCACCTTGCTACTAGTAGCTTCTTGCTACAAGTAGCGATGGCCTCCAACCTAGTAGCGATGACCTCCAACCTACTAGCGATGGCCTCCAACCTAGTAGCGATGGCCTCCAACCTAGTAGCGATGGCCTCCAACCTAGTAGCGATGGCCTCCAACCTAGTAGCGATGGCCTCCAACCTACTAGCTTCTTGTTGCTAGTTGGAATGGTCAACCTGCCAGGCCTTGCGCGTGGTTGAAGGTCTTCAGCAGCTCTGCCGGAGCACCCTGCGCGCTGCACATGAACGGATGCTCAGAGACGTGTAGAACTCTCTTCGCTTTTTGCTGGTTGAGCAAAGGTAGTTCTATGAATTGGGTGGGCTACAATCAACCCCCAATGCAGTGTGGGTACCGATATACATAGACAGCAATGCTACTCCGTGGGCTACGAATTTGCGGGGCTGATGTAGCTTCTAGTGAACCAGAGCGTATGGTTCATTCGTCCCTACTTGCCGGGTAGGCAGGAGGTGCCGAAAGGTGTATGGGCTTGAGCAGCCCAGCTTTTTGGGAACAGACATCATACAGTTGTATTTTGCCCAGTTCCGGTCATCATCTCATAGGATTATAGGGCAATATGTATTCAAGAAGGTAGACCCTCCGGACTCTCCAAACAGGCTTTTTCTTGATTCATCCTCTATCGGAATCAGGGAGGAAGATGTTGGCCGGAATCACTTCCGGAATATTCCAGAATCATAGAATGTGCGTTTACAAATTGAGCCAACATCATCCAAAATCCACTTCGATCCCTATGCTCTTTGACCATTCGAGCAAGTTCAGAATGAGCCTGATTTTGAAAGGTTGATCTCCTCCTTTGCAATCACCTTCGCCCACTAGGCCACCAGAGCCAGCAAGAACGCCACGCCTTGGCCATCTGAGTTGTTTCGTGCTTTTTTTGGCATCGCCAGGCGAGCTTCGTCGATCTCCATGCGAGTCCCATGGTCGGGGCCCATGGTCGGCGCCCTCCCTTTCGACCCTTTGGTGGGGCCTTTGGCCTAGCCGAAGGCAAAGACGTTGAGTTGTTATTGGTTTGTTGGAGTCTTTGGAGGTTGTGACTGAGATATTTAATTACTTGATGTTTGTAAACCTGTAAACCTTTAGAGCTCTCAGGTTAAGAACATCACAATCGAAAGGCCCGAAAGGCCTGCAACTGAACCAACCATCATCTACTGTTACTATTGAATATTATTGGCACATGTACTGCCCTGTCCTGAGAACCGCTTCTCCAACCACCGGTGACCCCAGGGTATACCCTAGGCTTTCTGGAACGACCATTTTTACAAAAATGGGAATAGTGTCACATCCGTAAAACAATGGCTGGTTGATGTTGTTTGGGATTCTGGTTGGAAGCCTAGGGTGAAGAGGGAGGGCCCGACCCCTGCTAGGTAGAGGTCGGGCCCTTTGTTCGGATTCTTCGGGTGTGACGCTGGCGCGACTCACCAGCCGGGGATGAGTCGATGAACAGGGATCAACACCAGAGATTTGGTCCATTTTGATTGATGTGGCTGTGGTTTGCTCCTGGAGTTGCTCTGTGATATCTGAGATTCGTTGCGTGGAGTCATGACACCTTTTGTCTCACAACATCTCACAACTACCATTGGATTGGTGGTCGAGTCTTACATAGAGCGCTTGACTGCTTTCTGGGCTTCAAGAGACGAAGCTTTGCACACCGCCATCCGACTAATCACAAGCTATTCTTTTTGCTTGTTAATCTGTGCTGATTGGCAGTGACTGAACATGTTCACCTCTTGGATATGAGGCCAAGCTGCGGGAAGCTGTTCTGAAGGACATGGCTCATGCAGAGGCCTCCCACTGGAGATGGGTTCTCACTTGCGATGTTTGCCCTCAAGGGCACATCCGCAAGCAAAGTGAGGGGATGAAGATGCACAACACCGGGACTTTGCCCAATGGTGATGGGGTCTACGTAGTTACCATCCGACCCACACCTGAGCAGATTCTCTATCAGGTGCAGACTGGCATCACTCAGTGATTTCGTTTCACCCCGGCAAAATCTTCCGTTTTTCACACCTTCGATACCAGGCCTCTTTGCACGAAAATGCCAAGATGGTGAAACACCGGACCTTGGGCTTGGCTGAGGAGCCCGGATCCCTAGTCGCCCAATGGAAGGATTTGCAGCGCTAAGTGGTCAGGCTGGTGTAAAAATTGTGAAGGAGCGCGCTTGACGCGTGATGCTTGGTGTGTGTGTGTGTGTTCTTGTTTTGTTTTTGTGGCAGTGACCTGGTGTAAAATATATTCGATGGAAAAGAAAGCTTTGTGTTTCTTTTCCCCTGGTGCTGTATCAGAAGCTTCGTGTCTTCCCAGTGCTCGTAACAATGAAGCATCAAATGCCTGGTGTTGGGAATTTGGATGAATTTGGTACTTAGTAGGTGGCGTAATGCCGTAAATCATCTGGGGAATTTGATGGAATTTGTGCAGATTAACATCCCTACTTCGTTGGGGGTCATTCCAAAAATTCCCTCCACCCTGCTGGCAAATGTGCTGAGGTTTGAAGACGTGGAGGCGTGCAGCAGTCCTGCCTTCGTTCTTTATGGAGTGGAAAGCCTTCTGTTGCCAGACAACCATCCTGCCATTCTGCCATCCTGCCTGCGGCTCCCACAGGTGTCTTGCTGAGTACGGTGCCATGTACACTCCCTGAAATCATGGAAGTGGAACAGGTCGGCCCCTGGAAGACCATTTTCTAATATGGACACAACAAGGTTCGCTCCAAGTGACCATTCTTTCCATGTGAAACAGGTGACCCTTGCTCCCTCCAAACTCATCCAACTCCTCAGCCTCCAAACTCCGCTGTTTCCACCCCAACGGCGGCACCGGACGCCCCGCGGAGCGACGGAGCGACGGCAGGCCTTTGTGCGGCTGTCGGCCTGGAGCGACCTGCCGCGTCGGGGGGCGCGAGTCGGGTCGGGGGTCCGGTGGGGCGATCCGTCCCAGAACCTCCAGGTGAAATATGTAGAAATACGATCAGGTGATATATTGTATAGTATAGTATATGGGTATATAATACCTGTATATGTTTTATGTTTTACAGTTTTTAACATTTAGTTGTTTTTTGGTGTGGATGTTTGAGCGGTCAGGGGTAGTTGAATAGTCTTATACTATCTTATATATACACTTATAGAATTAGTCTTACACGGATTGTTGTCAAATGATGTTGCCAGATAATTACCACTGGTCACGAGAAAAGGAGGGCCAAAGGAGACAGGTCCAGAGGCCCCTGGTACGACATGATACGACCGACAGCCAAAACATATCGGAAACGGCACATGCTGCAAAGATGGAATACACAGTGCCTGTGAGAACCCCCGCGTCAGTTCATCAGAACGAGCGCTCATTTTTTCGGACATGCGAGTTCGCCCGGCTCAGGCTTGGACGGAATGATGGAATCCGAGGCCTTCAGAAGACGGGTCTTTGAACAATGCTTCATCCTCAGTGGGCAGGTCTTTGAACAATCTTGATTCGTATCCCTCCACACTTGGATTGTAAAGCCTCTTATGGCGGAGGTTAGGCACTTCGAGCCCTCTACCTGCGACCACATGGTGAACAGGCACCATCGAGGTGAAGGCAAGAAGCCGAGGAATCGACCCGAGTTCGGCCCGAGTTCGGCCCGGGTTCGGGGCCCGAGGCCTCGCTGAAAAGCCACTCCATCCTCTCTTCTTTCGCATGGTGCGATGCTTTCCACCCACAAAAGCTGCTCTGGAGGTGTGGAGATCATGCTCCGGTGGGGGCTGGGAGACTCCGTCCGTTTGCTCTGAAAATGGCTTTCATGTAGGGTCATGTAATGTAGGGTCATAATTCTTAGGCACCCCAATTTGGCGCATTCAGAGCTGCTAGAAGTTTTGGAGCTGCGATCCAACCTGAGTGATTCAAACCTGAGATGACACCGGAGATGGCCAGAGCTTTCGGAGTAGCCACATGGTCGATTTGTCTAGAATTCCTTGGAGTTCACCAGCTTTGGGAATCGGGAATCTCTTTAACTTGGTCAACATGGTCAACTTGGTCTCACCCGTCTCATCGTGTCTCATCGAATGTTTGAAGACACCCATCAATGATCCCCTACATACAAGCACACATACACAATCATACACACACCGACATGACATACTTACGACTCACCCCCCTCAAAAAAGAAGAAACAAAAAGACCTCCTTTCTCAGGGCTGAAGAGCACACCCGGCGGTTGCTTCCCTTTCCGCAGGAGTTGCTGTTGCCCTATCCAGAGCTGCGGTGGACCTTGGAGCTGAATCGCCTCAACGAGGCACCGTTTGGGCGCGCGCACAACGCGTGGCTTGGAGAGGGACTGAGGAAGAAGAGAGGGACTAAAGCAGCTGATAGGAGAAAGATGGAGGAGCAGCTGATGAACTTCGTAGGTAGTAGGGTGACGGGAGGAGCTGGGTGGGCACCATTCCGGAGACGGGAGGAGGATGGGAGGAGGAGTTGTAGCGGTGAAGAGGATTGTCCGATTTGCCTCGTTCCTGTGTGATGTTCCGGCGCCATGCTGGACCTCGACAACTCGAGAGTGAGTTGGGATGACTTGGAACATGTATAAAAACCACAGAAAATTGCCCGAATCATGCCCGAAATCCGCTCCGGATCGACCTTTGCCTGGGCACTTCTAGTTGGGCAGACCTTCCCACCTCCTAGCATCTCCTAGCTGCTCCGTTCGTAGCGATGCCCGGTGGTGAGGGGTCGGCCTAGCCAGGTCGGCCAGGTGGGGATCAGCCCATGGCCCAATGCCATGCATTCGGTGCGGCGGCCCGGGCCAGCCGCGGGTAGTGAAGCTCGGCGGGGTTGACCAGGATTTTCAGCTGAGCATGCTGAGCCCCACAAGTGTCATAAATGCCAAGAAACAAGGTGGATGCCCATGTCAAAACACTTGTGAGCAGTCTAGAATTCAAAGTGGATCCAGTACTCTACTGTCACTACTGTTTAGTTTTTGTTTCACCACTAAGGGTGCCAGGTCTTTTGGTTGACTCTCAGATGGATTTGTTCTAGGCTTCAGTTGAACGAACTCTGAGGGGGAAGGATACTCCATGACTGCCACTGGTGATGGCACTTCTGGATCGGACGGTTTGGAGCTATGAACAACGTTCCGTTTTTTCGGGGTCACAGCTCACGGATGGGGGGATTAAGTCGGCTGTAGCGATTCCAGGTCAAAGAGATTGCCATTAAGGCCATGGAGAGGACGGGGTTCCTGGCCGCCGTTGGGTTCGTGGCAGCGGAGTCAATGGTGAAAGGCAATTCCAGAGGTCAAACTCTCAGTGAGAGCTCCTGACTAGGGTCACTTGTTACTCTGCCAATCACTTCAGAGGTGCATGATGCTCCAAGTAGATCCAAATGGAGTTGCTTAAGACGCGTCTTCGAACGTGTTGAGGGGGCAAAACCACGCTCATGGTGTCAAGCATCCTTTGGATCCAAAATAGACCTCACAGAGGCTCTATGAGGCCTGCTTTGCTACTTCTTTTGATGCATCAGGCAGTTGTTCAGGGTGCCTTGCGGGACTCTTAGGAATGGAGTCTTTTGCATTCTTTTGCGACACCAACACCGCTGCGACCTTACCAGGGGAGATGCCAGCAAAGATGAACATCGCTCTAAAGCATTGAAGGTGGGAGGCTCAGATAGGACCTCTTGTGGTCTATCTCCGCTGAAAATGCTTCAGCTCCGAAGAGTGGCTTGCATGATTCCTGTGCATGAAGAATCTGATGACCCGGTATCATGACCAAAGAGAAGCAGCTTTCTGCAAAGCCATGCAGATTGCAAAGCAACTGACAACAAACATTTTCGCACCTGAAGGGTTGTAATTACATGTAATTACAGGCTACCAGTGCCCGACCAGAAATCTGTTAGACATTGGTTCCTTTGAGGATGCAAATCTGTTGGACATCTGTAAGAAACGAGGATGCAAAGCCAGGACACAAAACATGTTTCCCAAAAAAACCATTCGTCAGCGTTGGATTCTGCCGATCCTTTTTCCTCCGGCGTCTCGAACACCTAAGACAGTGTTGACAATACTCAGCCGCAAAAATATCGCAACATAGTATCGTAAAGTGCAGCTCCTGAAAGGCTCTGAACAGCTTCAAAAGTCATCTTCATTCTTTCATATTCTTTCCATCAAAAGATTCATCTAGCAATACCAGCCACATCAGCCTTGCTCGCCGGCTCACCGGTGGGGTCCGAGGCCTTGGCGTCCATTGCCTCGCTGGCGCAAGAGGAATGGAGCGATCCGTGGTCGGAAAGTCCGGTAGCCACCATTGATTGCGCCATCCAACGCCAGCTATTTCTAGCCTACAGTACTGTATCCCTTTCCATTTTGATACCGTTTTGGTGAGTTGAGCGATCGCCACACCGTTCCGGTCTCGCCTCGCCACACCGTTTCCGGCACGCGTTTGCCACCCGTGGTGCGTTCGACGCACGGAGCGCTCGTTCGCTCGCTGCAGGAGCCTCGCGTGGTGCGATGTAGCTGAAAAAGGGTACCGAGCGGATCAGCGCAGCGGAGGTGGATGTGGATGAGGATGCCTATCGGAAAGAGTGATGAGGATGAAAAAGAGTCAGAGGATGAACAGAAAGCACATCTTTCCCAGATGCTCCATGAAGATTGCAGTGAACATTGCATATTCACCCATCAGTTGGGCTGGGTTGAAGTGGGGGTCAGTGGGTGGCAAAGATTCCAGTTCCATTAGTCGTGTCTGGGTTTGGTTCACAAACTCTTGAGGACTCCCAAGCTACCTTTGTTCCAAGCGACCTTTTGCTCCTGGCGGCCCCCTTCCGCGCCTTGCGACGTCTGACAGATATCGATACTACTAGCATACCGTATACATGATCTATTACATTTCCATGCCAAGGCTATGCCACGTCCCATGTTTCTCAGCCACTTGGCTCAAAACGTTTGCGATTCTTGTTTGTCTCAGCACAAGTTGGAGGTGCGAGAACCGAACTCGGACGCTTTTTTTCGAAATCGAAGGCGCCTTGGTCAGCTGGCAGAAGCCTTTTGGTCACGTTTCCCAAAGAGAGGACCATCCCTTTAATTTTCTCTGATTCATAGCGAGTAAACATGGACATTCTGGGCACATCATCAATTTTCCTTTGAGACATGATTAGAAGATGTCTCATCAGGCAATGATTAGAAGGTTGGGGGGGCCGGAATCGACCGCAAGTGAACTGAGAATCCCCTCGCGCCCGCCAGGCCCGGGGATTCTCATACGCAGAATGGTGGTCCTCTCCAACTCGTTGAAAGTGACATTCCCAGAGGTGCTGGATTGACGGGGCGTGCGGGGCGGCGGCGGTCTGGGAGACGTGGCGTGCATCAGATATCTCAGGGCGTGCGTCTTCAGATGTAGAAAGACCCAAAAGAAGGACGACATGGCCAATTCCAAGACGTTTTCAGCTTGCCACTTCTTGGAGTCCGGGCATGTAAGAGGTCTTCATTTTAGCAAGATCGACATCAGAATCAGCGGAGGAGACAGATGGGTGCATGAGAGATGACACGTGAACAGCCGTGAACAATGCTAATGCTGCCTGAATTCTTGGTTGGGATGACCAAGTCGCTTGGGCCGTGACTCTTGGGCATGGGCCACAGCCATGTGGCCGCATGTGGTCATGGGCATGTGCAGTCTCACAGTACCTGCGGATGTCAGCGAATCTGCTTCTTCCGGTGGTGTTAGACCTTGGAGGAAATCCCACAGTTTCACTCCGGGTGAAGAGCCCTGTGAAAAAGAAAGATGAAGAGCCCAATGATTACACTCAAACCCCAAGTATCTTCATTTTTTCGAGACATGTTGAGACATACTCACACCACTGTCTTTGGAGTGGATGCCGCAAAGGAACCAAGTGGAAAAGGGGCTGCCAACACCATGGCCGATCCGACGTTTCACCGACCGATCCGACGCGCTGACCGATCTGATCCTCATAACCTGTTGAACATGGTCTTGCTACCGCGCAGCGCGGACGGCTATGCGCGGCTGGCTGAAGTTGGGTGATTGATTGGGTGCTTCCATCTTTACATCGCTGGCCGAGTGCCAGACAACTGGAGAAAGACATGCCCTGCAACCCTGCCTGCTTTTCCAAGGCTTCCAAGCAGTCAGCACCGCACGGTTGGTCACGGGGCCACAGGGTCGGCATTCGTGGACAGGTTCGTGGCATTCCAGTCTCAGTCTCCGGGGCCTTCGAGGCCGGACTTGTGGTTGGAAGGATGATATGGAAAGGTGCAGTTCCCGCTAAGCTACTTGAAATGTGCTTTGATTTCCACCCTTTTTCGATCGGGTTTCGGAGGGACATGTAGAACTCATGTAGCCCGTAAATGAGCCTTCGCAGATGGGTAGCAGACACCGCTGGCATGGGTGACGCCAGTCAGTCATGTCTGGCATGGGTGACGTGGCTTGATGTGGCGAACAATGGCGAACATGATCAATCTCGGATCGTATCACGACCGTACACCCTGGAAGACTAAAACGGAACCTGACAACCCCTGGTTGGTAGAGGAAAATAGTCTTCCATGGGACCAGGACGTCAGGGTCCAACCTTAGTTTTCGGGAGCGTAGATGGCCTTTTTGCGTCTTGGTGGGTTGATTCATAGAGGCGAAACACCCCTGTAGACCTCCCTCATCTCCGTCTCAGTCTCGCTCTTTTTCGTGAAGCAATGGGGCGACGGCACGAGCCACGTGGATCCGCGGATCCCACGAAGGTGGCCGAACGGATGGAAGGAACACGCCGAACGTTCGCATGGCGGGTTGTCCGGCACCGGAAAAAGGCGCGATTCCAAGCGATTCCTTACCCAGACCATGGGACTGGAGTATATGACTCCTGGTGACTGACATCAAGCACTCCAATGTAGGTAAATATGGAGTGTTTAGGTGGGATGGGAATCTCTGGTCGCTTTGTTGAGGAGTTGGCACCTTATGGCGAGATCATGCGGCTGGAGCTGCTGTCAAGTCCTCAGCTTGCTGTAGAAGATGGAGTTTAGACGATCAGATGGATTCAGATGGATGTTTCTTCAAGAACATGATTTTGAATCAAGCAGGGTTTGTTACAGAATGATTAGCTTGGAGGGCTCTGAGGTTTGTACTGTCAAGAATGGTGTTTATAATGTGTTGTCTTTTGCAAGACAAATCAAAATGAATCACAGACAAATCGTGCATGTCAGGCAAGACCAAGCGCAAGTAGCAGAGAGCTCAGTGAGATGAATTCAGGAGCAACACAAGGAAACACGGTGAAATACCACTCCTACAAAGTTGTTTCAATCTATCATTTGTCGCGCTCGAAGCTGGAAGCACCCCCTAGTCACCTTTAGTCAAAGCTAGATGAGACCACAGGTACAAATTCTTGTGGCATGTTCGATGGCTTTTCTGCGGATTTCAGACCCCACCACAGAGCACATTCTGGGTGTGTATTCAAGTCGCTTCACGACGACAACCGCCCGCACCAGTGGCTCTCAGAGAGAGGGTAAAAGAAGAATCTATAATCACTCGACTCTATTTTTGGACCCTTTGATACATTGTTCAGTCATGTCTTGCCGTCATTTGCATTTTGCAAGCATTGTTGGATCTATGTTTCGACCTCCTGGAAATGTTTACATGTTCAAGGGGTCCAAAAATAGAGTGATTATGTACTATAAACTATACAATGTGCATGTTCGAGGCAAGACTTAGAGATGAACGCGGCATGAAGTGGATGAAGAAAATCAAAGACGCGTCTAGAATCATTCTATTGCTGGACCGCTTAAAGATTGTTTAATTATATAGTTTTACGTAGTTATGTCACACTTGGCAATTTGCAAGCATCGTTGGATATATTTGTCGACCTCCTTGAAACTGTACATGTTTCAGGTGGCTCAAATTATCCAACGATGCTTGCAATTACAATTTGGACACCTGGACAATGTCCAACTTCAAGGGTGTCGAAAAAAAGAGTGAATCTATTTACAATAAACGATCCAATTTGCATGATCGACGCAAAACTTAGAGATGAACTGAGATGAACGCAGCATGATCTGGCTGAATAATATATATATATATAGAGAATTGTCTATAATTATTTGTGGACCCTCTTCCAATCTCTTACATATTAGGAATGTCTCTCTGTAATGGATCTATTGTTGGATCCTCTTACAAATTGCTTGCAAACATTGTTGGATATTTTGGCCCCCTTGACAGTGTACGTGTCCAAATTATACTAACTGGCAGCCATTTTGCACAATAAACTATACACTTGCAACCAACTGATGCATGTGCTACCAAAATGAACTATAGAATTGGAAGCTGCTGACGCATATGATGCAATCATGAAATAATTATTGCAGTAAGACACAGACTGTTGAGAGGAGTCGTTTGTTTGCCTTTGTGCTGCAAATGATACCACAATCAGAAATACAGTCAGGGGCATAGATGATGTGTGCAAAACAAGTGTTTTTCCATGTGTTCTCTCACTCCCACTCCTCTCCCAGACACACCTCATGATGCAGAATACGTAAATTTGTATATGTGTTCCCAAGCGAAAATGACCCTATATATATAATATAGAGCTAAATACTATACAGCCAGCAATGAATGCATAGTTAGAGTTTGACACAGTTTAACGCCTCAGAGCCTTCGGTGCGGGCGGATTTTTGTTCTCCGGGAGACCCTCCGATCGCTCCGAACGCCTGGGTGAACGGGTGTATTTGAACCGAAAGCAGGGGGCTTACGGAACGCCAGACGTGACCGGTTTGCCTGGTTTGGTCTCTACACACCCCATGTGGCGATGGGAGGGAGCCTTGAAAATCCGAGCCGGCGAAGCTTTGCGCCAGGTGGTGAGCTACTACGACTCCCGTTGTGCTGCACGCGTGGCAGACGAACTGGGCAGCCGATGCACCTGGGAGACGCCGGGGAGGGCGCAGCCGGGACAGGGCCCAGGTTTGACCAAAGGGTTCGTTCAGTTGCATGGGTTTTAAGATCGAAACGTCATCGAAATGCTCAGGTTGGGTGGCATATTTTGCAAGGAAGGTTCAGTATGTTTGACTTCTGGTGTTGTGAGTCAGTTTTGCGAGACGAGTCGTTTTCAATTTGCATTCTGGAACTTACTCCCTTTTGGACTCAGACCACAATTCTAAACTCTGAAATGCCATGGCAAGCAACAAGACAAGTGGATTCTGAGACCTTGTGCGACAAATTAGATATGCAGGAGCCACAGTATGGGCAATGTACTGTGCGAGCTTCTGGCAAGGCGTGGCATTTGTTCTGCACAGGAGGTGTTTTAAGGCTTCTACTTTGCAAAAAGTGTAGCCAAGGGTCTTGGAGTCTTTTCTTGCAGTGGCTGTGAGTGTGTTGCACATCTCCACTGGATTTCCATCTGAGAGAGGTCGAGCTCCCTGAGAGCACTCTCGGCCAGATCTGCGGTGCATGCAAAGATGAGAGCTCGGATTTGCAACACGGCGCAAGTGGAAGTGGTTTGCGGCGCATGTTTGATGCGGATCAACACACATCCAAGTCATTCCAAGTCCAAATCTAGGTGGACAGGCGAGAAGGACTGGTACCTCCAGCAAGTATGCTTGCAACTTGCAAGAACCTGCTTTGGTACCTTTGAGCCGTGACCAAATTCTTGGGGCAGGTGCCCCTGTGTCCAGCTGCGTCCAGATCAGCGGCATTGTCCACCTCTGAGGTACAGCCTGATCTTCTATGATGTTCGTGCTGCTGAGACCTTTGCGGCAGAGGTACCGATGGGTAGCTGATGGAACACATATTTAAAGAGACACAGACAGACAAATCGGTCACAGGATCGCCCATTTGCTTCGAGGGTTCGTCGGTGTTTCGTTTGGGGCTTCCATCCGACATGACATGCGCTGGTTTTCCCTGCGGAAGCCGTGGGTTTGAACGTATGGAGTGTACAGTCCTGGCAGCCGAAAGCACCTGGCAGGTAGGTTTGATCTTTGACTCCGCGCCGAAAGACAAGGCCCGTGGACTGCCCCATGCTGCTTGAACTTGACCTGTGTGACTTTCCAAACTCGACCTGTGCTCTTGGACGTTTTGTTGGTGCTTTTCTTGTGACCCGTGGTTTCCGAGATCCATGTGTTTCGGACCACTTCCAGGTCTCAAGAAAGGTTCACTTTCCAGCCGGAGGCCCCAAAACCAGCCGGTGGCCTACTTCCTGTCTCGGACCGCTTCCGTCGATCGCGGAGGCCTTCATCGCTCCAGCGAGACGATTGAGGGCGGCTCCCTCGGCCCCGCGCTATTTAAACGATTTGGGCATCTCCCAGGAGCGGCCGAAGGGGGGCGTCGACAGGTCCGACCAGTCCCCGTGTGGAGATCTGCGGTGTCGCGTCGTCGGGTGACGGGTGACTAGACCGGACGGCCGAAGCGTTGGTTGGTGGGGGCATGGGGACGTTGGTTGGTGGTTTTTGGGTTGTTTTCTTCCACTTGTTTTGAGATGTTTGAGGTGGATGAAGCAATCAAGTCAAATCTAAAGGAGACACCAAAACCAGTGTAGGGTGACCATGGGTGACCATATCTACTCAACTAATTCTGTTCAGTTTAGGGGTCAGCAAGGGTCCCAGGTTTCAATGCACTGCAAGTTTTCTTTGTTGATGTGTAGATCCTGCAACAAGGCAACACACTTGCTAGTATTACTAATGTATTACACCAAGCGCTCCCTGTCGTCAACTACATTCAATGACCATGCCACGCGACCTTGACTCGGCTTCTATTCTTCTTTGGGGGCATGTTCCAGTAGAGTGGTCGAGAGCTAGCTCTAGGATCTGGACGGGCTTCGACTCCGACCATGTTGGAGTCATGTTCTTCTACGGCCCACCGTCGGGCTGTCGGGCCGGACTTGCGGGGCGTACGCAGGTGGTGTGGGCTGACCTGGACAGTGGTCTTGAGACCAGAACGACCTTGCGAATCAATCGATTGAACTCCAAGTTGCGCGGCACCTCAGACGGGTGCAGGTCGAGAGTGGCGTGCCATGGCGTGCCTAGAAGGGCTGACACGGCTCTCTCAGCCGTTCCTTCTCATGTCATGGTTCAAAGTCATTTCCCAGGTTCTTGTCGCACCATGTCGCGCCCACGGATGTCTCATACACAACAACCTGCAAGGTGCAACCCAAAGAGATTTGAGATGCTGCTGGAAGAAGCAGGGCTAGCACAGGACAGACCGGTTCGGGTGGTCGATTTGTTTGTCTTTTCTGATGCAGATTGGTCCGCGCCCCAGCCACGAGAGGAGTCTCCAGACACGACTGGGCGTTGAGGGTCCGTCCTTCGCCAGTATGGTCGGATGGTCTCGCGATGACTGGGCCCAGTGGTCTGATGATTCTCTTGGGGTGACTGGCGCCCCAAGGAGACGCGTCTCCAAAAGGTGAAAGCATAAACATACCACCAAACCCTGAGGTCCGACTCGGCCCAGTTTCTTTTTAATACGACCGGTCCTGGGACTCGACCCCACCCCACCACTTGTGCGACCCGCAGTACGTCGACGTCTTCCGCACTTTCACCACGGCGCGTGGCGACTTCGGCACCGCGCTGATGAACATGGCGGGGGCGGGGCGCTCTCGCGGGTGGTGAGGCTGCAAGAGACGAAACCGGTGGCACCGTATGGCACCGTGTGGCAAATCGGAATCCTGTTTGTTCCATTGGTTTTCACTTGCAAAAGGAGACCCCGTTGGTTTTTGCGAGCGAATCCAGGAGAGCGCAGGGTGATTGTATCTGTCGGCCGACAGAAACAAAAAGATCTTTGTAAATGCTCGGTGGAACGCTCAGTCTTGCTCTCGTCTTCTGGATGGGGGGTGGCGTTTGATGTCCAGCTTCGCTTCGCCAGACCTCCACCGTGGGGGTGAAGATGGTGGCGAAATTCTTCCATGGAAGACAGTGGGGAAAGACGATGCCCGTCTCGGCCCAGATGCTCAGCTTCGCCGTTCCGCGTTCGGAACGGCCAGCCGGTTCCGTTTGGTCATAGCATGCTGGTGGCTTCTCCTTGAAGCCAAGGAGCTGGAGAAAACGACAAACAGATGTTTGTCTTTTAACAAGGAGCCAGTGGACTACAGGGAGTTCCCCAAGCACTTGCTAGATGTGAATGATGAAGACTTGTTCGTGTCCTTTTGAGTTATATAAGTAATGTTGATGAAGAGCGTCCGGCAGGGAAGATAGTATAGTAACATCTGTATCAACTCATATATACTCATATTCATATCGCAAGAACCATCTGGCAGCCTGGCACCGTGGCAGTACACACCTTCCCACTGCGGTTCATGAACCGTCTTTCCCCAAATTCCAGCCCTAGAAGAATGAAGTGACAAATGGCACAGAGGTATCTTGATGTTCTGATTTAAAGAGATCGGCTTGCTTGCACCATTTGCGGGCTGCCATGGGGTAGCTGAGACTAAAAGTTCCTTTATGTACTAACCGCTCCCCTCAAAAGAAGAGAGCGGACACCTCACCCCGAAATCGGATCGCCGCGTCGTGCCGGACTTTCATCGGTGTTCTTTCGGTTCCAGAGATGGTTCGGTTCGCCCCAGGTGAGCTTTGCCGTCACACAGGGGCGAGACGAGGCGCGTCGACATGGAGACATGGGATGGGTGCACCAGGGCCTTTTTCGGTTTTGATCGCTTTTGTCTGTTTTCACCACCCGCACTCATCCTATAATATAGGACTGATGCTTTTGCATCTCCAGTGCCTTTGCGTTGGGGTGGATGACGTCATGCGAATCGTGGTCGTGGCTCGGTGTGGGCAAAGCTGCTGCTTTTCCCCAGAAGGATGAGGACTCTCTGGCTGAGTCATGCTTGCACCGGTGGATGAGGAGACACGGCCAAGGAACTGCCAATAAGCCAAGAAGCGAAGATGCACCGGAGCCCACGCAGCGGAGCCGCACCGGTCTCCCAAGCGGGAACCCCGCTCACGCAGCGGCGCGTCGCTAGTGCCACGGAGGGCGGTCGTTGTTGCGGCGGCTTTCGGTTTCGATGAGGGGGTACCATATATTATACATATATATATATACATATATATTCAATATGTTCATGTTTGCTCATGCTTAGATGCACATCACATTAAGTTTATAAACTAAATAGTTAAGTTTATAAACTGTAGGGAGGGGGGAGGCAACTGTGAAGTCTTGTGGAACAAGAGTGGGGGGGGGCTCCCCCCTACCCTACCAAGAGTCTAGTTTATAAACTCAATGGTGAAGTTTATAAACTTGTTGCGCTACTTTGACATCAAGGTTTCAGCTTCTTGCGCCTATCGTTCTCGGTTCGATTCTCTTGCCATGTGGTGCCTTAACAACATTCGAGCAGAAGGAGATGAAATCAATGTGGCATTTAAAAGGCAAGACGTCTAGAGTCTATACACCTCCGGCTCCATCATCTTCCAAGACTTCATCAACATCTTCTCGACCAGTGCCCACGAAACACGATATTTTAGCAAACATCGAAAGTGGTCACCTGGTAAAGAGAATCCGAAAAGAATCCAGTCGGAGATCGGCGCGATCCAGAGGAGTTTGCGTTTGAAGTCGGGGCTGAAAGGAGAGTGGAACGCAAACGCACAGCAGAAGCTTGAGCTATGGCTGGCGAAGCCGGGCAAGCAGCTGCAGCTGCGTGATGAGCCAGACGCAGACAAAGCATCCAGCAAAGAGAGTTCCAGCACAAGCTCCGACAGTTCCAGCACCGAAGAAAACGAGCAAGACCACAACGGCAACAATGAGAATGAGCCCAACAACAACAGTGACGACGACGTTGACGACCCCACCAGTGACAACAACGACAATGACCTTGAGGACCAGACCAGGGACACGGATGAGAACAAGCAAGTCAATGAGCCTCGGAAGAAGAAGCTTCGACTTGCCTTGGACATGGCGTCTTCCCGAGAGCTTGGCAGTCTTCCAGGGTGGCGGCGGTCTAAACAGATTGATTGCTTCAGAGAGAGACCTGGAGAAGTCCATGTACCAGTCTTGCTTGACGACCCCAACTGGGCCACTTGTGAGGAATCAGGTGCGCATTGTGCTCAACAGTGCATGGGATGAGTCCAAAGAACCAGACGTAGTCACCGGAGGTCATTTGCCATGGAAGGCATTCCTGGACATGTTCAGTGTGGCCTGCAACTACGCACCACTTCCGCACATCATGGCTATCTCAAAAAGAGGTGCACCGTCATCATTGCAGGCAAGCATGCTGCATACGTCCGTCACCCTAGCGAGCATGAAGACCAAATCATCCACCGCTTCGCCACCATGGGCATTGAGAAGGACTGGCTGCGGGATGAGAACAAGAAGTTTTATTCTCATTACAAAGAAGGTGTCCGCACTAAATACCCAGGCTTTGACGACAAGGCCGAGCAGGAAGGCCTGCGAGCGAGTAAGCTTATTGCTACAGAAGAAGAAAAAGAATACTTACGCCGAGGAAATACCCATGACAAGTGGCGAGCAGAAGCTGGCCCGGCTTCGCCATGTGCAGCTCCAGCCTCGCCTACTAGCAAAATCTCTCTCAAGGAAGAATTAGCTCGCCCCTGCAGAAAAAGCAACGGGTCACGGGCATCGTTGATGTGGAGGATGAAGAACGCTGCCCACTACATGCGCAGAGCGACTTGTGTGATCCAGACACATCTCCAAAGTTCCCAGACGATGAAGACTTGCAGTATGAGGACCTGAACTTTGCTGCGCCTGATGTTGACGATGATGGCGCTTTCTGATGAGCCGGGTGGGTGTCGAGTTTTGTTCAACGCGGTCTTCTCACTCAACTTTGAGTGGTCATGGACGAACATCTGTGTTCCGGGAAAGTGCTTTCTCATTCGTGCGCAACTTCTGTTCAACAAGCATTTTATTCTTGCGCGCTTGCTTCTTGATGAGTGTGCACTTGCCTCCCTTGTCTGTAGCCTTTGCGCCTTTCATGCCTCATAGCGTAAAGTGTGGCCATGGCAAAGCGGTGGCAATCTTACCGACGCTTGGGGCAAACCTACAGGGACTTGTTCGACAACGACCCTGATCTCTGGAATGTTCTACCTCACCCAGAAGGCCTTTGCTCGAAACGTCGGTGGGAGCGGTCCATATGCCAGGCAAGAGAACGGAGTGCCACGATGGTGGCAACAGATCTCCATGCCATTTCTTCATCCTGAACAAGTGCAAATACTTCCTCCAGGACCACCCGCATTACTTGCCCCTCTTGCCTCAGCCAGACGAAGAGCTTCCAGACGAAGAGTGGCTAGCTTCTGAGATAGTGGTTGCCGCATTGCTGGGTATCGTTTGCCCTCATCACTAGATTGGCGTTGCGCTGGAAAAGAATCCACTGCTTCCGCCTGTGTTCATTGCACTTGTAGCGTCATACTGTCAGATTCATCAGCGGTTGTGGCATTGCTTCTGTAAAACAACACTGTAGCTTCTTTCAACTGCTCTGTCGCATCGTTGAATCTTAGCTCTTCCAGTCCTGGTAGGCACCGTTCTTCAAGCAATGGCGGTGTCCATCAAGGCTGGGATTGTACCAAAACGTGGGAAGCTTCGTGCTGTCAAGAAAAGACCAGCTTCGAAAAAGTCTGAAGAATATGAGTCGGCCCAATATGTCCGGGGCAAGAGAGATGTTCCACCTGGTGGCATTCGCATGGACCGAGTAATTTGGAACAGAGAAAGATCACGGACCTGTTGTGCTCCACGGACCAGAAGATCGTTTGGCTGTTGGAGAACGATGGCCTTCTGCCGAAGTGGCATGGGAAGTTGTGCCTCAAGTGCTGGAAAGGAAAGCTCTCCACATGCATGCGCCGGAGCTTACCAAAGTACAAGTGCTCAGCCAAAGCTTGCCGCGCCCACGTGCTTCCTCACCATCTCCATCCGATCTTCGAGAAGGGCCGCACTGACAAGAGGCAACCTTTGCAGGTTCAAGCTGCTGCTCTTCTGCTTCTCCTGGTTCGAGCGTCCACGCCCCAATGTCGAGCGCTGCTTGGGTTGAATCGCAAAATGGTTGAAGGCATGCGCGCGCTTGGAGAAACTCCGGCAGGACTATGTCAAGCAGGAGGAAAAGAACATAACCTTTGGTGACTTGACGTGGAGGCAGACGAGGCAAGCTTTGACCGCACCAATGTCACAAAGGATCTTGCCTACAAAGATGCCGTGAAAAAGGGCAAGTGTATACTTTGGCTGCAATGGAGTGGCATGCTGGCGCGCGGCAAGCCATCTACCCTTCTCTTGTCTCGCCTGAACCCAAAGCTCACAGTGAAACGGGCCCCGGGGCCAGGAGCTATTCATAAGGGAGCCCTTGGCCAAGAAGCACCTCGAGGACCGCAAGGTGGTGTTGCATATGATGTCGTCCACGATGCAGTGGTACGTTGCAAGAAGAAGGTGCAAGGCAAGGGGAAGACGACTACGTGGACAAACCCCCAGTACGTAAGGGTTGCGCATCATCAACTTCCAGGCGGAAAAGTGCTGAAAGTGAAAGCTGGCACACAACACATTGATAGAGCGTGGAAATTTTTGAAAGAACGTCTGCGCCTTAATCAGCATGTCAAAGCCGGTGCACAAGCCATCCGTCGACGAATTCGCGCGGCCCAGTATGGGTACTGGTTTCGGGGCCAAGACATGTGGCATCACACTGCCAACTTGGTTGCAGCCACAATGTCTAATTATGCGCACGCAAAGTGAGTAGCTGCCGCGGGGTCAAAAAAATCATCTGTCATCTGCATTCTCATGAACTGTCCTCTGCATCTGTCATGCATCTGCCTCACACACAACCATCTGAAACATGCACAGAAAGGTCCGAAACATGCGCAGAAAGGTGGGTATAGGATGGGGGGGGGGATATATATATGCCAGCACCCTCCAACAGGTCTCCTTTGGAGGGTTGTTAGGCCCTAGCAGGCTTCAATTGGTGACCTGTTGGAGGGTGCTGGTATGTATACTATGTTGTTCTTCCCAAAGAAAGGCCCAGAGGTTTGAGCACTTTGAACTTTGTCTGCTGCAGGCACAGCGTTTCACGCTTTGAATGTTTTTAGATCCTTTTTGCATGACTGAACTTTACAGTGGGTACATGCTGCGTACATATACTAAATACACTTCAAGCAAGACACTTGGCCAGACTGCGCCTACGCTTTTACACACCAAGATCCGGGCGTTTTTTGCAATTTATCAAAATTATTGACAGCACGACAGTGTGCAGGTGCTTGCAAAATATCCGATGCAGGCAGGGCAGGGTCAAGTGGAAAGAGTTCGTGAAACGGGGTCAGTCTTCCTCGCAATGCCCTGCCAGAAGACATTGCACATATTCAAACTTGAAAGGATTGGGCACTAAATCAATCCTTAATAATCTTAATAGCTGCCTTCTCTACTACATATAGATCTTTGTCGCTTTGTTTTTCTTTTGTTTCCTTTTTTACTTGTGGCTGAATTGCTGAGAGAACGTACACGAACGTAGTTTGTGCTTTCCAGGACTGCCAACTAGGCGTTGCGACTCGAGCCAGCAAGGTCGCGAGCCCAGCAAATGCGAGACAGGTGACGAGCAAAACTGGTGACAAGTGTGTATGTTTGCTCCCAGAACATTGATATTCTGCAAGTGTGGCGTCCAAAATGTCTGAAGGAAAGAGAACGGCTTGGACTTTTGGGATAATCTTTCGACTCGTCGAATTCTTGGCGTCCAGGCCGAGCCACTGCAGGTGGGGTTTGGCAAAGCAGGGTGGGGTTGGGTGGAAATTATAGAAACTGAAATATATATATATATGTATATTATATTTTATATATACATATATTATATAATGAAAATTATTATATATAAGTTTCTTGAACGCAAAATGTTCTCAATAGTTAATAAAAGTGGCTAAGCCTTAGCCTATAACATCCCTTAAACAATTGAACAAATATCAAATTGTGTTCTCAGCTCTTACAACAACAGTCGGCTTGGTTCAGAACTTGGTGTTTTCTTGGCACCGGAAATTGGAATGGGTCAAGATGACGGATTTTCTGAAATGTGTTGAAGTCCTGATGATCATGTAGACTCTTGATGACTAAAGTCTCTTCATTTGGATCTTATAAGAAGTATATAACCTCGTCATATAAGTTTCAAATCGAATCAAGAAGAATCAAGAGTCAACGTGAATTGCTCAGAGATTTCCCCATGTGTCAGGGTGATCGATCGAAACGATGTCGATGTTGATGTCACACGGGTCCAGCGTCGTGACTGACACGTGACTGACACACCGTTGAACGGTGTGAAACGGTCGGTTTCAAGTGTTAAAGCAGTGATCATTCCATATCATTCCCTAACACTCCATGCTTTCAAAAAACGGGCTTTCAAGATGACCTATTTACTGATCAGCCCTCTGAAATCTCCTTTTGAACCGAGTGTTGATCTACTGATAATACCTTCTTTTTGAGATGCTGTTGCATCGAACATGCTTCTGTTTGACGAGTCGATGGTCAATCCCGTCTGTGGATGAGAAAGAGTCTTGATGTTCTTGTCCAGTTCCTGGACACCAAATCCAGTTCCTGCTCCTCCAGTCTCTTTCTTCTGAAGTACGGGCAGCAAGACGGCAAGACGCATGGTACGTGTGTCCGTTCGTCAACCTGTGACAGTCGGTAAACTAAAAACATCACTATTTTGGAGGCCTGGAACCTCACCATCATCCACTGTTACTCGTAAGAGCACAAGCTAGTACACAAGCTATATGAGCATGGATTTACCGACATAAAGAATAGCTTGGAGGTGGCCGCATGTTTTTCCCAAAAAGTCGTGGCCCCGCTAAACAAGGTAGGGGTAATTCTTTGAGACGAGGTAGTATGCTGCTGTATGCGTCCAAACAATGTCAAAACGTCGAAAAACTTGGAAAGCGAGATCCAGACAAGCACCAATATCAATTTCATTTAAACTGGATGGGGAAATGCGACCATGACCTTTATAGTATTAAAAATCGTCGCTCATCTCACGGGGGTGGAGCAAAGCGAACGAAGCAAGACGTGGTGAAGGGGATCCAGTCGGGTGTGGCATGTACTGAACCGTGGCCCGTCAGGTGATGTTCACATCCGTGGAGAATGGTTCTGAGGCCAGCACCGAGGCCAGCACCGGTTGGCCAACGGGTCGCGAGATCGGCCACGCCGTGGGAGTTCGGGTGGGGTTCGGGGGTGGCGAATTGGATCCTCAGATTCGCCAAGATCCGAACAGATCCGGTGTGTTTGGAGGTTTTTCGGGTGGTTCTTCTTTAAGCGGACAACCCCCCACCCATCTTCCTCCTTGATTTAGAAGTGAGATGTGTTCTTCTCATTTTTTGGGTGGATTTGTGTAAAAAGAAACGAATTGTGTGATGGGACGCTTAAGTCCTGTGAGTGGAACGTGAGAACGGGAGAAAACCTCTAATGTTCAGGTCCAAGTTAGACCTCTTTGGTTGAACCCCAGGTAAGACCTTCGTAACCGACAGAGGAAGGTCTTCCGCCAAGCGACAGGGAGATTGAAGCTGGCCAAGAGAGACGAACAGTATAAACAGTGCTCAAAAGCATCGACATCATCTAGCAAGTCTAGCAAGAGAATCAATTGAAAAGAGATAATTCTACTGTGGATGCTAACTGATCGAACATGCTGTATTTCCCAGGGCGCCCCATCGTGTTTTTGTTCAAACACCTTGTGGGCGTGAAAAGGGCCTACTGCCAATCGAATCGTTGGTGTATTTGTTGGTCGAATATGGTCGAACCATTCTCCAACCTATGTCCAAGAGCAGTACCCCTCTCCATGGGGCTGACCTATTGACAATTGGGGTGGTTGACACAGTGTCAATGTAGGTAAATCTCTACTAGGAACAAGGACGCGGTCGTTCGGTGGAGGCCATCGCTAGGGTGGAGGCCATCGCTACTAGTAACCAGAAGCTACTAGTAGCTAGAAGCTTCCTTGGGTATCGTTCCACTGGGAATCATTTAGTAACAAGCAGCTTTTAGTATGTCTTTGAAGCTTCCTTCTTAGTAACCCCTTACTACTAGTAGTGCTTTCTTCAAGATGTCCTGTTTGTTGTCCATCCGAAGTCCAAGAGCAGCGTCCTCGTACCACCAGAGTGTTTTGGGCGACGTGTGTCGGTGCGTCGGTGCCTCGTCCACGTGCAGATCCAGAGTTCCCAGACACCTTTTGTGTGCAAATGGCCTACATTTGGTGCTTCTTAGTCTCATTCCTCTTTCCTGAAAAGTATACCGTGGTTTCAGAGGTTAGGCACACACAGACCTCAAGATGTACCGAAAAGAAAGACCACCTGTTTGGGATGTTGCCATTCACTCCAAAACCACCTGCTCAATCCTGTTTTCCAGTCCGTTCACCGCGAGGTGAGCGATGAGGGCGAGTCAGATGGCAGCTCTTGCGGCTCCACAGGCGGACCAGTGACCTGTGAGTGCTGTCGCCCCTGCTGCGCCCTGCGTCACCCTGATTCATTCGTGCCTAGGCGGACCAGTCAGACTGAGCTGAGAAGGCAAGTTTTCGCTTCTTCCGAAGTGCCGGGGTAGTACATAATAGGCTACCGTGCCACCAGGTTTTGAGCGGCTTACCGTGGCAACCTTGCACGAAAGGGCTTTCATCGCCCCCGCACAGGAATCGGACCGGAGGGATCAGTGCATGCGGCAGGTAGACTTGACAGATCTTGTTAGATGGCAAAGATTAGTTTCCACGGTAAGACTTGTGCCATTGCTTATGGTTGCTAGTGCTGCATTCCGTAAGGACCAATCCAAAAATGGTCTCTGTAAGATCTGTAAGTGTCATGCTGTCATGCTAATCGCCTTCAGAGGTTTACGTGGCAATAGGATTTCCACCCATGCGCGAAATCCAACAAATGAAAACACCAGAGGATGCAAAAAGTCTCCAAAAACGTATCGGCTTTCATCGTGTTTCCAAGAACCAACTCTGCTTGGTCACCACATGAACGCCACCTAAAACGAAGAAAAACCTGAGCGAAAACAGCTACCATGTAGAGTCGACAAGTCACCATCATTGGGTGCTGCAGGTGTACAGGTCAACGAAATAGAATGTAAGCAAAGACATGGACCAGGAAGCTGGGCCTGGGGCGCCTTATGTTATGTATACTGTATACACGATCCGATCTCGCACCGAGAGCTCACATGTCCGGTCACATTCCGATGAAGTGGGTCCTTTTAAAAGGTGCCCATCATCGATGGCGTTTCCTGAGATTAGGAGATCCTAAATGCCAAAAGCGCTGCTCTTGTTGCAACATAGACACTCCGCCAGCTTGCAACATAGACACCACCTGGCACCTGGCCTCCATCCAAATACAAAAAGAAAGCATTTTCCCGTTTCACAGCTGTTGGCCGTGCCGTCCCAGTGTTTAAACCGTACAGCAACCTTCCCTCCAGGCAAAAGACAGCTTGAAGTTGGTGATCCCAAGAGATCCCAAGGTTGATAAAGCTTGAAGCAAAATGGATGAAGTCTCATGATTCTCAGCCGCGAAGCACTGATGGTCTGTAAGACTTATTGGTCCTGTGCCGTCAGCGGGCAACCCTTTGCCTATTTGTGTAAGTTCAGCTGCAGATACGATGCGGCATCTGAGCTTACCTGTAAATGTGCAATTTGTAACTTTCCAAGCAACAGCCTGGGTAGCATGAGGAGTGCAACCCATGGCATTGGCAGGTTGCTGTGAAGCGGCTTAACTGGCTAAGTTCTGCTGGAGGCCAAGACAAAATCACTTGAAGAGAAGCCTACATAGATCATGTTTTCCCTCACGAACTTGGGTCAGCTTTGAGTAGTCGCTTCGAATTCAGGATTTTCCCCAGCAGGGGTTGTGAAACCATCACCTCCAAACAGATCCACGATCCGGTCCATCTCCGGCGCCGAGCGGTTTTGGCTCGGACGGTCGGGTGTGGTGTGTTTGAGTTGTGAAAGAAGGGAAACCAGAGAAAGTCTGGTGCCACTGCTGCCAGCAAGTCACTTTTGGAGGGTGGCTTAGCAAAACGGTGGGCGGGACCTGGCCCGCGTTCGGACACTTCCCACCGCGGCGCGGTGTGAGGTTTGCGGTGGGCGGGACCGACGCGGGACCGAGAGGTCGGCTCCAGCTCCAAAGAGACGGAAGTTGCAGGTGATTGTAGAGGGCTTCAGAAGGGTTCTACTTTCTGCTGCAAAAATTGCAGAAGGCTTGAGGTTCGACGAAGACTTCTTGTTCAAGAGGATGTGGTGGATTCTTGTTTGAATGCCTCGTATCCTCGAGTTGTGCATCCGAATAATCGATTACTTCTTGGTCAGCTGAGAATGTGAACCCTTTCTGTGGGTGGTTTGTGGGTGAGATGGATGACAGCCACGGCGTCCGTGTCAGTTGTTTCTTTGGTCGGTCAACTGTTGTTACTCTCACACCGAAGAGCGTGTTGTTTTACAATGGTTTACATGTGTTTTTTAGTACCTGTTTTATCCTTTCGCATGTCTCATAGAGAAAAAACCATGGAAAAAAAACAGCACTTGCTCAGAACTTCCAGATTTGCTCGTGTACCAGGGGGTGCTCCGTTGATGGAACCATCTCTCTCTGTTGGGTTCGAAGGATCCGAATCCACTGGACGGTGTGAACGCATCGTTGTTCCCATCGTCCTCTCATCGTCTCTCCAGATGACGGGTCGGACCAGGTGGCGCGTGGAGCCCCTTACGAGTTGGGAAGAACTGACTATCACCCAGGCCAATTGGCTCAAGGCGAAGCCGTTTCACCGGGGACAAACACCTCGGACCAGCCCCGCAGAGTTCGAGAGCCCACGACTCGTGGGCCTTTTGAAGTGAAGGGATCGAAGTTGAACGGATGGAACATGAAGGAACCAAGGAACCAGGATGAACCAGGAAAGGTGAAGCACTTCACGGGAGATTTTGGCAGGATTGTGGCAGGTCTGTCATGTTCTGTGTTGTTCCAACTTGAGTGAGAAGATCCCTTGCAGGCGTTTTCCAGCCATGGAAGGATCAGCCGAATCCTCCAAGCGCCCTTTGCTTGAGCAAGATGAGGTGCACACATGTGCACACGATTCCCGTGGTTCACACGATTCCCCGGTGGCGTTGGCGTTGACTTCATGCTGTAAAAATAACGGGCAAACCTACTCTTATGATCATGTTAACCATGAAAAGCATAACTGTAATGGTGTTGCCAAATAGTTGTTTTAAAAAAAACAAAAAAAAAACTAAGGGTGCCGTTCCTCCATCTCCTTTTTTGCCAAATAGAGTGCCGAGCCAAATTGCCCCACACCGGTAGGACCCCAATCACGTGGCCCTTCCTCGAGGTGCGAGTCAGGGTCGGATTCGGTCGGACAGTTCCAGTCGGTGGGTGGACCAAGGATGGAACCTGATGGCATGGACCAGACTGGAAGACGATTTTCTGAATACAACCCGACGTGGTGAACTCAGGTTCCAGCTCTTAAATTTACAAACTGGTTTTCCCTGGAAGTCCAGTTTGACTTTTTTGACCGACTGAAGTTTGCAGGAGATTCCTTAACTCGGGTTAGCGAGTAACATTCGAATTTTTATGTTATTTGACTGACTCCCAGGGTTTTGGGGGTCAAGTCATGTCTTCCATCGTCTTCCTACATCAGTGATTTTCTGAAAAAGTGCAGCCTCTGAAAGCTGGATTATGCTGATGTTGCTGGAGGTACCAAACCACCCAAAAGAAAAGCAGGACAAGGGTGTGTGTGGCCCCTGAAGGCAGGTGAACAATCCAGAGAAGTTGCTTCCAAGAGTTTTCTAATGTTGTCTACAACCCGCATCTAAATCGGTATGTGCACTCAGACTTGCAAAGGGTTGCAACAGAAACATCAGAAACAAACTCTAACAGTAGAAGAGGACTTGTCGTCCATCGCTTCGTGATCGTACAATCATACATAGAATCACACTAGAATCAGACGGATAATTCAAGTATATAAGATTAGATAAGTCGAAACATTTCAGACGGGTACGGTGACTGGTACAGGTTTCAGGGGTCAATGTAGGTAAACATGCCAGTGCCATGGAGTGTCTGGGGTACATCTTCCAGTGAAGTGTGGATTCAATGAGTGAAGGTCAGGGCTTTTAAAGCCGGGAACCAGGTCACGGCTTTTCAGCTGGACACCTGACTTGCACAGTCCTACCACGAGTTGATCGGGATCGTGGCGAAAGCTCAGCACTTTTGGAGGAGCAGCATCCCATCTTTGGCTGGAGAGAGACGTCTTTTGTCCCTCCCGGTCGATGGCGAAGAATCCAACAACATGTTGTGACTCCAAGTACTCCGGTCGCCCGCTTCGCGAAGTCCAAGCGACGATGATTGGACCGATGTGTTCGCGAGGTCACCGAGTCGGACACACTCAAAAAGGGCAAAAACCTCGTAGCTTCGGAAGGGGATGGCAATGAGTACACGAGCCCCAAACGTATATAGAATACAAGAGAGCAGTTTTATAGTATGTCGTGATATCAAATCACTGGAAGTGTCTTCCTCGCGATGTTCGGCCCAGAACGGTTTAAAAGACATCACACTGACGCCGACATCGTCATGAAAACATGGGGGGGACGCCGGACACAGGATGGAGCCGTTGTCTTTCCTTCAAGTGGAGCCGGCCGCATCCACCCGGGCGGGCACTCGGGGCATGGCATGGCACGATATTCCTTCCGCGGAACTGATGGACCATCGGAGCATCTCTCGGCATCCGGGTGTGGAAAACAACTAGGAAAATGACAATCTCGGGGATTACATGGGGTTAATATAATGCTATAAAACCTTCTAAGAATCTGTGGGACACCGTGATAGTGGAAACTGCTGTGACGGGAATCTTTTGGCTGATCCACCGTCAATTCATATCGTTGAAACTCCTGCATCCCAGTTCTGGACACCGTGATCATCCGTGATCCGCTCCATCCTACCGCTGCGAGGACAGCGGACACCAAGTGAGTCCTCAAGGAGATTGGTTGCGTTGGTGTGTGTGTTTTTGCTGAGTCCGTGTAAACGGGCTGAGTCCAAAGACGTGTTTCTCAGACTAGTTTGTTCGTGCACATGTACCTACTCGGGCTCGTCGGGCACAGCAGGCGAGCGGGCGCATCGCTAGTGGTCCAGTTGGAATTCACACCGGAGCTTAGCTTGAGAAAGTAAGCTGGAGAAGCTTACCAAGCCTTAGGGGCATCAAAAGACAGTTGAGGAACCTGGTTTGGATCAGGGTGAGTTTGGATGTTTCACTATGAATTCACGTGCTAAGCCGTCCCTTCTGTGGAAGGCTTTTGTCCCGGTTCGACAGCTAAATCCAAGTGAATCCGAACTTCTGGTTCCGACTCATTTGGGCGATGATGTGGCCACGGATGGCCACGGATGTTCATGCCAGTTCCGATGTTCGGATGACCATCGGATCGGGGAAAGAACTTCCACCTGGCGACCGACCGGGCCGCAGGACGAGAGCCACCTCCAAGTAGTCTTCCCACTGGTGGAGTGCTTCACTTGTTCGCAGAGGCAAGGGAACACTGCAGCTGAGTGACTTGTGTCAGTTGAATCAACCTTCTTGCTAGTTCACCTTGATTCCAAGTCCAAGTCTTAGACTAGGCCATTGCTACTAGATTGGAGGCCATTGCTATTGGGTTGGAGGCCATCGCTCTTACTGTAGGTTGGAGGCCATCGCTTTTAGGTTGGAGGTCATCGCTATTAGCTTGGAGGCCATCGCTATTAGGTTCGAGGGCATTGTTATTAGGCTGGAGGCCATCGCTAGTAGGTTGGAGGCCATCGCTAGTAGGTTGGACTGGAGGCCATTGCTGTTAGGCTGGAGGCTGTTGCTATAGATGCTATAGTGTTGTCTTAAACTTCTTTCAATGCGCAATCCGCTCCAGGGCGCAGAAAGAAGAGACGCGCTAAATCCACCAGAGAGAGCGCATGAATCGCAACTTGTTTGCACAGACGAAAACTTGTTTGCTACTTTTTGTTCTAGGTGTGATTCGGACACACTTCGACTTCCGATGTGATTCGGAGGATGGTTTTTTGCTGGCTTCGACGTCACTCTGGGTCGAGTCCAGAGTTGCTTCTCCGGCTTTGCACATTCGGTTGATGGCTCTTTTTTCTGCAGGATCACCCAGGATCCATGTTCGTCACATCCGTCCACGTCGTGACACCCGACATGAGGCGGCCAAGTGCATCGAGTGGAGAATCCGTGGTCATCGAGATGCACAGCATGCCGGAGGTGCTAAAGACTCACCCGCTGAGAGACCGAGTGCCCTCTATGTTGGACCAAAAAACAACCACCCAAATATATACCAAAATATGGTCCTGACATGGGCTCTAGGCTGTCATTGATGTCTTCGCGTCCAATGGTTGTCAGGCTGTGAGATAGCTTTGAGCGGTTGTATCCCATCACTGAAGGGCACAGACTATAGGACCACTCACAAAAACAGCCCATCTTGCCGTACCCAGAAAGCCCAGAACAGGACACAAGAGTACATCTCTCCACCTTGCCATCCTTTTGCGGTCACCCCCCATGATGATAGCTATGTCATTACTTTTTCTTCCCGGCAGCTTGTGGTAAGACGCCGTTGCGCCAGGAGGGCTCCAGAGAACTTTTGCCGGTGGTACACCCGGCCCACTTGGTAGCTTAACCCGGCCATGCGTGGCCGGGCTTGGAAGGGTTGGAGGTCGGAGGACTGGGTAGGACCTACCTACGACGTGCCATGCTACGGCAAAAAAGAACATGTTATGGAATTTACTGGAAACCTTTGGGGCCGTGAACGGTGGTTTTGTGTTCTTCTTTGCCCCGTGTTGCGTAGAACTGCGTCATGTTTCTTTTGCTTCTAAAAGATCGCTAGAGCGGCCTCTTCAGCAAGTTCAATTCGCTGTTCCAGGTGGCGGGCATGTCGGGAGCCGCTACAAGACAAGGTGACGACAGGTGGGGTCCACATGAGCTCGACTTGACTTGCCCGACTTCAACCGGATGAATTCATCGTCGCAACTATTGATCAGCATCTCAACATATGATACTGATGAACAAGGGCAAAACGATTGACCATGAACGAACTCAGGTGGCCTCATTTGTTAAGCGTTAAACTATGGATATGGAAATAGAAAGAAATATATATAAGTCCTCATATTATTAATATGACCTGGGTGGTGAAACCTCAGATATGAAACTCATGCTCAACCCTACTCCAGATCTGGATCTCACCGTCTGACAGAGACTCGTGCCTCTTCCGCCGCCGTCGTTCGATAACGCCCGTCGTTCACAGGACGTGCTTCATTTGCCTCCAGGCACCGCGGGACCCGCGGTTCCGGCCATGCACCGGGCATGGTTCGTGGTCTTTTTGTGAGGCCACCGGTCAAGTGGGTGTGTTTTTGGGTGGAGGGAGTGTCACTAGGGAGTGGGTTCTTGTTTCTTACGTCTGTTTGCTACTAAGCTTGCGGAACAAGTGGGAGGAAGCTCATCCGGAAATGAAGTGGGTCTCAAAGTAATTGCGTAGATCTCTCAACTGGTTGGGGGATTCATTGACTCTACTTCCAACTGCTAAGTGCACTTCATATGGGCCCCGCATTCCGTATGTAATCCTATTGCAAAGGTTACCACCACTGTATACCCTAGTACATAACTATATAAATATTCGAACATATTCCAACCACAAATTGATTGAATAGCCGTTACTGAAGAACCATTTGTTGTGCTAAGGATTTTACACTACAAAACCAGCTCAACCATTTTCAAACTGGTCAGGCTAGGTACAGTCCAAAGACTATATTTTGCACCACCAAAGTAAAGAAACTTCCTTTTTGGGTCACCTAAAGAAAAGCTCTAAATAGTCTTGTGCTAGTCTTTATTGAGCCTCATCCGCGTGAATTCAATGATCAGATCTACTGATCTTCCTGTTGCTCCTTTTGTTGCACCACGCCTGTCGACAGCACGCTTGGAGGATGGCGAGAAGGACAACCCCTTGGTCTCATGTTGCTCAACCTGTTACGCCTGTGCGCCGCAAGAAAGACAAAACACCTGTATTTCCATGCAGAGCTGTGTTCTCAGCCAATCGGAACAGTCACGAATCATGACGAAATCATCGAAGTATCATGCCTATGGTCAGATATGGTCAGATATGGCCAGCTGTTCAGAGTATTTCATGTCTTGTTCTGCACCAAAAAACCGTTTGTGAACGAGGCACGTCCATCCACGTCGTGTTCCACGCCACCCGTGGTGGTCTCCACGTCCGTCCTTCGTCCACCGCTTCGCGGGGTCTGACACCGACAGGTTGGGAAACAACATCCCCAGACACTCCATGTTTATAATTCTTTATATATATATATACAGACTACTATGCTATAAACATAACCTCTATATATATACACTTTTTGTGACACTTTTACTTGCCTACATTGGAGTCTTTGCTTGAAAGGGAACGTCCTTTGCATTACATCACTGGGGCAAATGTTTGTCTTTCGACTTCGAGGGTTGGGAGAGTTGACCCGGGGTCATTGTAAATAGTCCTGTCCCATCGGTGGGTTCCAGGTACACACCGACGTTGCTGGCGAGAGTGGCGGAACAATCAGCATCGTACAGCCCTGCGGTCCCATTTGCTCGGGTGCGCGGATCCGCGGGGGGAAGGGGCTCGACAGCACCGTTGGGTGCCTGTCAAAGGCTTCCAACTGCCACTGATTCAAGATTCTTTACGGAACAACAACTGTTTTGCCAAGGATTTGACACAACAAAACCAGCTGTGAATCGTTTCCAAACTCGGTGACAACACAACAACAAGCTGTGTTTTCAGATCGTTTGTGTTTGTCGTGTGACGAGACCGTCGCGTTCGTCGGACGTGGGTTCGATGGATCAACACCTGGAGCCCAATAAATCGGGATCCGCGAACGAATGAGAACGACACGTAGTTTATAGCACTGTAGGTCGTGCCCGCGTGTATCCTGGTCTTGAAAATCAGAGCCATTTGTGTGTCTTTACTGTAACGTGTATGATGTTTCCATATGTTTCCGCCATCTTCCGGAACGGCTGTTGGGTCGCTTGTGACGGCTTCTTCAACACGGTCGGGTGTTCGTTTCTCCAAAAATTGGGGGGACCTTTGGGGTAAGCCTTTGGGTATCCTGAGGTTCCGGTTCCGGTGCTTTTTCAAAACCATGTGGACGACGTTAAACGTCGGGTGTGTGGAGATCCCTCAGGGTGGGTGCACCGCACTGATGGTGCTGGTTCTGAATCCATGGCAGTAGCCGAATCCAAGAGAATCCAGCCATTCCCTTACTGTATATTCCCTATATAACAAAAAACTCGCACCAGTCTGAAGAATTGCACTTGGTAGGAAGATTCTGTTTAGCTCTTAAAACAGCTCTAGCTTGATGGTTCCTTTTGTTCACGCTTCACCGGAACCAAAGGCCTTCAGTGAAGTCTGAATCTATTTGTTCTTGGTAAGAAGTGCAGGTATGACATGTCTGGCTTTATCTCTTCCAAACCTTGCTTCAGTGGTTTTTCCGGGGCCAGCAGGCCGCGTCGTTCTGCCAGGCTTCGCATGCAGACCAATCACATGTTGCGGTGCACCATTTGCAAATCCGGCACAGCGATGGTGGAGGGCGAAGAGGCACTGGTTTTCCACCGGGGAGTCGGTGGGTGTGATCCGCAATAAGCCTGGAAGAAGCAGCCTGGTGTGCGGATCCTGCCATGTTTGTGGGGTCGACGTTTAGGGAAGAACTTCCCCATCTTCGCTGACTTCGCCTCTTCGTTGACTTGTTCGACTTCAAGGGTCCCCGGACGAGACGACGGTCGCGTTGCGATGGACATGTGAGACATGGGCGGGGGCGAGCGAGCCGCTGGCAAGGGCGCCCGCCCCCAAGCGGCGTGAAACCGAATGATTGCGAGGTAAACATGGTCAACAACCCATGGCAGATGTTTCTGGGGAACCATGTTAGCTTTACAAAAGGTGGCTTGTTTGACGCGTGCGTGACACGGGTGCCACAGAAGACCTGGCAAAAACCCTTGGTCAACTCAAGCCGCAGACCAGGGCCCAAGCGGCCATGAGGGGCCTGGAAGCGAAGAAAAAGGTGGGCCATGTCCCCTCACACCGATGTTGAATGTGTTGGACTCATGATTCAATATGCTTCAATAGGCGGAGGGGGTTGCATGTTTTTATGGTGGAAGGATCTACAGAATTGGATGATTTGGATGATTTACTCGCTTTTCTTTTGTATCCAAACAGGTTGGCTTGGGCAAAACCAGCCCAAATCCACACGCTTCCTTTCAGCGAACTCGACGGCAGAACGGCCTATCTTGGATGAACGAGCTGATGTGTGGAGGGGAACCGAGCATGGTGCCCCAGTTGCGCTCCGCTACAGAACTGATGAAGCGGTACAGTTAAGAACTGGAAACCGCCCCCCCCAAAAATGAGCTCAGTGGCTACTTGGCTACTGCTGAGTCCGAGATCTGATTTCTTGGGGGGATGTAGTGGCTACGTGCACAGTCCAGGTGATTGATGTCCAGAAGGTGTGAGCCTGGATCACAGTCATAGTCGATTGAGTTTGATCGTTTGACAGTTTCATCTACACACCTTTCGTTCTTTGCTGCCATTTGGAAGGTATGATATCCTAGACACTCCATGTGGTATCGTATTCTCATGGCCGGCTCCGAACTCGGAGCGCAGAGCGACAAGTTTACCAAACCCATCCAAACCCTACCAAAGCCTCACTCATCCAATCTAGTGCCGAATGAAACTGACTCAAAAACATCAGCCACAGCTATGAGCATAGTATTTTTTGTCTTTGTTGCTGATTCAAACCAGCCTCAACCAATGGTTTCGTGAAGATAAAGAAAGGAAGAGCAGTCCGGAGGCCAATTTTCAAGCATGTAGCACGATTCAGCGGTGACCGTCAGGACAACATTTGGTCAAAAGCTGGAGTTGTGGTCCACCATTGTAGCGAAAGACATCGAAAGACCTGGAGCGTCGGTAGGTGAACTGCTCGGTCTCCTGATGTCTCCTGGCTTTGACCCAGCCATTTGCGCTGTGGCTTGAAACTCTATTCTTTCAGCACCGATGGTTCGCCGGCTGCCGGGGACGAGGCCAGGTTCGGCCAGTCGCCAGTTCGGCCAGGTGAAAACAGCTTGCTGGGACGGCTAGTGGCACTGGGCAATCGCAGGGAAGATTCGGACGAGGTGGGAGCCGTTCCAAAGCGATATCTTGATATATCTTGTGTGCACCAGTCGTTTTCTTGAGGCACGGATCATCCACCCAACATCACTCACATTCAGTGGTGCAAGATGGTGCCCATTGAAACGAGTAAAAATGGATTGGGATCATCCACCCAGAGAGGTGGGATCATCCACCCAGATGAGTGGGATCATCCACCCACAAAGGTCAATCTTCCACAAGAAGCACCACAGATTTGGGCTCCACAAGGTGACCTTCTGAGGCTCCACAAGGTCACCACTTCGGATGAAAATCACCTCCCCGGAACCTCGCACGCCGCGCGAAGACGGAGGATCCGGAGGCACAGCTGGAGGACTTGATTGATACGTGCGGTCACCCGGCGGGGAGGACCGGGAGGACGAACAGGGCGCCTGGAGGCCGCGAAGGGGAGGCTTTCTAGCCGCGGAAACGCCATCTGAATCCCTCTTGATCTCCAGTTTCCTTGACGAAGTAGAACATGCAGAACTTTTTGAAGCACTTGTGGACATCCTTCAAAAAGTTGTTGGAATGAAAAAAACACGCCACCCCACCCCAAAATCACCCCAAAATCCAGAGTCCACCCCAAAATGTGTGCTATGATTCGGTGCTGCTGCTTAGCCAACACGCACCATGGCTCCTGCCGGTGTTCGAGGCGCACGTGTGTGGCGCTGGTCATTTACCTGGGCATGGTGCCTCGCCCCGGGGGACATCGGAAAAACAAGAGAAGTCCTCGATGAGTTGGTGGTCGGCGACTGCAGATTTAGGCAGATGTTTGATGATTTACATGTGTATATATATATATATATGCTTGCAGACAGAGAGATACAATAAATATCAATAAATATATCAGTTATAATAGAATAGATTAGAATAGTTTATATGATGTGTCGTCCCTCTTCTTCCCGATTGAACTGGGGTGCTTTGAATCTGCCCCCTCTGACAACTCTGGCGTCTTCGCACAGCTCATCGTCGCCATCATCATCGCTTGCTTGCTGATCGTCACGCAGGGAGCTCGCCTGGCGCTTTAGCAGTTTCAGCATGTCTCATCATTGGTTCTGCGTTGCTTGCAGTCTCACACCATCAAAGTCCGCTTGAGAAGTGCTTGAGAATCTAGAGACCAGTTAGTGAAGAGTGGCTTGTGCAATTCAGTGAACTTCTGAATTTGGAACTTCGGCTGAGCAACGCACAAAGTCGAGACATACAGGACACGATGGACAAACATTCCGCGCATCTCAAGTATTCATTGCACACTCACACTTTTCCACAAGTCCGGTCCAACTAATCAGGAACGAAATTTGGAACCCCTTTTTCATGAATGATTTCAGGGCTCTGCTTGATCTTCAGTTCCAAATTCCAAACCACGGGACCATGCTTCCTCCACGACCCCCCTCCAGAAAAAGAACCTGCTTCCGTTCTCGCTCCGGAGACCCGTCTCCTCGATCGGCACCCGTTCGCTCCGTCTCCTCGGCCAGTTCTGGGCTGGAGACGTGGTGTTGTGTTGCATCATTGCGCTCTACGAACTCTCCGTCCTGCAGGTCCCGCCGTCGTTCGCGCGCGGGTGACGACCGGGGTCACCAGGGTCACGGTGGGATTTGGCGCAACGGTGGTCGTTTGGGGGAGAGTTTGGGGACGTCGTGTTCGGGTGTTCAGGACCATTTTTAAATAGATACCCCGCTGAAAACTAACATGGACCCTGAAAACCACTGATTTGTAAAGGAAACCAGTCTTTCAGGGTGCCATTCTCAGGGTCCATGTTTGTTTTCGGGAGTGTAAATGACTCAGACACGACTCCGTTGGCAAAAGAAGTTCAGAAGCACAACTGAATGAGTGTGTATTTTAATAGGGAGACCCCCAACTCTAATAGGTTCGTTTTGGTCTCTTTCCCTCCGCATTCCCTTCTTCCGGGTCGAAGGCCCCTTGGATCGCCTGGTGCGACCAAGCAATCTGATGGGTGAAGGGCAAAGGAAATGCGTACTGTACGAGCTCCGAGCTACCCTTCTAAAAGATCCTTGGCACATCCTTACTACCCCTCATAGCTTAGCAGTTGGTCGTTTGTACACTCAAGAATATATTGATATAGGCTATAGGTTTGAGGGTCTGGATCCTTAGGGTACATCTCAGCACAACCTCGGTGGATGAAAGGCAGCACCAATTCGTTTGCATCAAAAATGCACCGCACCTCCCTTTCAAAGGCAAGGGATTGGTGTCCCACCTTTTTGTTCATGGTGTTTCCCACCAAAAATAACAAATGAATCAAAACAATGATAACAGACATCAAAAAAATTCTCGCAAACACCATGTTCAACATGTATATTAAAATATATCGCAGGGCGACTGGCCCGGACGTCGGGTGACGACTCGCCCGCGCGGACTCGCGCCGTGACGACCGCCCAGCTGGTGATGCTCGCCATCCTCCGACGCCGCGACGTGACGTTCACGGCGAGCACGAGCAGCGCGAGCACCGGGACGAGGCACCGAGCCACGGGGGCGCGGCTCCGCGGAGGGGCGCAGGAGCGGGACTGGAGCACTGGCACGAAGATGGAAACACCCAAGATGGGATGGTGGCAGGGTGGAAGTGGAAGATGTTTTCTGTTGAATGGTTGGGGCAGAGGATTTTTTGGAAGATCAAGGGTTGGGGGGAACCCCGTGTGAAGTCTTTTCAGTGTAGATGACCATGCTGTCAACTTGGGCAGGTCCCTCAAGAGAGTCAGATTCGATTTGGCCAAATACCTGCTGAAAGATATGAAAGATGCTGATTTGGCAGAATTGAGGGGAGTCCAGACCTTAATTGAGTCCAGCTAAATCACATAGCTCAAATCATCACTTCACGGTGGTCCTTTTTCCGAGAACAGGGTCTTGGGCCAAAGGCGGCTTTGATGCGCAATCCCCTCCGTCAGCACCTGCATGAGCCAAAAACCTGTGGCACCTGATGAGGTCATGTGGTATTCCCAACCCCCCATCAGGCCAGCACCTGGTTGAGGCCAGCCGAAGAAACCCGCGAATCCACGCAGCCCGTGCGGGAGATTCAGCTTCGCACCTTAGGTGCGATCCGGGGAAGAGGTCGATGCCAGTCACTCAAGTTGATGGCATGGAGTTTGTGTGGGCATTGTTTCTTGTGACAGGGGGCGGGTAATTATTGAAGGGATCGGAGGAATGATGAGAAATGCAGCATGCAGATCAATTTGTTTTGCGCTGCAAAAACAGAACATCCTGGAACTCCAATGAATTACTCAAATGAATTTGCGACGTATCAGCATCCGCATGCACTACTGTATGTGTGGAGGTGTTTGTAGCGTCCGAAGAATCCCAGGGTTCGCCATGTCTCAGGATGATGCTGAGTCCAAACTGCCGTAGACTGCAAGAAGCAGCAGAAAAAGAGTGGCGATCCTGCAAACTCATTCGATACACCGGGCCCGGGCTGTAGGTCACCCGGGTGGCCCGTTTCACCCTGGTTTGGGGTTGACCTTCTTTGTAATAATCTGTTCTGTTCATTGCCCGTGGTCTCTCCCATCCCCCAGTTCTGACCCAGGCCAAGCTGTGTGTGGTCTTCACGTGGCCCAGGCCAAGCTTGTGCCCCAACATGGAGAGTTTGTCATTCTTCACCATGTTCCTGAACCTTTCCATTTCCGGGAGGTGTTGCTTTCCAGAAAAACGAGGTGGGAGGTCTTCCTATCTTAGTACACACCCAAAACTTGCAAGACCGTTAGAAGCGTTGAAGAAGGCGTGTCACTTTGTGTTGTGCGGTACCCTTTAAGGAATTTTAAAGAATCCCAAGTCAAAGACATTCCAGCTGAAGAACCATGGCGGTTTGCCCTAGTTTCTTCCAAATCATTGAAATCCTACCACCTCGAAGTCCTCTTCTCCACCCACCTCGAAGTCCCAGCCGAAAAGTCACGGGCTCGCCGCAACCACCTCGCTCAAGTCTGGGTGACCACGGCCGGACCATCACGGGGTCGCCACGCGGTGCAGCATGGCACCAGGTGCCGGTGATGTGGGGTGATGTCGAGTGATGTCGAGTGAATGCGAGGACGGAGAGGAGAGGAGACCGGAATGGGAACCCCCCCGCGGAGGGCTGCGTTCGCCCCTTCATCGCCCCCTCTTCGCCTCGGATCGCAACGCCTGGGGAGGCCACGAGACCCCGATTCAAAGACGCCCCCCCCCAATTCGAGGTCGAACCAGGGACGCGGTGGGTCGCGCTTGTGACTCGGGCATCCAGGTGCGGAGTGCGACTCTCTTGGGACTCGACTCCTCATCGCGCTTCTGTTCCTTCTCTCTCTGTGCCAATGGGTGTGACGTGTGTGGTATGTTGGGGCCTTCGCCCGGGTCGGGGAATCGGAGCCCGTCCGATCGGCGGCGGAAACCGCGTCCCGGTCCGGGACGCCGGACGCGGTCCGTCGAAAAGGGGATGGCGGGGCATGGCCATGTCAGTCGAAAAGGTTTCTGAGGATTCTTCCTGTTTGGCGGGATGCATTCATTCCATGCGTTTGTGACGTGGTGGTGATACGGCGTGGTTTTGTTGGACATTTGGAGTCGACGTCTCTTTCCGTTTGTCTTCTCGTCTGAGAAGCAGAGGTGTTCGACAAGAACCATGGGAGAGATCGACATGCATGGAGCTTACTGCAGGACTTGGGTGTGACTGTTCGGGGTTGGACTGCCTCACCGATGGTCAAAAGGATCGCATCACCAGTGAGATTCAGTGAGAACCTGGACGAATAGTATGTGCATGTATGTGCCATGTATCAGTCAGATCAGAATTTGGATTACAGTAACTTTGTCGCACAGGCATGGTTGTTTGCAAATCAGCTTCGCAGTTTTCAAGAAAAATATACGGGCACCTCCTCCTGCCGCAAGAAGCCCTGATATTATATATTATATATATAATGATCATAATTGATGTCGATGGTCAAGAAGACCTAGCCACTTCAAGAGAGAAGACTAAAGCAGACTTGGACGAAGGTCCGTTTTCTCCAAGATGGCTGAGCTGCTTGCCCGGCCGTGCATCCCTCAGAGTGTTTAGAATCGTTGTCCACCCAGATCCACTCAGTGAGAGGCCGAAAAGCCACCCTTTTGGAACTGTTGGCTCGAATGGTTTTTCCGGCAAATGCCGGGCTTGCTTTTGTGTCGATCTGCAGTTTGCCGTTGTTTTTGGTGGTCGCACATACGACCCAAAGAGCCAAACCTTTTTGGAGGTTTTACCACTCGGTGCAACTCGCTTCTGTTTGGAACATGCCCTATTCCAAGGCTGTCTCCGACAGCATTGGAGAAGGAGGAAGCCCTCGCAAAGAACGGGAAGCGGATTCCAAAAGCCAAGGACACCCCTCGAAGGGCTCGGAATCTGTGAGGGTCTCCGAACGGACAATGGCATGACGACATTATTGACGTGGTTGGGTTTCACAGTCACCTCGCCATTAACTTCGCAATGTTCAAAAAGGGCAACGAATTAAAAACATGTGGTGGTCCGACCAACAAAGAGATGAAGGGCATTGAGAGGTGACAGCTAAAACATCCCCGTTTGTTAGGGCACTATTTTTTCCTGAGGCAGGAGGTCGTTTTATATAAATTTTGATCTGCCCGGTTGGCTCCCACAATTATCTCAATCCACAGGATTTCATAAAGATTGCATGGAAAATCAGCCTTCAAAGCAGGATTTCATAAAGAGTGAAACTACAGCAATTTATAAAGACTTAAGTCTTTCTCACAGCTCTTTCACTTACAGGATTTCATAGCCACATATATTAATCATATATAGCTGACCTTGGAGCTGTCCTACGTGAAGCCATTTTGGCACAATGTTGGCGACCGTCGACACCACAGTTTTAGGAATTTATAAGTATAGAGTTCTGCCATTCCCGGGGAACCCCCGGGCAATTCATTGCCTTTCACGCTGCCACAAGCATGCTTCAGCCACAGGATTATATAAAGAATCAGCGTATCTTGATGAACCTAGGACCACCCATTTTATAACTCCCCAGGTGTTGATTTTACTGGGAATTTCTTATAAAGTCTAGGGTGCCAGGGTCACCCGTCCAACCAACGGGGATCTAAAACACCAGGAAAGACTGCCGTGTTTTTTGCTTCATTTGTGTTTTACTTGTTTCTATAATACATGACGGTCCACGGACCTTTCAAGGAGACCCAGGTTTTTTCCTTTTAGGCGCCAGGGTCGGCCACCGGCGCCAGGGGAGAAAGCGCGGATCAAACATCGTGGAGAGTACCATCCTAATCCACTGGCAGACAAACAATCAGATTCACCAACATTCACCAAATTCTGTAAGTTGCTGGACCGCCAAACACCTCCCCAAAGCATGGTGGATTATAGAACCCACTTCCATATACACTTCCATGTTGCTTTCGTTTCAGGGGTCAGTTTCTGAGAATACGACTGAGCAGCCCCGTTGGACCTGCCACCAGATGGTCCGTCGTCCTTCTTCCAGGCGGACCGGAAGGTGGCTCGGCCCAAGGAGAGCAAAGCCGCTGCTTCGCAGGCGCTGGGATGGATGGGGATGGGGAATGGATAGCCCGTCTCGGGTGGAAGATAGGACGGTCAAAGATAGTCAGAAGGATATAGTGGTCACCCCAGCCTAGACCAAACTCGAAAAGGACGGAAGAACAAGGGTATTCCTTGGTCAGTCTAGCTAGCTAGGCGTTTGTGCTGAACGAACCAACGCAGACAGCCGTTGCACAACTCGAGGCAGCCAGAGACACAACAGCAATCAGCACAGCTGAAGACAACCAGAGACAGCGGAGACAGCCGGAGACAATGGAAAAGTTTCTTTTTGCAACTTTCCTCCATCTCTGGTTGAAATCTCAGAGCTATGTGGCAATCACGTGATCTAATCACATCGAATCACGTGATTGCCTGTGTCAGCCACAAGGTCAAACCATCGAAAAATTCGGGCGCAAGATCTAAGATCTGCATGGATGTTGTATGATTTTGTGATGTTCATTGATTTTCATGTTTTTTCCAGGTCGAGTTTGTGCACTGACTGGCATCTCCACGAAGGGATCACATGTCCATGGGCGGAACGTCGACAACGACCCGCCTGGGGAGAACGAGCCCCGCACAGGTAAACCTGTTTGGGGAAACGGGGGGAGTCGAAGTGCCTCTTCTGTGAATTCAGAATCTGAGTTTGTTTGGGGGTGTTGCTATCGAGCGATGGAGAATCTGACGGAACTGAATGTTTATTTAGTTGGCTTCCCAAAGCCAGAGTTTAGGTCAATGAAAGGAATAGGGGAGGGCCTGTTTGGAGAACCAAACATGTACATACATACCCTTCTTCCAAGAAAAGCCGACGGGACCATTCACCCGGTGCCACATACTGCCACCATCCACCAGCAGAAGGTCTGTCATGTTTGGCTTTCGGTCTTGTAACCACGGCCCAGGAGGTAAAGCAAGAAACGGAGGGTGAAGCAGAGGTTGGAGCGGTCCCAGATCGGTGGACACCAGTTCACGGGTTTGAACAGGGAGGCCCCTTTGAGCCAGCGTTGGAGAAAGGAGAAAGAGCATGGAGAAAGAGCATAGACGAACGCAGAATGAGTCATCCAATAGTCGCAAGTCTTGCCGTCTGAGTCGCCGGTGGAGAGAACGACCTCGTTCGACCGAGCCCGGGCGCGTCGCCTCGTCCGGTTCCGCCGGTGGCTTCGGTGGCTGCGCGTGAGGCGGAAGCCTTTGCGGCCGATCCCTTCGGCGACAAGGGCATCCTTTCGGCGGTGTCGGAATTGAGTGCCGCCGACCAAGTTGTTTTTTCCGCTTGTTTGTCTTTTCGACTGCGTCTTCGAGCTCGCTCAGTCGCACACCGTGTGGGTGGATTCTCGGCGTTCGTTGTTATTCCAAAGTCGACTGGCACAGCTGACGTGATGGGATGATTTGGATTGTAGGTCGTCAATTCAGCACCTTACCTCAGATGCTGTGAGGTCCTGGGATTCTCAATCCTGTGCTTTCGTTCTTCCAGCTTTGGCAATCACCTTGGCAGGTGACCTTCAGCAAGAATGGAAGGAGAAGATGAAACATCCTTCCTTCAGAAAGGCCTGGCTGTGCAAATATCAGAATTCCAGTTTAGGTTTACTAATACATCCCAATATTATCATGCGGCTGCAAGTCCTTCTCTGCCAAATTGGACAGGCCGCGCTGTGTCAAATCTCTCACCGCTCGCAGGCAGGGCCTCCACGAATGAAGCGACCCCCGCCGCAAGCTGTATTGGATGAGCAGGTCGGCCGCGTTTGTCTCCCAAGCGAAGGGGTGGGGTCAACGCGTGCCGAACCGCATGCGGTCCCCATGTGGGTCCCTTCTGAAGAAAGAAAACCCAACGCAACGACCTACACGGCCGAGAAAGCAGAAACGACGAAGATGTTCCACAGCGATCACGTTTTCTTCCATCTCACAATCTAGGGTTGGTGGGGACACGTGTTATTGTTTTTCCATCGTTGAACACTTGGATCGTCCATCGCAGAGAGAAGGAAAGACCCGTGGAGAAAGAAACATCCAATCGTTCAGGAGCGGAGGCACAAGATGGAGGAGATCGACACTCTGGAGCTTCAACTCAAAGAAGCCACTTAAAGAGGAACGTCATCGTTTTACGGAGAAACACCATGATATTACATGTACGTTATACCTTGGGAGTCAAAGACTATAACAAGAATGGTCTTTAGGGGACCTGAAAGGGAACTTCCTTTACTTCAGCCGGTCAAAATATAGTCTTTGGACTTCTAGGGTATATGTGATTGTAAAATTCAAGAAAACGAAACAATGAAAAGAGTTTTAGGGTCGCTCGAGTTTGCGCTGCTTGATCTGGCCGCTGCTTCCTCGTGTTGACTCGTGTGGTTTTGGTGTCGGTTTTGGCGCGGTTTTCCCAGACCCGGACTGGACTGGACGGTGGAAAACCCTCAGTAACAGAAGTTGTCTGGCGTTTGAGCAATTGTCTGACCGTGTCAAGAACTCTAACCAAGCAAGTACTTATATAGATGTTGGATGGCGGGAGTTGCTGAAGTTGGACGACACAAATTTAGCCAGTTGGATGCACATGCACCGTCATCGTCCCATGCAGCCAGCTGTACAGCTGCCAAAGCAGTTGGAACCATAGCTGGTCTGGTCTGCCATGGTCTGCCCAAAGATGTGAAGACCAGTTTCTGTGTCATGGCCGTTTGGTTTTTATTTTGGGCGTATTGGAGGGACCGAAGGCGCTGGTGTGAAAGGGTGAAAGCAGCGTGCCATGTTGGACCTTGGGGCATCCATGCCCAGACCATCCATGTCGTATGGAACATGATATTGGTCCTTCAAACCAGTTTAAAATGGCTCCAGTGTAGGCAAAGATGGATGGTTCGGGACGGTGACCAGGGCATCCCCCGCAACTCGCAAAAAACGCGTTGGGAGAGCCAACAAACGTGCTTTCCCAATGGATCGGGGGGATCCAAGGCCAAAAACGTGGCAGCGGCAGCCAGACGAGCTGCGCAAGCTGCTGAGCAGCTGGCTGAAGCTGCAGCAAAAGAGGCCAGCCCTAAGGGGATAGATCCTAAGCTTATAAGGCTGACTGGTGAGCTGGGGGAGTAGTGTTGGAAGAAAACACAATCAAAGCTACACAACAGAAACATACAAACACCGGGTTTGTTCCAACATCTCAGGTAGTGCAGGCTATCTTCCACCAACCGGAATGAATCCAAGGTCTATGTCCAGAAAATCCTATCCCTCATCCCTACAGCAGCGGGCGGGAAGATAGGGGCAGGGAAAGGCTCAGGGGGCATGAAACGGTCGCACCTGGAAGCCCAACCCTGGTAGGTTGACCGACCACCAGTGTTGTCTATTCTGTTCATGAAGTCAACCAAAGTCTTCCGGTTTTGACCCCTAGCCAAACTCATACAAACTGTTTCGAGCTGCCCATCCATGGTCAGCAAAGATCATCCGCCACAGGCGGAGTCTGGATCCGAAGATGGTCAGACTTCTCAGCATGTTTCGGAGAAGAAGGAGATGCCGACGGCTTTTGGAGATGATCACCTAAGGACCTATATAAGTCCTTAAATATGATGTATCAAATCCATAGTCCGTAGTGCTCGACGTTTTCTCATTCCTTTGTCCTCTCACAAGGACGTAATTTGGGGGGTTCAGTTGTGCCTCAAGTGGCAGATGGGACCTCCTTCGATGCACCGGCCCAGATCGGATCAAGCCAGTTCAGTTCGTTTGGGGCCGGAAGTAACGTACTGCCAACTGCCATCGGTGCACTCCTAAGAACTAACATAGAAACATATCGAAACTCATAGACCATTTGATATACAGACCCCCAACTAGATAGAAAAGTAAAATCCCGTTCAACATGTTTTGGAAACCATGTCACTATATATCTATTTGGGTACTACTTCTGGAGGAAACTCTTCTTCCTTCCCTAAACCCGGAGCCTGGCAGTTTCGTATCGGACATCGGACCTTCTCCTTCGACTCCAATCAACCCATGGGAGATCAAGTTCCTCCAGCTGAGCTGCATCCTCAAGTTCACAGGTGGCAGGTGGAAACATGAAAAGGGCCATGGTCAGCTTGATTTCATATGATTTCATCACATTTGGATAACCTTGGATAACTATCTCAAGTTAAACTTGATTGGTGGTGATTCAGCCGTGGATTTTGCTTTGATCCCTTTGCTTGTGTACTTAGCCACACTGGATTATCACTGTTGCGCCAAGATGCGCCAAGAGTGAATACGACTCTCCCTGGCGGAATGGATTTGAGTATGTTTAAGTCCACGTTCCAAAGCCGGCCGTCCAACTCAGGGTTGCCTTGGAGAGACCCGAGAAAAATAGCACAAGAACTCACATAATATAGGGTTAAGGACGGATTCGGAAACTATGATTCGGAAACTGAATCGTAGTTTCTGAATCTTGGCTTCGGGATCATGGTTTCTGAACCATAGTTTCTGAATCTTGGTTTCTGAATCGTAGTTTCTGAAGAATTTTGTTCATTTTTGTTCCAGATATAGTGATATAATGTGATATATATAATGCATGCTGTTTTATGTAATTGTGGTCTCCCCGGTCATTCCGGTTTCAAAACACGGCTCGGTCGGTCTAACTCGGAACACGAAACGGTCCTGTCTTGAGGAGGAAGTCGACATGCAGCACCAGGCTGTTCGACTTGATGTTCGACGGATAGGAAACCCCCTGTTCGTTGGGGGTACTCTACTTCAGATGGTTTGTTACGTCGAGTTCTACGTACAATGCATATTTTGTGGGGTCTGTTGGGTTGGGAGTTTGGTTACGAGAAATGTCCCAGTTGTATACGGTACTGTGATTGGGTGAATTTGTTGTGCATCCTATTTACTTTTTCGAGCCGTTCCCAGTCGTCCTTTTCCACGCAACCGTTCGACGTTGACAACACTCCGCGGCGAGACGAGACGAGAGATCGAAGGGATAAGGGTTTCACAAGGGAAACACTGGAGGTTTTTTCTGCAGGACATTTCGGCTTCAACATAACTCCCAAATCCTTTCCGGTCGCCCATGGACTCCATGGACCATGCCCTTTCGGTCGCACCCGTTTCCGTTCGACCGGAGCCCGCGCGAGCGGAAAACGGGTGAGTGAAACGGGGTGAGGTCTTTTGGCCATGATCCACAACGGATCCAAATAGTGTAGCGGATCCACAGCGGAGAGCTCCCAGTCACGACTCCATGCAAGGTTCGGAAAGTAGGCCAGTCTACCATCCAACCCATCTTCTAATAGGGGTCTCCCTATTAGAATACACACTCAAGTGGTGGGGGTCCCAAAAAAAACAAACAAACAAACACACACGTTCATTGGTTCTGTCCGAACGCCTCCAGGCAGAGGCACGCGTCCAGGCTCGGAGGAGACAGGAAGCGAAGGACATGGGTTTGCTGGGTCTGCTGGGTCTGCTGGGTGCGTACCGTCTATACTGACTGCCTATGAGCATTCTGGAAACGACTTCAGGCGGCCTGGCCATGTCATTGGTCCTCAGGATATCATATCATCGTACCACCCGGTGAAAAGGTGCCACCCCCGCACCCCCCCCCCAACGAGGAGGCTGAAGGGTGAGGCTGAAGGGTCATGAAGGCTGTAGGTTCGGGGGAGTTCCATGGTTTTGGCATGCTTTGGCACCTATCTCTTTGGAAGACTGGAAGCACCGCATGTCAGTTCCGCATCATTCCGCCGCCCATCTCCGCCCTCCGCCGGTCCAGGAACGGCGCGATCGACAGCGCAAGGAGGCAGAGGAGAAGAGGCTCAAAGAGGCGCCCATCTGGTCCAGCTGCGAGCCGGGCGGTTTGAGACCCTCAAACGAACGGAATGCTTGAGTTCGTGGGATTACAAGCATCCGGCAAATAAGTTCTACCAGGTGTTGGTCGTAGTTCAAGTAATTAGTGGGGTGAGGGCGATTCTTTGGATTTTTTTTTTGGGGTCATAGTTTTTTCTGAGATGAAGGTGGGTGACAAGGGGCACAGCGATGAGAGCAGCTTACAGCTTGAACGGTGTGGAGAGTGCAGAGGGGCGGACCAACGCCTGACGGGGCGGAGCGGGGCTTCGTTCGACCTACCTCAGGCTGAAGCTGATGCCAAAGCAAAAGAACTGGAACGGCAGACAAAAGAGAGAATACAGGACAGGCACCTGGTGGAAGCCCGAACATGCAAACATGTGTCCAGTTGTTTCATCCAAGTAACCAAACAAGCGAGAGGCCACCATCAGCAAAAGCATGCAATGCAAAAGCAACGGGTTTAAGCAGAGGGTTCGAAAGATTGCCTGTCGTGGCCCTCAAAGATCCGCTAAGTCTTGACTTTGCAACACTTGGAAATGGTTTGATTTGAAGTAGATATTGACCATTGCCGGAAACTTTGAGAGATTGTGTTCTGAACGTGGCAGGCATGCCTTACTTAAGCACTGACGAAACAGGAAAACAGCCAACCCACATGTAAGAAGCCATACTTGGCACTCTGACACTGCCTTCTCATGTCCCAATCTTAATCTTCTGAGCTTGAAATGCAAAAGTTAGCCTGAGTGTGTCCTTCGATTTGTTTAGATAGGCTGAAGACTTCAGAAAAAGGGTGTTTCGCTGTTCTCAAGATGTTTCTGCAACCGAGTCTAAATTTATCAAAGTTTGCTTGTGAATCGTGAGGGATTCAAGTACGAAGTTGTAAGCTTGTACTCCAAATCTCAAGGAGAACTAGCCAGTCACCAGTAGAATCCAGTAGAAACAATATCAGATTCCTCAGGATTTGTGTTGGTCACTCACTCACCTCACTCACTCCATTCACTCACTCACTCACTCACTCACATGTCTAATCTTCCTGCCTACTGGCGACAAAGACCTGAAGAGGTCACAGCGAGCTGCCGCGACATGCTGTGACACTGGAACTTGTTGGACCCTGTTGGAGGTGCTTTTTGAGGGTAGAGGGGAGTTGCTTGACGGGTTTGCCGAAGACCACCGCGGTGAGAGAGAAGTTCTCGCGGCCTTCGAGGAGCGGAGACGTTCTGAGAGAGCGCGTGACCGACAACTTCAAGAAGAAATGGAGCGTCGCGCTCCAAGCAACGGGTGATTCTGAAGGGACGAAGAGGAGTGAGGAGATACCAGCATCCAGGAGCCCAGAGGAGCCCCCAAAGCTATCTATAGTGGGATTGGTGATCCTTTTGCCTCGTGGAATTGATGGTGTGTTTTTGTTGGGGTTGAGTGGGGAGCCACCAAGAGAGACCCTGTTCCCAGCCGGATGTGGTTACTGGTGTTTCTTGGAAGCTCCAAGAGTTATGGGATGAAGTAGAATAGCCCGCGTCAAGGCTTGGCGACCAGAAAACTGGTGTAAAAATTCGGAGTTCCGATCGAATTCCTCAAACAGGAGGCTCCATATATATATATATCCATTATGCCATATATACATACGTTTATCGATGTTTCAAGAACGGGAGCTGGAATTCTTCGATTCCGAACCGCTTCCAAACCGAAATCCGCGAAGCGACATGTGCCGACGAAATCCGGAACATGACCACATGGGCCAAATTGAAGGGTTCTCCTGTTCCCCAAATGAAACTCCTTAACGTATATTGTATTTTTTAATTTAGGTTGTTGATTCTTCGCTTCCAAGAGATCCATCGCATTAACAAATTACAATTTGAAAGGCCACAATTTCAAGCTACTGTAAGCAGATGAGTTGTTTGCACATCAGGTGAATATTGGGATTTCGTGGCCCCAATACGGCCAACATCTAAATTGGAGGGCTCCAAAGAGTTGTGGGGTCCAATCAACGCCTAGTTCCGTTGCGGGGCTTCACGATTCCAAGATATTCCAAGTGTTCAGGGTTCCAGGCAGAGGTTGTCGTCGGGGGCCCGGTTCTGGGCGACAAGTGGTGGATAAAACTCTGTTTCAAAGTCAAAATTCAAGGTTCCAGGGCTTTGAACAGATAGTTGCAACCACAGTCAGGCTCCAGAGCGAACGAGGCTTCAGGACTTGGCTTCAAGGCTCCCCAGTTTCAGGCCTAAAGTTGTGAGCGGCCGGTGATCTTATTGTTTATCAGAGGACGGCTGCATAGTCCCTATAGATGTCCCTCGGTTCCACAGCTCCAAGGTTACAGAGTTCGCGAACAGTTGCGATCAGGGGTCTACAATTTTCAGTCACCCCATCATTTCCAGATAGATGGAGGAATATGTCGTAGCTGGATGCAGGTGCAATTGTTTAGCTACACTCAAGTAGTACTTACTCAATAACTCCGTTGTTCACAACTGGACAGGAAAATCGCTGCCACATGCTGTGAGACAGGATCAGGAGCTGAAGGCTGGTCAGAAGGACGGTGTCAGGTGAATCTGTTGGTTCCGACGATCGCTCGCTTCACCGGACCCTTCACCCGCAGGAGCTCTCATCGGTCGGTGGCCGAGGTGAGTCAGAGCTCAAAGAGCAAAGATCCCAACAAGCTGCGGAGGAGCGAGGTTCGGTTCTTCGTGCTCGGCAGAAGGCAGAGGTTCCGGTTTTCGAGACGAGCTGTCACTTCTTCCTTTCTTTGAGCCGACATGCATGAGTTTTGGACATCCAATGAGTTGCACGAAAGTGCCTGAAAAAATAAGCTTTTTGGGGGACACCTTCTTGGACAACCGCAAGACCCCTGCAACTGGATGTAATAGCAACAACATGCAACAACCATTGAAGACGGACAAAGGCAGGGACCCCCTCCGACCCAATGATCTCCCCAGACCCAGGAGCTTCAGCAGCAAGCATTAAAGCGCTTGGCTGACAAGGACATGACCGACTGGTGGGTGAAGGTCGAAATTCGGATACCTATCCAAAAGAACATATCATGCAAGTAAGCTTGGCTCCCATCAAGAGAAGCTGATCTGTATTAAAGCAAGATTAGGATCCGGTCCCCTTGGTCCCTTGGTCAGCTTGTTTGTTGATCTTCTTTTTCGTTGTTCCGCTGGTTGCTTGGTCCCCTGGTCTCCAATCACTGGTCGCTTCCTGTGAATGTATACAACACACCGTGCGGGTGGTGCAAACACATCGTTTACGACCAAACACGATCCTAACAATGAACGCTCATCCCCCAAATAAAACCACATATGGTCAGACCGACATCGATGACAAGAATGATTGAAAATGACTTTCTCGGAACATATGTTCAAATCACACGAATCTCGACAGCCGGAGTATCAACAAAATTCTTTTCAGTCAACAAACATCTATCTTTGTGTTTGCCTTTCAGAAAGGCGCACATGATGCACGCAGATCAGGAGAATACCTTGCGTGTATCAACACAAAACTCGACTCAATCTCAATCGCACCTTCGAATCGACGAAAAGAACCTGAGGCAGAACGGTAACATAAGTTGTTTTTTTTGCGTACCTAAACGGCCAAGGTTGCACCACAGAAGCAGCAAAGATTGGAATACATCCTTACTCCCTTCCAATTTACCCTCCTTACTCACCCACACAATGTTTGTGAGGGCAGGTGTTGCTTGCAGCGGGGCCTTTGCGTGTCATGTAGCTGCTCTGCCAGGCTGCCAGGTCGGTCGGGACAAAATCTGATGCGAAGCCTGGTTTCAAGCGACCTGAAGGTTTTCCAACTTCGGGGGGGGTGGACCGATGTAGACATGGAGACCCGGCCTGGTCGCAACACCAGACCAAAGGGACCCCGTGTCGACCCGGTGGTCAAAACCGTGTCGACAGGAGCAGGTTGAGCGACACTTGGCCGATGAGCTTGCAAAGATGGAGGCTGAGGCTGAGGGTCACGCTGAAAAGGTCACGAGGGTTGATTGTATACATGGAAGATGTCGGGAGTCGTAGCCAAACATCTTCAAACTGTGGAGACATTTTGGGGGGGTCTGCAAGTTTGCCACTTGACATATGGGCTTTCATGACTCCAAGCGTTTTCAATGGTTTTCCTCCAAGCGTCTCCACTCCAACGTTTGGGGCTGGCTCAAAGTGTGGTCCAACTTGGAGTGGACATGGGTCATGGAGGGTCGATTCCCTCCATGACCTGCGCTGCGTGTTTCGGCATAAACCGAGTGGTGAACCGGGTGGTCGTCAGACCTTCTTGCATCGCATCGCGGGTCAAAACCCGGGTGGAACCGGGTCGAATGGAACCGGGTTTGGCATGGCATGGACCAGACTGGAAGAGACCCACGCTTCCTCCGTGTTTTCTTTTTAAGGTTCCATGATGTTCTCCCTTCCTGGGTCTTCCAGGAAGTGCTCCCATGGGATTTTGTGAGAGATTGACCAAGCTCCAAAGCTGGCAGAAGAACTAGAGGTTCTGACCAGCCTGAGGCTAGACTTGTCAGAGTACTGTATCAAGTTCTTTTGGGCGGGATTCTCAAATCTAGAGCTCCTGCCCAATGTAGTGGTCGTAACATGTCACACAAAACATTCCAAGCTCGACTCACTGACGTGCGTTCCTTGTTTGGACATCTACCACCAACGTATTACACACTGATGGAAGCTTCATCAGTAACTTAACATGACGGCTCTGGGTTCACTTCCCCTTGTGGAAGCTTAACATGCGGCTCTGGAAACCTCACAAACCCTTCGACCGCGGCATCCTGTTCGACCGTCCAATCAAGTTCACTCCGTCCGCCGGGCCGTCCGCGGTCTTTGTGCGCCGTTCATCGACGGCGGCATGGGGCGGGAAAACGCGCGAGGGAGTGGTGGTGCGGCGATGGATGTCCAGGCCAAAAGACAGCAAGCGCAAGAAAACCAAGCAAGAGCCGAAGAGCTGTGAGAGCCTCAGGAAGTCTACGAAGTGAACGCAGCTCTCGTGCGCAAGTGAACGCAGCTGTCGTGGATATCTCTTTGGGGAGCACTGAACGGTGTCCCAAATGCGGAGTAAACAGGATTGCCATCGACTTCGTTTACGTCGAGGTTGACGAAGCTCATGACGAAACTCGCCGTTGCCCATTTCGACATGACCAATGTTCTTGATCTTGTGTGACAACCTTCCATGGAAACTTGAGACCTTTGCCATCCTTTGCCATTGTTTCATGCCCACCCTTGATTGGCCCACGACATCACTTCGTTGGGTGAGATCACCAGTGACACTGTCAGTTCTTCCACTTACGCCCCAAAACCGCAGGCGTCAAAAGACTCGCCGACGCATGCAGCAATACACACGCCAGCAGCGTGATCAATGGATGGCGCAAGAGGAGGTCGGAGATGCCGTCCAGTCATCATGATGCTGAAAGACTAGCGGTAACAAGCTTCCCAGGGGTGACATCCTTGATGTTTGTCTATTCTTCCCTTCCATGGAGTGTTTGGCCATGTTTGGCCTGTATCTTTCTGGTCTTCTCATCCCATCCTTGGTCGTCCTCCAGGCTCGCAGGAGGAAGATGGAGGAGGAAGCCCAGGCGGTGACCGGACTGGACAGCTGTCCGGACCATCAAGTTCATCCAGAGAGGCCACAGATGACCCCAGATGACCTTACCTTTTGGGTCAGTTCGGTGTCCGTTTTCGGAAAACGGCCGTGTTGTCACAAAACGGCGTTTGGTATTGGAACAATCCGGAATCCTTCCGGATCATCTCTCTCCGAAGTTCTTCCCGTCCAATTTTGGGGGGGGCATCTTTCTTCGGCCAATTTGTGCGCTCGGAATTCGATTCGTTTTTTTTCGATGAGGCTGCCACTCATCGAGTTGATACGTTAGGGCATCGTTGGGCATCTAGGGTCGTTGAACCTTCGACCGGCGGTCCGGCATGCGGTCGGCATCCACCTTTGGGGCGGAGACAGAACCCACGACCGGAGCGGGTGCTGTTGCCCCTGTGGGTGCTGGAGCGATGCCGGAACTGCCGGAACCATCCGGAACTGCCGGAACCATCCACCAGTTGAAGAGTTGGCGTCCAACACTGGGATCTCCGAAACTGCCTTTCTCCACAAAAAAAACCTACCATTTCAATCAGAGGTTGTATGTATGTTCAGCATCGATGTGCATAGCATGTGTTCCTTTGAATGTTGAATACATATTAACCTATTGATGATGGATAGGCCATAAGTAATAACAGCATTAAAACCATCGGTCACACCAAGTCATACCGTCTCCATGGCACTTGTAATACTGTTGCGCTGCTCGGCCACGCTACAAAGAGCGACGAAAGCTGGTCGGTACCGTTTGATTCCAAACCAATGATTGTTCTTGTTCAACCGAAACGCGTTTGTGTGAAAACCCAGACAGTCTACGAAGTTTCTTCTTCTGATTCTTCTTTGGGGATTCCATGAGAAGAAGACGGACCACTCGTGTCATTCAATGTCATTCATGCTTCGTTGATTTGTCAGGCAGCCGACGACAAAATCATGCAGGCAGGCTGGCGTTTGTGTGGAGGATTGTAGCGGATATAGCACAAGAGTGTAGCAGCCCGAAAAAATGTATTGAACAGTACACTTCAGGGTGGTTGGACAGTGATCAGCTGTCTTGGGATCTCTTGGCTTAGCGCAGTCAAGTCACCTGCGGACTCGCCTACAAAAGCTGTTCGCCGAAGGCGATCCAAAGCCAAGAGCGTGCCAAAGCACGGGCTGCCGGGTTCAAGCATCGGGAGAAAAGTGTGGAAAAGGCCCTGTTGCCGGACTGCGCTGGCGCCGGACGAGCTGCGAGCTGCGAGGAGCATGGAAAAAGGTTGATATTGGGTTAATTACATTGGAATGCCACCACCCTTTGTGACTACTTATGCTTGCAATTGTGGTTCGATTATGTTCGAATGCTGTGTTGGTTCGGTACAGTCGTTGTTCAACTCCAAGTTGAATTCTCTTTGCTTGGAGCTTGCCTTCGACTGGCTGGAATTGCAATGGGGATCCCCTTCCTTTCTTCTCATGCCTGGAGTTATTGCCAGGAAGGATTGGGCTGAAGATGCAATAATATATTTTGAAATAACAATTGTAATGCTCTTTAGAGAACCGCAAAGTGCAGAAGATTGGGTGAACCATTCATTGCGTCATTCATCTTCATTCTTTGTAGCTGCCTCAATCGCCTCAATGCAGCCGGTGGTTCAATGGGTGTTTAATAGGGAACCCCCGATCGCCCCTGGCTGGGTAGACGATCGTTCTGAACCTTCCAGGGAGGTCGTTGCCGGGGGTCAGTCTACCCATTTTGAGACACACGCTTACATGATCCCCATCATTGGATTCTGGTTGTGAGTTGATCACGAGTTGATCTGATTCGTCCTGAATTTAGAGCGGATTTTGTGGAGAACATGCCATTTTTACATGTGAAAACTGTATCCTTTTGGTGGATCGTTGGTCGTGTGGTTTTTGACAAAACCACTCCAAACCCTCGGTGGTTTTTCGACGTCGCTGGGGGGTATCTGGGTGGTTTTGTCCAGGCACGGGCCATGCTGGAAGAAGAGCAACAGATCAGGCAACAGGAGCTGGCTGAAGTGGCCCCAACACCCAGATGTGCAAGACCATCGGTATGTTCACCAGGCGAAGAAGAAGACCGCGGTTAGAGCGGCTTTTGAATCAGACGGTTTTTTAATGTTTTTTAAAGAATCTTTGTGAAAGATTGAAAGTCACAAGGTATATCAAGCTACAGACGGTCACATGGAGTCAGACAGAGACAGAGCGACAGGACTGTCGGCGCTTCGACAGTTTTGCGAAACCAAGGCCCACATGGAGCGTCAGCGAAAGAGACATTGGAGAGCCGAGCTAGCAGCTCGGCTACATTCATGTGGGGCGATGTCGCCGAGAAAACGGGAGGCGTCTCCAGAGACCAATGAAGGGTTGACCAAAAACTCGGCTCCAAGGGAGTTCAAATAATTCCTCCAAGAATCGAAGCCGATCACACTTGAGGCACCTATGCCATGAAAGGAACTGGATCTCTGGAACACCAATCCCTGGGTATGTTTCTTCTACTTCTTCTTCTTCTTCTTCTTCTTCCTTGTCCTCTTCCACTTCCTCTTCCTCTTCTTCAGCCACGTAGACGACGAAGGGTTCAGTTTGTGGATAAAATCTGTTCATCTTTAAGATCCGCTCGCCCGTAAAAACACACACGATCTAGGGAAAGACATGAGGGATCCGCTTCACCTCACCCTGCTCCTCCCCTCCCCCGTTTTCGACCGTTCCGTCCGTTTCGGGCCACGTGATGTTCGCCACAATCATCTGACCGCACTTGGACGGGGGGGGGTCACGTGCGAACCAGGGGGGGTCGCGGGGTAGCGACACAGGTCCGCAAGTGGGAACGTCCGTTCGCAGGGTCCCATGGGAATCGTTTCACCTGTATAGCAAGATACGTTTGAGATCTTTTTATGTCTTTGAGCCACAACGGCAGGGTTTTCCATGCCCCTTGCCCGGACGTTGGCCGCGCAGCGATCCAAGGCGCGTGGTGCTACACCACTGCGGTCCGAGGTGTCCTCTTCACGTGCGTCAAGCCATCCTCCATTGAGGTGGGGAAAGGGCTTTCCGGGAGCCACACTGAGTCAAGCTCGAGGAGAACCATGTGGAGATGTGTGTGTGTGTGTAGAACAGTTCATTTGGATCGCTAAAGAAAGAAGAGTGAAGAAGATTGATTGGGAGCTCCCATGCTGCATATCTCTTCAGACCTATCTATGGGGCCCATACCCCCCCTATTCTTATGCGATTGATGAGCTCGATCAAACTCCCAACACCGTCATCTAATGGATACCCCACGACCACCGCCCCGCCCCGAACAACGCCACCCGACCCTCCGTCCGCCAGGCCAGCTCCGGTTCGACCGGTCTACGAGTCCTTCGGAGGCGCGGCGGTCGCGGTCGCGGTCGCCTTGGAGGAAAGAAGATCAAGACCGGTGTCCTTGTTGGAGTATGACACCGGTCATGAATATGTCGGTCGTTTGGATATATGGTGCTTTTGATATGATGATGTCTTAATGTGTTTTTGGTAGTTAGAAAGATTGCATATCAAAATCCAGTCCGGACCTCTTTTAAGAGATGGTTGGGCGAGATTTTTTGGGGTTCCTTTCACGAGACCGCCACATCGAAGTCTTAGCTCAAAAGCAATCCGTGACCTCCAAAGGATCAGAGGTTCCGTCGTTCCTCCATGCGCCGAAAGTTCCTCCATCGCTCTCGGTCTCGAAAAGAGCATGTCTCGCCCGTCCTCAGGTCGAAGTGCCGAAAGCAGCCGAGCCAGTACGCCCAAGTGCCCCATTTGGTCGATCGTGGATGGCGACGAATCCCGTCCGTGGGCGGCTGAGAGATGGAGGTGCGAGACGAGCGAGACGAGCGAGCAGTACAGAACTGTACTAGAGTCGGATGCAAGTCTGCAAATCAAAATCCTTCACAATGTCCACTGTCATCCATTGCTATCAAGGAATGCGCAAGAATCGATCCAAATACATCCAAGATCATCGCAAGTATAGTATTTGTGGACCGCCTTTGTATGCGTGTCTTGTGAGTTCATTTATGTCTGACACGACCACCAAAGAGACCCAGGCCACCAAGGCCACTGCCAAGACCAACGCCACATGAACAGAAGAAGGCAGGATGAGTTGTGGACAGAGCGCTATAGAGCGCTTACACTACTGCATGTACATTAATTGGCTTATATGCGCGTAGCCTTCCTCAAAGACTTATGGTTTAGGGAAACCTCCTTCCGTGGGAAAACAGGAAAACCGTCTTCCGAAGGGCCAGGGCATCCACTTCCATGTTTAGAGCTGATACATTCAGGTGTTCAATGAGCAAGTGACACCAATTGAGGTTCTTTGTCACGACTCAAAGAATCAATCGCTGGAGCAGTCCAGCAAGTTAGGCAAAGAATTCGGCATGATCGATGTCCAGTCGCTGTCCAGTCGAGCCGCCAGGTGCCCTTGCAGAGATTGACCAGGGCAGTGAGCCAACCTCCCAGGCGCTGGAACGGCACCGCTTACGGGATCCATGGGACGTGGTTGGGGACGGAGAAGCTGGGATGGGTGATGGAGAAGCTCTGAGATTTTGAAGAAGCAGACATTCCACCTTTTGTCACCCCCCAATTCCGATGTCACCGAAGTGTGTTGGGCACCGACCACCATAACCACTGCATGGTGGTTGAATCAAAGTCAGGGTCAATGTAGGCATAGTATGGCATAGTTGGATGTTGTAGGCATCTATTCGCAAAGCGAACGGGTCAGGCATGGCATGGCATGGCATGGATCTATGTTGCAGCTGGACTTTTCAACTCCGGACCGTTCTTCCAACGGCACTTGGATTCGATTCGGCATCCTTTCAAATCGGAAAGAACTCGTCCTGCCACAGGCCATCCAAGCCAGGTGAGAGACAGGGTGGTTGGAGGGCCGTCCAAGGGGGTGGTCCAAGGGCCAACGGGCCAGGTCACAGGTCCCAAACGACCAGGGACTCGGATGTTCAATTCGGTGTTTCGTCCGACGTATCGAATCGATATCAGTCATTGACTGGATCCAAATGTATAATGAACCACAGGGGATGGAGCCACTACTTGAACACAACCATGATGCCCCAGTCGAACGAACGACCAAGGACTCCGACAAACGCGTTACACTCGCAGTGGTGGAGTGTGTCGCCTACGAAGTCAAACAGGAATGCGACATGTTTTGTCTCTTTCACGTGAGAAAACAAAGTCATGACGCAAACATGGGCTCTCCAGCTGTGTTTGGGCAGGCCGGCTCCCTTTCTGGCCCCCCCTTCTTGCCCCGTCCTCGCTGGGGGACGACTCTATTTTTGTTGGGAAACCCGAAGCTCATTGCTACGCCTGGGAGGTCTTCCTGAGCTACACACACATGAGCAAAGAATGGCATAGAGCTCATAGAGCTCATCTTTGGGCCATACGTGGTTTAATTCTTCGAATCTCTTTGAATCGGAAATCGATCGATGTGGGGCCAAGATGGGCACGTCGTCCTTTTGGGGCATTCTCTTAGAGCTTGTCTAGCCCCAAACCAATGTTGTCCCCACCAAGTCAAGGACTTAAGAATCGGGTTCCAAATCTTCGGCTTGTCAGGGGGTAATTGTTCAGTCCTTCCGCGCTAGGAAGTGGTGCGTGCAGTGGAGCTTCAACGCCCGAGCATTGGGATGAACCCAGCCACTTCGTGGAGGAAGTCACTGCTTATCCTGAGAATCCTAGGCGGGCACTGGCTGGTCAGCTTGGCTTCGTTTGGGATCATAGCATAGCAGAACTCTTATCGTAGCTCAGCTTGTCATAACGGTGTGTCAAAGCATTTCAAAATAGTTCAAAGATGTTCAAAGCATGTCATGCTCCTTTTTTTGGTGGAAGGCGGCGTTCCAGGCCGTCCACACCCTTTGTTTACCGAAGTGTGAGGTGGATGTTCTGCAACTTCAAGAAAGATTACACGTGATGGGACAAACCCATACAAACCTACACTAGGACTCCCAGTCGGGGTGGTGAATGGACCACCCTTACCTCTAAGGGACTCCTATAGTCTATCATTTCATGGACACCCAGAATTCGTGGTGCTGGTACAAACCCAAAATGGTCAGTGGCTTAAAGCCACGTTTGAAGACCTCTCATCGCGGACACCGGGTCTTCTCTTCTACGAAAAGGCACATCCATCGACCCTTTGGACCCTTTGGCTGACCGGTCGCCGTAAGAACCAAACCCACCAGGCAGGAACACGCGCGAAGCCCAGAACGCCGCAGTCGTGGTCTCGTCGGCCAGGTGTGTCCAGGAGACTCAGGCGGACGATGCCTCCACTCCATCCTCCGTAGGGCCTGGAGGCCACGGGTGGGGAAAGTCGGCCCGATCGGCTCAGAGGAGGAAGCTCGGTTTAGAGGAACGTCCCTGGTGGTTTGGCTCTCTTAGATATTTTTGCGGAAAAACGACCAGTCAATGAGTTTCAGTAGAAACACCGATTTGGAGAAAAAAGGAGGGTCTTCCAGGCAGCGGGTCTATTTTCGATGTGACTCTTCCCGGGATGTACATGCCGGTCTGAAAAACCAGCAGTTCCAACGGGTGGAAGGGGTGCGGGTCCAAGCAGCATCGAACGAGAGTCAGTGCTTTTCTGGAGCCAGACATAGGTTGCATTCTTCTGCCAATCATCCAAAATCATCAACATGGATATCTTATCCATACAACTCTGGGCCATCTCGGAGCGCGCAAAGTGCTCTCTTTTGTTTCCAATGCTTTGACGCTGGTTGTTGAAGCTTGGTCACACCACGTGCCGAGCTCATCTCGCACCACCTGCCCGTGCCCGTGCCAGCACCCAAATCGCCCAAGCCATGGAAGCAAAAAGCGATACAGGCGTGGGAAAAGTCCGAGACACTGCGGGCGGTGTTTCTTGAGTCATTGATTTGGGCTCACGGGGTGAACTGCAGAGTGCCGTGCGGAACCAAAACGTTTCCTGCCATGTTTTTGGCATTCCCAAGTAGTGCAAGCAGTTAAAAGATCCCAGAGACTTAAACAGCATCAAGATATATCAAAATATATATATCAAAATATGTTTACATATTTTTGAGATGTCAGAGATGCTGAGATGCTTTTTGGTTATAACACCTCTAAACTACGTCATCATCTACTTTGCTACGAGGCTTGTGTTTCCAAACGTTCAGAGACATCATCGATGCCTCCAATCTACACGAGGTGAACTCGGCCGCGCACTACTTGGACGCGCTGAAAGCAGCTCGGGGTGTGGCCAAAGCCAAGACGCGGCCGACGCCCGGGAGCAAAGGACCAGCCTGGATTGATTCATGTGGCCTCAGAGTACTGAGTACTGATCCAGAGGCTTGCAAGTAGATCTTCTGTGGTACCCCCTCCCCAAATGCCTCAAAGAAAATGGAGCAAACAAATATGTGTTTGCTTTTACCGATGGTATTGGTGTAGCATCCAACAAGACTTCCGTACATGTACTTTAGTCTTTAGTCATGAGCCGTCTTAAGTATTTCTGAAATGGTCAATACCTTGCGAAACCGATAGGGGCCGACCATAACGATACCCTTTCTTGATTGAAAGTAGCTTATTGCCTGCATTCTAAAACACTGGAAGCCGATTTGGACCAACCTAAAATATTTTTCGGCATTGGGGACGCCTTGTTTGCCCCTCATGTGTATATAATGTGTATATATATATTATATATATATGTTTATATAAATTTATATATAAATATACACGTGATATAAGCAATTGTACACTGTATATATATATATAGTTATATATATATATATCCGATCCTCTCCATTTCAGGTTCTCAGGCCCAGCCGCCGTGTTCGCCCGTCAGGATACGCTGAGCAGTTACGTTTGAGGGCCGAAGATGTGGAGGCCGGAGGAGCAGGTGACGGGGCGCGTCGGTGGGAGAGTCAAAGGACCATCTTTGGATGTTTGTTTATTGCATCACCGATTTAACAGACAGTTTAACAGACCTTCTAAGAAGAGCCGTTGACCTTCTGTGCTTTGGTTGTTTGATTTAAGAATGGTTGGGGGAAGGCAAGATACTCGGTGTCCTGATCCCTGCAGGCGACAGGGAAAAGTGTCGCAAGTGGTCAGTGCTGGGTCATGGCACCAGGATACCTTGGTTGACATACCCGGAAGATCCCAGAAGGGCAAGCTACATGGTGGACCAGGGCTCCAGGTTTAGACCCATCCCCATTTAGAGGCAAACCCATGGCACAAATGTGTTCCTTCGCTTGAGCACGTCGAAGACTAGTTTTGAGGTTAGAAGTTCTCGTCGCCTTATTTAGAAAGTTGATCCAATTGTGCATCGACTGTCGCTTGGAGTTTGGAGAGCTTGGAGTCCTTGTAAAGGGGATCGAAGCTCTCGTGAAGCTCTTGCACTAAAGTTACGAGCTGTCAGTTGTTTGCCTTTCCATGTGGTGACCATCCTTGTTAGAGACCATTGGCAGTGCTTGGGATCATCCAACCCTTTGTTCACTGTTGAGGCTTTGTCTACCGTTTGGAACCTCTAAAACTGATACGCCAACCGTTTTGAATGCATCACGTGTGAGGCCAAGCAGCGGGAAGAGGAGGATGTGCGCATGGAGCGAGGCTATGCCGCATTGCAACGAGTGCAACAACGTGCGCGACAGGCGTGACTTGGCGAAGCGCGTAGCGTGTGGGGGGGTATGCGATACTTTGGTCAACAAGTGTCAACCATTTTCCGGAAATGAAAGCCCAGCCCTGAGATATCTATATTATACTGTATATTATATATATGATGTATGATGATGTGTGCTTGAAATCACCTATTCACAGTGCAAGAAAGCCTGCGCAGCCTGGTCGGTAGCTTTAGGGATCACGTACCCGGCCCGGCTTTTCTCTGACGTCCGCCAAGCCCGACAGAAAAAGAACCTTTAGACTCCAGAACCGAAGCAGTTGTCCGATGAAGTGGCTGAGAAAAAATCTCACTTCCAAGTGTTTTCAGGATGGTGGAATGCTAGACGTCCGGAGGCTCCATGCATCTGGTGGCTTTGTCGTGCAGAACGAACCTCCGACATCTGGAGGCTGCCTCACCCACTTCGAGCTCTCGGCTGAGTGGCTGACCAGGTCCGATCCGCCGTCCTGAAGAGTTCGGCGAACGACACCGACACCAGGTCAATCGGTCGGTTTCCTGGTTTTGACATACAGCCCTAGAAGCACCCTCTTTGGGAATGTCTAGAAGATGGATGAAAATGGATGACCAGCCTGAATCCACCCATTTCTAGTTTGGAGACCTTACAGTACCCGATGTTTTCCGTACAGTGATGTCAGAATTTCTGTCAGCACATTCGCCCATGCGGACATGAACAATCATTCACAGTTCCACGACGTCTCGACTTGCAAGTAAGTTACCAATTCAGTACCCGAACACTTCATGTTCGTAGCGGAAAAAACAAGCCGCCCTGACCCCGACTTCAACCCCAACTGAATCCGTTATTTGGCAGTCCCAGACATCGTGTTTGGGGTATTTCCATTGATCCACACAGATGCAGACGGATTTGAGTCCACTTCTTCCGATCCCGGCCGAAACCCGCCGAAACATCTCCGATCATCCGCAGGCGAGCAACGGCTCGAGCCCGGCGAGAAGCCGGCCGGTCGCCAGAAGTGTTTCACGAAGTCCATCGAGTGCTGTACATAGGAGCCAGGCAGCCGGGCAGCTTTCGTGTTCCATGCATGCAGCGTGTCCGATGCATGCAGCTGCCAAAAGATCCAAAAGCAATGGCTTGTGGAAGTATCAGAAAAAGTAGGTGTTCCTCCAACTTACCCTTTGGTCTAAGGAAGGTTGACTCACACTCACACCATCTCACGCCCATATTACTAACTTTTGTTTAGTATACGGTCAGTATACGTAGTGTCAACTCGCATTGTTATTGTTGCAGTTTGTTGCATGTTTTGAATCCAGTGCGTTTCAGGGGGGGTTCGGTATGTGCTGTGCTCAGACCAGTCGTCCTCCGGCCGGTCCGGCTGCCTTCGTGGCGAAAACGAAGGTTTCGCGTCGAGAAAAGGACTTCCCGCATTTGCTTGCCCTGTTTCAGTGGTCGTGATCGGTTGTTCTGGTAGGGCCTTGGTAGGGGTGGACGAAGGAGGGGAAGGGACGAATGAGTGGTGCCAGCCCCGAAAGAAGATGCAGATGCAGATCCACGAGAGGCGTTGGATTCTAGCTGTGAGAGACTTTGTAGGATTCTGTTGAAACAAGGTAATTTGAATAGCCTTGATTTGACAGATTATACCCTTAGTTGGAGTTCTTGTTCATCGATTGACATGGGCCATGGGTGTCCAAAACATGGAGACGGAACGAGTCAGATCTCGGCCGCGGAATTTCTCCGAACACGGGCGAATTCCGGTGCCGTCCGCTGCATTTTTTGCAGCAGAGACGGGTGGGAGGCCTCCAGGCCGATTGGCCACGAGGCAACAAACTCGAAACTGCAAGGAGAAACTGCGTGGAGCCCTGGAGGGAAGGATGGGAAGGCCCCAGGTGGAAGCTTTTGATTCGCCGCCTTTCCGCCTTTCCAACATGTTCCAACAAAAAAAAAGGGCCACCTACCTTCAAAAGGAGTGTGTTTGTTGTGTGTGTGTGTTTTTGGGGTCGATCATCCTTTGCAGCCAAGCTAGTTGTCCCCCTTGCCACAGACTTGTGAGTTCAAAGACAGCTCCCGATGCTCGCTCCACGCAACACTCATACCAGGGAAGATGGCTGTGACAATGCACGACAAGCGCCTCGGCTGTCCGGAAGTGGTCTCGAGAAACAGCTAAGCGGGCAATCCGAGGCAATGTGACGAAAAAATTGTAGGAGAAGACGTATCAAATCAAGATCAGGTCATGATGTCATGTGTTGCGAAGGAGGACGCGCAGCACTCATTGTTCCTGTCTTGTCTCCCTTGCCCCCTTGCCATCATTGCGCATGACCACCAGGTGTTCTGCGAGACGAGCTGTTGCTCAGTCTTGCTGCAGAAAATATGAGGCCATGCGCCATCCGGGTCAGCCAACCGACCGGTTCCTTCGGTCGGTCAGATGACCAAAAGCTTTCCAAGGCATGTGCAACAGCTTCAAAAGACTCAGATGTGCAAGTTTTTCATGAACCACCGGAGGCGGGGCATTGGCGTTTTTCATGTTGCTGTTTCGGACATGGACGTGTCTTCTGTATGTGAAAGTGACATTCCCGGCACAGTGTTTGCAACGCAGTAAGTCGATCACCGGTCTGCATCACCACAGGCAGTTGTCAACTTTAGGACATGAAAGGCACTGGTCAGTTCCCATGCCTTCGGGACCCCTTCTCCACCCTCGGCTGATAGCCAGGGGGAGGACCTGGAGACAAAGACCTACAGGACCTAGGGGCCTAGGGGATTGAAGTTCCTCTCTAAAAACCACGCCCGAGGTAGTAGGGGAATTCCCCCTATCATCCCCTATCAGTTCATGGTTTCCCGAGCTTGTGGCCTTCATGTCTCCTCACGACAGATGCGCGGCAGCCCGTGGCTTGCCCCAAGGGGCAAGGGTAGTGTGGGCACGCTGAAACCGATGATCGATGCAGGATCTACCAAAGCTATATAGGCATATATAGGCACATGATTCCTACTGCTTGTGAATTGCTGGCCCACTGAGCTTCCCCACCATGGTGCTTTTCACTGTTTCCAGCACCCATGGACGTCCATGGGAGCAGAGAATTTGGGGGGCAGGGACTGCCGCCACCTATAGTAGTAATGCACTTGTTACTAGTAGCAATGCACTTGTTACTCATGTGGAAAGTGTGAGATTCCCTTGGACTGGTGGTGTGTTTGTGTGTGTGTGTGCCCCCTCCCGTTTCCAGGGACACTAACTGACTTGTCATTTTTCCGCTATTGCACATAGTTCCGCAGGGGGCGCATGGGCACTTGGATGGCATGGGCCAATGAAGACCCATCCATGTTGCCGTGAAAACGTACCTGCACTCATTGTTCAAACTTCATTCCGCTGACTCTTTGTGAACGTAGGTATGGCCAAAGCTGTCAAATACGGTGTTTCGCCATCAAGGTCTAATCTTAAAGTGCTAACGCTCACCGCGCATCTCTGAACTTCTGCTGTCAGTTTTTGTTCCAGCTCACGCTCTCAAAAATGCTAGCCAACACACTCACCAACCTGCAAGCAAATCGGCTTGCCACACAACCGAGCTCCACACCCAACATATTTGAGCCCCCCCGAACCACAAGAAAGGCGTAAGCCAACACGACACTGAGCAAGCAAGCTTGCACTGTACTCAAAGCTCCCCAATCTCGAACCCCTTGCCTTTCACTCATGTCATGACAGAACCCCTTGGCTTGCGTAATCCGACCGTTGTTTTTACTTACTACAGCCTCCCGTTGCGCTTCCTCGTATATTTCAGCCCCCCCGAACCATAAGCACAGCGACACCTACGGCGGGACAGGCAATGATTCACGAATCTTGCATTCGTGCTGCAGAGCTACTGTACGTCCACTACTGAATCTGTTTTACCTGAGAAAACTTCATTATACCAACTTTTAGGTGTTGCGAATGTCAGACGAAATGACTTTCACTCTTCCCTTTTCCTTTTGCTCTTCTCTCCCTTTCGTTCTTTCTAGAGGCTTGTTAGGTTGTAATTTCAGGTTGTGCCGACAACGGCTTTATCACCAGCTTCAACTGGTACCAGCTTTGAATACTGGATCTCCACCACCTGCGCGAGAATTTGCCATTTAGGCATCCAGTCTCACAACACCAAATGCTCCCCCGCTGACTCCCGTTTCCAGGATGAACTGACTTTTCGTTTTCCGCTATTGCACATAGTTCCGCAGGGGGCCATGGGCACTTGGATGGCGTTGCCGTGACAACGTACCTGCACTAATTGTTCAATCTTCACTCCGCTGACTCTTTGTGAACTCAAAGCTGTCTAATACGGTGTTTCGCCATAAAGGTCTACTGCAATAGTCTGGTATTGCCGTAACTAACCTTAAAGTGCTAATGTTCACCACGCATTTCTGAACTTCTGCTCTCACAAGCACAATTCTGAAGTGTTGTCTGTTTGACAGGGGGGTGGGAGTGGGGGTATCGGGGCCCCGAGGAGGGACGGAATTCATTCATTTGCATTCGTCATTGCTCATTTCTCATACAAACTTGCTGCAACGTGTGGAAAAGATTCTGTGGCTGCGCTTACCTTTACCAGACATGTTACGAACTCATCCGATGTATTTCTTGGATATCCTATCCTGTCAAGTGGTGATGGCATCAATGTGTTTCAGCGCAAAATTGCGTATGCTCAGCGTTGTTCATCTCCGGGTCACCAGTCACCAACTCTGCCTTATGCCCGACATGGGTCCAAGTCGCCGGGCCACCCCTCCGGACTCGGCTCTTTTTGCTGGCTTGTTGGATGACAAACCCGATAGCAGTAGGCTCTAAGGCAGTGGAAACCCGAGGAAACCAGACTGGATTTATATACCAGAATTTAACTCAAAGACTGTGTTTCATGAATCCTTGAGTGTCATATTTTGTAGTTCGCATCACCAGTCAGGCGAGTGACAGTCGGCAGTCAGTCAGTTCGACTCGCCACGGCCCGTGCGCAGGTGTGGCAGGGGCTCCAGTTGCACTTTCGCGCATGACCTGTCCGAGATCCGGGAGAGGCGCCGGAGCACGACCCGACGCACGCCCCGTAGTACGGGATGCCTCCAGCACGCGGGGTCCGTCCAGCGGGGCGCAGAGAGAGAGAGAGAGAGAGAGTGAGTGAGTGAGTGAGTGCGACATGGAACACGAGTCTGAGATATTTAGAGAGTAGTATTTGGATGTAGTTGGGTATCCCGTTTGAAATGTCCTTTGTGGAATCAGGGAACTTAGGTACTGAAACGGACCGTTTTAAGGGGATCATTGTGCATTTGTCGGCCCTTACATGTGGGATCACAGTTTGCCCAAAGGAAGAAGAGACCATCACATAGCCCGCACAGATGCTGCCTCCAACGTGGGAGTGGGGCCAACTGGAAGATCACGTAAGCCGTTTGCCCAATACGGCTCAAAACCAAGCCTGACGACACTGCTGTGGCTCTTCCAAGAAAAAGAAAGTAAAAGTGAGTTGTCACCGACACATCCCGACACTGAGGTTCCTTGTGTTCCAATGCATTTGATCTTTACGCCTAAAATCTTTTCTTCCAAGGATTGCTTCCTTTCAGCTTGCGCCCAGACGAAACCGAACACGGTTTGTGGATGAACTTGCGCAGGCCGAATCTCAACCGGACGAGCATGTGCAAAGCCTTCCTAACGTTCGGGTTCCTGTCTTTCGCAAATCGGGTCTTCAGACTGGGGGAAGGCAGGACAGGATAGGACAGGAAGATGGCAGTGACCACCTGAGTGAACAAGGAGAGTTTGAAAGGCAGTTTCAGAAAACACAAGGACCAAAATATGGGTGGAATTATATAAAGTTGTGATTTTCTGTTCTGACCGAGGATTCGTTGACAGTTGGCAAATGTTTTTTCGTGATTTGTGGGAAGGACTTGGATACCTGTGAGCACTCACCTGACTCCAAGGCGTGGATCATGTTCGAATGCCAACTGCGCTTTCGCACACGATGAAAGGCGCAAACCGGTGAAGGACACGCAGGTTTCGTTGTGAAGGACACGCAGCTAAGCAGTTGTTGCATGGAGGCGAAATTCTTTGTGCACCCCATGCAGCCACTCACTATCAATATGTGATAACTTATGCATTTATACGTATGCATTTAATATATGGTATCGGTATACAAAGCTCGATAACAAAAAACTCTCGCTTCTGAGCCACTGGATCCGTGTGCTCGCTGACCTTTTGGCGAACGCAGGGAGCTTCGAGCTACAGATGGCTTCTTCAAGAGCAAGATGTGTCGTTTTGCCAGCAGTGGCCGCTGCAAGCTCCTCGGGCTTTTTTGAGCCGGCTCGATGCGTTCACCGGCGGCCTGGGAAACCGACAGGCCTGGGACTACGCAGGTATTTGCTGGGTTTTAGGGTTCGAATTTTCCTCCTAAGGGTGGACGAACACAACCTGGGAATTGGTCCAGTCGTTTGCGGACACGGAACAGGTAAATCTCACGGCATGTTTCTCCGTGATTTCTCCTGCTCAAATTGGTGAATAGCTACGCCCCAAAAAGATTCACATGGAACCTGAAAACCAGTGGGTTGTAGAGGAACATATTTTTCCAGTCTGGTCCATCTTTAGGTTCCATGTGGGCTTCTTCCCAGGTGTACGTCCCACTCTGGATTCTTCTTCTTGACTGACACCCTTTTGGGATGATTGCTCTTCGCCCTTGGAAGCTGTTGGAGACCCAAAACGAACAGAGCTGCGAGAGAAAAAACGTCCCTGTCCTTCAAAAAGGCCTCACCAAAACTCCAATCCTGGCATTACCAGGGCTCACAATCGTGTGATATCTTGTGTATGTGTTGTTTTGCCATGGTTTTTGGCGGAGAACAACGACAAAACCGATCTCGGGGGTCTCCGGGATTCAAGAACTGGGACGAGGAGAGAGAGAGAGAGCGCTTCCTTTCCACGGAGTGGGTCCCTCTCCTCGCGGGGTCAAGTTTGTTCAGCTTTTCCCTTGGCCAGTCCAAAGACTATATTTTAAACATATTGTGACTGACTGAAGTGAAGAAATGTCCTTTCAGGTGGCCTAAAGACCATTCTTTTTATAGTCTTGGACTCCCAAGATTATGGCTTTGTGGATCTGGTTTTCGACAGGGACCATACGGATCGGGTTTTCATGGGGTCATGGTGGTTTTGATGCGGTGCCAAACAGACGGTCTGAGGCCTGAAAGACTTGATCGAAGAGATCAACATGTGTGTTTGTGTTTTTAGACCTGGAACACTGACTCTTAAACAAGAGGCCTTGTTGGGTTCGTGTCCATGTTGGATCAAGCCAACTATCCCTGAAGTTCTGCTCAGGTGGAGGGTCTTGTAGATGTTCCAGTCGTTACAACGGTACTTGGCTCGAAGGGTTTTTGGCCATCACCGGACAGCGGCCGCCTGTCGGCGGTCGACTCGAGGGATGTCCAAAAGACAGAAGTCGGACCCACTGACCAAATTGGAGTGGGTCGAGTGGGTGGAGTGAACCAGACCATACTCACCAAGAGAGGTTGAGAGACCATATAATTTGGGACCCTGTAGTGGTACATATGGGATGGGGCTATAGGGCTGTTCAACCTCTCTTGGCAGAAGCTGTCTTTGAAGATCTGAAAGATGGTGGAGTTGTAGTTTGGCGCCCAAAAACAGACGGCGAAAAGCAGCAGCTGCGCCCCTGAAGTGATGGACTAATGTGTGGTCAGAATGAGTTCCGGACCCTTCTTAAATGACCAGATTCTGCTATGGCTACGAAAGACCTCAAACAGGTGGTGCCAAACACACATGTGATCACATGTGTACGTCTCATTTGACGGACAGCTCTCCAAGTCAGAGGTCGGAATGCCCCGGATCGTGTACATTCGAAGCCTGCCTGCCTTCCTCGGCTCGAGGCATGGAAGTGCCTGCCGCTTTGCTCATGCTCCTGAGGTGGAACGAGTGCATGCCGCAACGGGTGGAACGAGTACCAGGGTGAACTGACCAGGTCGACCCATCTTGGCCCAAAATGAACCAACAGGAACGGTCACGTTGGTCACCCCGAAAGACCGGTGAATTGATGTGAATTGCGACGGAATACCGGTGAGACGCTCAATCAAGTATGGGCGGATTTCTCCGTTCTGTCGGTTCTTGCCGACATTTACTGCATACTTTTGCAAACAAGCCAAACCACATTCGAGACAAATTCATACCCGCATGCTCGAAGAGGTGCGAACCATATCAGGAGTTATTAATCAAGAGTCTACCCGTGCTGCCTAACATGGGCTGTGCCACTACCGGACTCGAAGCTCGTCGCGCTAATCAAGAGTCTACATTGTTACATCAACTCTACTGGTTGATTAGAGCTACTGGTTGAGGGGAAGAGTCTACTGGTAACTGAAGAGTCTACATTAACTCTACTGGTCTACGACATTAACCAAGAGTCTACTGGTTGAGGGGAAGATCTTTTCACCACCGGATCGAGAGCTTTTGGACCTTTTGCGATCGGCGCTACTTTGCCGACGAACGAGGAACTGCGTAACTGGTCCTGGACCTGGTGACGAATTCTGGGTCCAAACGAAGCGGCATCGGCGGCATCCGGGTTTCGCTTGGAGGATGTTTCAACCATCAAAAGTGTTCTCAGATCAGACAAATCGTTCCTTCCATGTCTGGGAGACTGGAATTGGAGTTGAAGTGTTTGAACATATCACACTTGTGCAAAGCGTTGAAAAACGCCGAAGAACAACTGGATCGACACGGGTCAATGGTTCCGTTTGACATCTACTTCTACTATACTTATATGTTATTTGTGTTTATTTGTCTTTTTGGTCTTATGATTGTTTCTATCTATTGTTTCTTCTTCTTTCGAACCAAGTTGCGCGGCGCAACCCTCGCATCACAGGAGATCAACAAGGACGCCTCCCGGTGCCGAGAGCCCCCGATGACGGAGCTCGCTCAGGTGGGGGGGGGTCCTGTCCGATTGATGTACTGACTAAGGTCGGCGCCAGGGTAAAGTGACTCGCCCCAAGAGATTGACTTTGTTGAAATAAATGTTCAAACCCTGAAGAGAATTTGTGGCTCGTTCATCCCCCTCAGGATGGTTGCGGGGGGGCCGCATGCCGTTTCGAAACCATTGGGGAGTTGAACCACTGAGCAAGAGAACTTCGGGAACCGGTGCTTTTGGACACCTTGTGGCAGCTCTTGGGTGTTTCTGTTGAAAAGGGAAGACGGATAGTTAGACGGAAAGTGTCCCTGTGTTGTGAGAATCAACCAACGGAAGGCATCAAAATAGCCCGCGAATGGCAGGACCCAGGTCTACCTCAAACGAACAGAGGACGCAAAAAAGAGTCTATCCACCGTGGTAAACTGGAGCTGAATTCTTGAGGTGTTGACAGGTTTTGGACCCCAAGCAATAGTTTGGACATTATATATAGAATTGAACTATGACAAAAATAACTTATCTAAACCAAAATAACATTGTTCCCCACGACTCTTTTTCGTTCCCACGACTCTTTGTCTTCCAAAAGGTCGGGATCGGCGGATCAGAGGGATCTCTTGCGGTTCCAAGGTGTCCCAGGTTCCCCTGGGAGCCTCAAAGTCACGCACGGGGAAGTGTGGTTCAATAAAAGGGAGAGCGACCTTCGGCGGAACCCGACCCCCTGAAAGAAGGGAAATAGATTTGTAAACCCTTTGGTTGAACATGCAAAGGGAATCCGTCTTTTACAATGGGCTGTGAGATGTGATGAGCAGGTTTTTGCCCCACCACCCCAAAGCAGGCGCTCGGTAGAAGAATGTAGAACTCAAAGAGTTGCAACCAGCTTTTTGGATATTGCATCTTCCGTGTCAAAAACCTGCACTACTTCAGAGGACCTATCACCCTATACAGTCCTGTTTGAAATGAAGCAGAGGGGAGGTGGTGGTCATCAAAATAATGTTGACAAGGGGTTTTGAGTTGCCTCAAAATATTGTCATTCTCCAGCCAAAGCAAGTTTCAGGGAGAAACTGAATCAAGGAAGTATCATTGAAGTCAAGGACCAATGATGATGATGATATAACTTACTGTACAGATCTGTACAGATATGACCCAGTGCATAATTAGGATCTTGCATCATAAGGGCTACTCGGGGTCCAGGGCCCATGAAATAATCAATTGTGCATGTCAACCTTGATGCCTGCTTTCTGAGTCTTCTTTGTGTTTTTTCTTTCGTCCGTTCTTTTCTTGTCTGTCCTTTCCTTTTCTTGTCTTTTCTGTTATTTTCCTCTCCTTTCCTTGCCTTTCTGTCGTTCGTTCGTTCTTTCTTTTATTGTTTCTTTCTTTCTCTGACTGTTTATACCTGAAGCATGATGAAACTTCCGGTCGAACGACACGGAATAAAAGCGGTCAGACAAAACGGACAAGACAAAACCTATTCGTGGAGGCCGATGTTTCCGGGGAAACAAACACCTACAATTTCCCAATGGCCCCACCTCAACTTAACCAATTACTTTGAAGGGGGTACCACCCACGGACGGGGGATTGTCACTAGTGTCACTAGTGGGTCATTGGGTCTTGTTAAATATGTACCACCTGACTGACGTTTGAGCCTTTGACCAAACACGCTTGAGGCCCTGTTCGACCGTTCGCTCATCCTCCAGCTTCGGCGAAACCGCCGCTAGTCGTACCATGAAGCCCGTAGAAAAGACTGTTTGAGTGCCCGCTACCACTGGCTTTGCTGTCAGTGGTAGCGGAGCACTGGTCTTCGAGCCATGGATAAGGCAAAGCCGGATGGAAGGGCCGAGACTGAGGTCTTTCAGGTGGTGGATGACGCTGGTGCTTCTGGTGGCGATGCTGACGCAAGGCCAGCGGCTGCGGAGAGAAGAGGAGAGGCTTCCCAGTGGTCTGAGGATGAGTGGAGAGCTTGGAATCAATGGTCATGGGGGCGGACGGGGTGGTCGCACTTTCAATGTGCGCCTGCCTCTGCCGCGGGGGACCTTCCACGGGGGCAAGAGTCCGGTCAGCGGGGCGCTGATCGACCTGGTGAACCCTCCGTGGTTAGCAATGATTCTCGGGGAGTTGACCCTTGGCTCTCCTCAGATCCTTGGGAACGTGGGCCCACGACTTCGGGCCGATGGAACTATGGTGACAGGTGGTGGTCCTCTGGTTGGCCTACCACTTCCAAAGGAGACTTCAGTGAACCGCCCACGTGGCCTGGGATGCAGCATTACAGGCTTTGGAGGCGGGCTATCACCAGGTGGGATCGCAACACCGACGTTGCCCTCCACCGCAGAGCTGAAAAGATTTTGAAAAGCATGGACTGGAGCCTTCAGGAGAAGTTCGACCATCTGTCAGAGGAGACGCTCTCCAGCGACAAGTACCTGGGTGAGATGCTAGGCATCCTGGACGTCTATGCTGGGGAACGCGAGGATAGCGACAAGAGGAGATCTGTTCGTGCGGCCTTGTACGAGGGTGCCAGGAAGAATGAGGAGTCCCTCGCACAGTACGCCTGCCGCCGTGAAGCACAATTTCAAGCAGCAGCGCAATACGTTCAGCTTCCGGACGAGCTCAAGGCTTACATGTTGGAGGAACAAGCCAACCTCTCTCGTCAGTCAGCTCAAAATCTTCGTGTCCTCACCGAGGGTCGAGCTGATTATCAGCGTGTGAGAAAGGCACTTCAAGTGATTGACGTGGACGGGGAGTCAATCATGAGACCCGGCAAGACCGCGTTCTATGAGGCTGATGCTTCAGCGCATAGTTCGCTGTTGACCCATGCTGACGATGCAGAAGAGTCGGACGATTCAGATCTATCTCCCGAGCTTTGTGAAATGATCGACAACCAGGACATGGATGAGGAGCAGGTGATGAGCTTCCTTACTCTGTGGGAGTCTTCTGGCAAGAAACGCTCCTGGAGTGAGAACAAACAGCTCAAAGCAGCTCGGAAGAAGGACAGAAGGCACTTCGATGACAAGGATGGGCGTCCTGAACGTCCAGTCTCCAGGCGACGCCTTCCTGTGTCCGAGCTCAAGAAGATCACCAGGTGCTCAAATTGCGGGCTTCGAGGTCATTGGCGCGAGGACTGCACGCGCCCCTACAGATCCAAAGCTGAGAGGGAGAAGGGAGATGGACCAAGCTCACACTCCTCACAGCATGACAAGAAGGGCTCGCTGAACGCCTTTGTTTACTTGGGAGATGAGACCGCCAAGGGAACTTCACTGAGCACCTTCTTCGGCTGGGGAAGCTTTGCAAATGAGTACTTTGCCATTCCCGCAGGCCATGCCATCGTGGATCCCGGAGCCGCTCAGGACTTGATTGGGCTTCAGCATTTTGAAGAGCTTGAGAAGCGATTGAAGGGAGTTGGCTTGCAAGTGGTCGAGCTTGATGAGAAACCTCCCGCGGCAAGCGGCGTTGGTGGCAGTGCCAAGGTGCTGAAGACGGTTCTTTCTCCATGCATTCTTGGGGGGGCAGCCCGGTCTGATCCGATTGATAGTGATCGAGGGTGATGTCCCGCATTTGCTTTCGATAGGCCTGCTTGAACATGCGGGCTCTGTCATAGACACCTCCACCGGCGAGATTTTGTTTAAACGTTTCGGTTGCAAAGCTTCCATGCAACGCCTTCCATCAGGACACCGGATTTTGGACATTGCTGATTGGAAGGGCGGACCTTTTCCAGTGCCAGACGAGGTACAGAAGGCCTTTCATTTGCGGCCTGACGCCTTCAACTTAGTGTCACCCGACGCGCCTCGAGGATATTTTGGCGCAGAGCGGAATCGTCCTGATGTCGAGCGTTTAGTGTTAGAGACCATAGGCCATGAGTCATTTCAAGGATGGACTACGGACCTCTTTGGACGACCCGCCGTTTGCACACAATGCCACGATTCAGACATGTCTTTGCGTTTGAGCACTCCCGCATTTGAGTTCTCTCATGAGGGTTTTCCACTTCGTTCTTCTTGGATTGTGTCTTTCTTTTCCGATCGTCGTCCGCCGGTCGTGCAAGAGTTAGAGTTTGAAGCTGCTTGGATGTCCAAACATGATCCTCACGAGTTGCATTATATCAGTAATATCGAAGGGTCGAAATCTTGCAGTCATCACGTGTTGGTGTCTATTTTCTCAGCGGAAGCAGTTGCCCGGTCCGTTGAAGCCTCAAGCCGCAGTCCGAAACTAGACAGCTTTCGATCGCGATCCAGTGCTTCCGATGTCTCAGCCCAAGCGGAGTCGAGAGACCTCCGATCCTCGAGACGATCCGAACTCTCACTGGTTCAACATGACGCGGAGGCTGCTGTTCCAATACTACGGGCCGGGGAACATACCTATTCCTATGCTGAGCGATGGGACTTCTCCCCCTCTCGAGGGGACAAGTCGGATTCCCGGACCTCCTTCCACGAAGTGCCCGCACCCAGTGGGGTCGATTGCCACCGGCCGGAACCAATACGGCCAGTGGAAGAGGTGTGTTCGATGCTGCACCAAGCTCAACTTCCAACGTTACGGTCCTGCAGTGCCGAAGCCCCCTCCCGGGAAGAAGGCGACAAAGAAGGGCTACTCTGCTGTGACCTATCAGACGGTCCCAGTGGCCGTCCCAGTGCCGAGCCAGTCAGGTGCATCCTCGAGCAGCGGAGTCTCGGCAATGGAGATGCAGGTGGCGTTGGAGCGCCAGTCCGACGAGATGAAGAACACGACGTCGTCGGCCATGTCTCAGATGCTCAACCCAGTGATGGAGGCCATGCATCAGCTGGCCACGACTCAACAGCAGATGCAATCTTGGATGGCACAGCAGCAAGCCCAGCAACAAGCGCTGTTGGCCATGAATGTGCAGAATCTGGCGGCCCAGGCGGCTCAGACGCCGGTTCCACCGACATCGGAGGGGCCGCTGGGTCAGGTGGAGCGCTACGACATGTACGCCAACGACGAGGACTGGGAGCTGGAGGACGGGGCTGCTCGAAAGCAGTTCCAGTCACCCTGAGAGTCGCACCCCAGTGTTTCACTTC